GTTGTAAAACAAGCCAATTCACTTCGTGAACTCGGCAACCAGGTTACGGTTTTTTTTTTTTACCTCGTTTTTTTTTTTTTGGCGGTAACCATAATGGTGGTCGAGTAGATCATGTTGTGCGGGGTGGAGAAACCTCACTCCGCGCAACGGGGGATGATCGCACCACGTTGTGTTAAAATGGTCAAGCTTCCTCGAGGCAGTTACACAGTGCTTACAACTGTCTCTGGAAGTGAAAGCACCAGAAAATAAATTAAGTCATACGTAGCTGTCATCCGTACGCAAGGAAGTAAGCACAAGATGCCGAACACCCTTAGCAGGATGGCAGCTCACCCTTCATGCGACTCGCCAAATACCTCACGGCGCTTCGCGCTTGGTGATGTGAGAGCCTGGTCCGGTGAGAACCCGGCGTGCTCCGTCCCGGCTTTGTAGGGATGCGAGGTCAATGGTCAAACGACTACGGCATGCACGACTATGAGTACCCCCCCCCCCCCCCCCTGGTTGGGAGAATGGTAGGTTTTTCGTTCAGTCGTGTGTTGAACCAATGCTGAACGGGTAGGTCCATTCTTCAGGGGGCAGATTTTTTCAATTACAACCATGCACCGCGAGAAATTGGCCAAGTGCGTTGGTCTGTACTGATTATTTTGTAGACTGCTATATGCAGGCGTAGAGTAGACGACACACACATCAATGTACCGGGTTGTTTGTTCATTCGGTTTTTGATCCTCAGTTTCTGGCGTGTTGAGTCATCAGTGAGAGGTAATTGTTTGCGTTGCACATTCACGTGGAACGGCAACGTACAAGCGTGTTTTTTCTGCATGCGTGCTCGCCAACTCACCAAGACTCCGACGAAAAGGTGTCGCGATCGGTGTTCGATGTCACCTATGATGGTATCATCTATCACGGTGAGCTCCGTCCACCGCCCATTCATCCAATGCCCGTAACCGTCTTCGGCTGCGTTACACACGCGCGCGCTCGAAAGTTCGAAAAATTCGGGATCTTCCCCGATGTGAAATGAAATCTGGTGTTGTTTTCTTTGCCGTGGCCGATGGCCAAGGTTGAGCTCTATTCTGGCAAAAATGTGTACGAGACATCTCTTTTCTATCCCCGTCGGCTCGAACTCACACGAAGGTCGCTCGCCTGATCTGTTGCATGCAGTCGGGTTTCTTAGAACGTGATCAAACAGCACGGAGGTAAGGTTTTCCCAACTCACGTTGTGGTTCATGAGAGTCTACAGAGACATCGTCACCAAACCATGTGCCACAAAGTCAGAGACCCCAATATGCAGAGCAACAACGTTACAAGCTCTTCCGTTGTATGTTAACTGTGGTATATTGTGGTATCTGAGCCACAACACGGCGCTAAAAGGAGGAGACAACTGACATTCTCCGCTAAGTAAAGCAGGAGACAATGGGGACATTAGTCCCCCAAAGGCCGATCTCTCAGGTCGAACCGCGGCGCGATTATGCCGCGGGTTAACGTCTCGGAAGTTGCACCGCGTCTGTCTACGTGCCCTTTTGGGTGGAAAGCGCTTCTAAAGTAGGGGAAGCTAGGGCTTGGGTTGGAAGGTCCTCCTTTTCCCGCGGTTCTCGCTCTCGCATCAGCGGGTACGTGGCGGTGCTGATGCCTACGGCGGGAGGGAGCTAGAGGTTCTTCGCGTGAATGATCGACGCGTTTTTTGCCCAGGAGAAAGGGCTGTGGGCACACACAACACAGGACAAGACATTTCAACTCGATGCTGGTATATTCTAAGTGCCATGACACATTTGTTTTCTCATGCCCACCCACCCACCCAAGCGATTGCGCCACTGCAGTCAAACGACTTTGTGCCATTGTTGTCATTGTGTCAGTAGCGGTTGTGGAGATGCTGCTGCTGCTTTTGTCGATGTCGTTGTTGTTGTTGATGCTTGGTGGACAAGGAGTTTGTGGTGGGTATGGGAGAGTATTCGTAGCGTCGAAGGTGCCAACCAAATTAACCAACAGCAACCTTAGCACTACCAAATCCTCTCCTCAGGTGCTTCCAACATCACCGAAACCGCCTACCTATAGGATCAACGAAATAAAACAGTTACCGGTACGCGTGAACGGCCTACATTCAACCGTCAGTGATGCATTTCATCGCTAACGCAATCGGATCACCGCGAAGAAGCTGGTGGAGTACTCTCAATGTTTTCCTGCCTACTCGTCCAACCCATACGACGGCGTGGAGGGATCATACTCGCCGGCCTCTGCTTTCACCAAACCCTCCATCCCGGCAATCGAAGCAGCCTCGCCCCCCCCAAGTCCAACACTACCGTTGTTCGTCGCTGCCTTCTCCCCGAAGCCCGCGGGGAGTGGTCCTGTCGCCGGGCAGTCCATCACCCCGTCATGGAATTCTCCACTACTGTTGGCACGTTCTACACGGCCGCCGTCATCCGACGAGGCTGAACCTGGCGTCGCCCACCCCCAAGTTTCTGGAGCAAAACTCGCTGCACCGACGCCGCTAGCGCTGGCTTTGGCGCCTTCTTTCTTTTTTTCCCACGCGACATCGCTCGATCCGCCAGCAACACCTCGGGTGCTGCTATCACTCCCCTCTGGGAGGGCCCCATTTGGGGTATTGAGGCTGTTGTCATTCCCACCGACGTCTACTGTTTGCTCTGCGTTTAGGATGCCTTCTGACGGATTGTCGTACGTAAAGGTCTGCTGTGAATCCAGGTACTCCTCCATCTCTGATTCGCCGGTGCCCCCGTCAGCCTCGTCGCGCACACCAGCCGGCTGTGGTTCGTCGTCCGAACGCCCGTACCCCACGATGTCGCTTGTCCCGGCAACATAGTGCTGTACCGCGTACTGACTGCCGCCATCACTACCGGAAGCACCGGCATCGTCGAGAGCCGATGCTTCCGGCGCCTCCGGTATCGGCACAACCGGCTGTCCCTCGATGGCTAAGGAGCTTGGCTGTTGCTCCCACGTCTCTACCGCGATGTCGGGCTGCTCGGAGATGTAGTCGAAGTCTACGAGGTCTTTCGAGCCGGGCACTGCACCGTCCAGTGTCTTGTACGACAACGGCTGCACATTTGTACGCGCCGAAACAAACAAAATGTACTTAGTGCTCGACCGCGCCCAATGGTGATGGATGGTGTGAAATCAGTAGCCTTCTCGATGATATGAACCTTGGTCTTAATGGGGGTTACGGGGTTCGGTTGGGGGTTAGGGTTACGACCCCCCCCCTCTACATATTTCATGTAACGCTTGGTATCCTCGCGAAGACGGTCCCGGGAAACGAAAAACGGATTAAAAAACTTGTAGGACTGACGACCTCACCCCTGTAGACGGGTTTTCTTTCGAGAAGTGCCGCGCGTCGTAGCAGGTATCGCAGAATGGCGTCGAGTCTCGGTTGCGCCAACGCGTGCTGAACTGAAGATCGCACTCCTGCAGCCAGAAGCGTTATGGGAGAAGAATGCACGCGGTTCACGGGAGGGGGTTATTATGTAGACGCGTTGATGGTCATGACCAAAACCACCTTAGAGAGAAAATACCCGACTTGAAAAAAATTCGAAGAACTTGTAGGTCTTGTAGGCAAATATTGTGGCCTCTCCTTTAGGTCTTCAAGAACATTCTGGTACAGCATACTATTTCGAAGCACGTCGTGTGGGTTACGTGGGTAGCCAATAGCATGCGCACCTTCCTCCCATCGAACATGTGTCCGAGTGGCATCAACGTCGAAATGGAACATTCCGACGTCTCACCTTGCAAATGACGGTGCCGGCAGGCTGGGACCACTGCATCGTGTAACTCTTGGGATTGAAGTAGTAGTGAAGGTTGTACGAACCCGGGATAACTTCCCACTGGCCGGCGGGGGGGCGGCGGAGGGTCAATAAGAGGGAGAAGTGTGGCATGTGGGCGCATGAAACCGACGGAAATGGGTACACATGCGGGTCGTTGCATCCGCGAGCGGATGAGACGTTTCGTTTCTACAGGCAGGCGGGAACTACTGCAGGTTGTGTAAAAAGAAATATCTCCTCGCCGTCGCCCCTCCCCTCTCTGGACACACCCTTGTTCGAGGAGTGCTTCTGAACAGCCCAGCTTCACACCGTTGAAGCCCGCGGTTCGTGATTGGAGGGAGACAAGCTCTCGTGTGGCCCTTCACACAGTCGACAATAACCAATCCTCCTCCCTCTAACGCCACCTTCCGTAGTTTTCCTCTTACTCGGTCTTCAGGGTCCACGTCCCAGCCCCCGAGTCCAGTTGGCTTCTCCCACAGATAGGTGTCAATGAGCGTGTTGTGCCAGTAGAAGGCCAGGTTTTCGGAGTCGAAGTGCTTGGTGTAGACCTCCTTCGCCCTCTTCTGGGTGATGCGTGTAGCCTGGAGCCGAAACGGAGGCGCCGAAATTCATAAAATGAAGCAGAGTGAACATCAATGACAAGCGCCGAAATCACGAAGAAACATCGTGAATGACGGTGAGCACCATAGACCACAAAGAGAAGCATCGTGAATCGCCAACAAAGGCGTAGTGCATCGCATAGCGAAGAATCACGACTCAGAAAATGAGCAGCAATTGTGAATCGCTCAGAAATGCATCGTGTATAACGGAGAGAAAAACCGTCGATCACAATGAAAGGCATCGTGAAGCACAATGAGAAGATTCAGGAATCACGAAATAAAAGGATAGTGAACTCACAACGAATCGTATCATGAATCACAAAGCTATCGCTCCAAGTCGCAATGAGGAGCATAGTGAATCATAGAAAGACGAATGGGCAATCACAAATAGGAGCATCGTGATCACAGAAAGGAATTTTGAAATATCAAAAGAAGTATAATGGATTTAAGAGGAAAACGTTGTTAATCACATGCTAGAGAAGAATTTCGAATCACAATAGAGAATTTTAGTGAAATACAATAGAAGCACCCTGATACACCAACGAAAGCAATATGAACTACGAGGCGAAGCCATGTGAATCACAAGATGAAACTAGTTTACTCACGAACCGATGCCCAATGAATCACAAATAGTTGCACTGTCAGTCACAATGAGAAGACTTTTCAGTGAATCATAGGAAACCAATTGTGAATCACATCACAAACATGATCATCGTGATCACGGAGAGAAGCACCGAAAAATCCCAAACAGGTAGATATAGTGAACCACCAACAGAAGGCCACAAAGAGAATGCATAGCGAATCACAGAACGAAGCACTGAATCATATATATATATGCATTGTGATCACGGATATAAGCATCGTACAATACCAAAGAAAAGCATCATGATCACACAGAAGCGTTGTAAATCATAATGAGACCGATGGTGTAAGGACAACGCGAAATGTGCATCACGAAGGAAAGCAAGGTGAACCACGAAGAGGAGCACTGTCGTAAATCACAAAGAAAAGCATAGTGAGTAAATAGCACAATATTTAGGTCTTGTACTATGGGTTCTTGGTGTTTAAGTGGCGTACGGGCTGCGAACGAACACGATATACTGTGAATTACGGGCTCACAAAGCGAACTGGCGGTTTTGGCGAATTGCCGAATCACGCTGACCGACCAAAACGACCGCAGAACAACGGCGAAGGAGTATTGCAGTGGAACGTTTGTGCCAAGTGGGCACAAAGCTGAGATGGAAGTATGAGGTCGACGGTGGTGCCTTCCACCCCGCGTGCATGGCTTACTTTTTGGCTGTGTCGGCGCCTTGATCGCTGAACATGGAAACAAAAATCGATGTGGTAACATCGTGATACTAGTGTACAGTACCGTGCGTACTCGCTGAAGGCACAAGTTTCAACGACTTGAAGACTACATCGCACCCACAACTCTGTCATGTTTCGTGACTCTGAAACAGCGTACTCACACTGAAGACGTAGTACATCTGCTGTATGGTCCTTGCCGCGGCGTCACAGGCTGAATCCCTGAACTTCGTCATCTTCTCCTCCTTGTCCGCCTTGACCCTCGCCTCCTCCTCCAGGAACTTGGCCGCTGCCGCCTTCATCTCCTGGTTAACTCTAGAAGACGCGACCACACCGTTTGTCGCAGGCAATAAAAACCACGCCAGCCGTAAGAAATGAGTGTGACAGTGTGTGCCTCTACACGGCATGATGCCAATCAAGATGGCAGGACGCGCTTCGTGGGAAGTATTTGACGAAAGAGAACATGGTTCACTTCGTTGCATCAAAATTGCTATTTCCACTGCATCAAAAGTGTTTCTTTCCTCATGTGCTTCGCCGCCGTTTTTCACGTCCATTTCCGTGGTGCACCCCTGTAGGTAGTAGAATATTCTTGTTGGGAGATAGCGTATAGCTGCAGTAGAGCATGCCCGAACGTAACGGCTTGTTCAACCGACGTAGGACCAAGAATGAAGCGAAATTCATCCAAAGTGCCCTACGTCGCGTAGCACTTCTTCGTGGTCACGTCACCGCTATTGCGTTTCGGAGTATTTCATAACCATGGTACTTGTTGTCACCCCCGTTGGCACGGAGGCAAGACTACCTCCCCTCCCTCACCATATTACATACCAGGTAGGCGTAAACCGGGCAGTTGACGTGCGCAACTGAGAGCACACCACACAACAGACGTTCCGGGCAGCATACCTCTCTCTCTCTTGGTCCATCTTGGACAGCAAGATGTCTTCCTTGGCGATGTCCAATGCCTCGGGGGCCTCAAGATCAGCCTCCACGTCGTCGGCCATCTTCAGCACAACCTTCTTCTGCGCCTCGATTTCCGCCTGAAATTGCAACGGTTTTACAACTTTTGTTAAACTTCTGTTGCTTGTCATTCTTACCCAAAAAAAAACATTGCCCTGTCGGGTTGCTTGGGTGCGGTTGGCTTGACATGACATACGTAGCCGGTTGTGTTGAGTACGCTGGTGCGCTCGTGGTTCATTCTTCTTGAGCTGTCCGTCGCCTGAAGCACCACAAACGACTATTAATATGCTTCCCCTCGACTCCCGCCTGAGCCGTAGAGAAAGACATTTGCTGTAGCGCGATGGGCTTGAGCTGTGGGAAGACAGCAGTGCCAAACTTGATGTTCGTTACCTTGAGCGTCTTCTGGAGGGCCTTCTCCGGCTCGTTGTCAGGGTGTGCGAGGACAGCCTCGAGCATCTTGCGGTGGGCGATGGCCCTCTTCTCCCCCTTCTCTGCCCACTCTATCTGCCACTGCTCCACGCGTTGCTCCTCGAACTGGCCAGGGCGAAACACAAGGGATGACGGCAGGGACACGATCTCCACGTCCGTCGGTGGGTTTAGCTCTTACAAATGCAACGCACGACCTTTCAGCGGAAGAAATCAGTTGCGTTAGGTGTACTAACGCCTCATGAAATCATTCACAGCCAGTGCATCCCCCTCTACATATTGTAGTTCTCCATCAATTTGTGCGTACGAAGCGGTCGGGCGGGATGGGATAGCACAGGGTGTACAAGAAAGCCATGAGTGAATCGATAGCGATACACGAAAACGGCGAGTGAACTGATTGCGATAGGAAGAGTGGTTGTGTTGGTTGTGCTGATTCTTCCTATCGTCGAGGGGTTGGGGCTAGACGGGGCTAGACGGGGGATGGCATCCAGACAATGAGACGGGAAACTGCCACTATTTGTCTGGAGGGGTTGCTTGGCGACGCCTCCAGAATCAGCGAAAACGAGCGGGAAAAAGTAACAGCGACGCAGCAGTTGGAAGGTGGGACATCCACCCACCGTCCCCATCTCCTTCAGCTTGGCTTGCACGGCGGTCACTCTCTCTACCGTTGTCGCACGCCTAAAAACACCCAATTTCTTACCGCGTAACGGTTCAGGTGTTCCATCACCAAGCCCAACTTTCCTTACCGCGAAACAAATATCCCGTACGGACGCAATACTATGGCCGCTCTCTACCCCGCAAATATTTTCTTTAAGCAACGCCTCCGTTCAATTTCTCACCCGTTCGGCGGCGGCCTGCTTCCTCCTTCTTGTCTCGGCGGCAACTCTATCACGCTCGCGGCGACGGTAGCAAAGGATCTGTAGAGCCGGCGATCAGGGGTGAGGGGGATGGCTGGCTGAGAGGACGAACACAAGGTATGCGACAAAAAATCTAAGATACCCGCTGTGATTCCGGTTGGGAACCATTCCTCCTCAACAAAAGACGGTCGTTTCTGACCCATTACATTACCATCTGTATAGTTTCCTTGCTGTACGTATTTTCTCTTCGCCCTTTAGACTAGGGATTTGCACCTCTCAAAGCCGTTGGTAAGTGCTTCATGATTACCACAGCAAACTTACTGTTGTTGTTAATGTTGTTGTTGTTGTTGTTGTTGTTGTTGTTGTTGTTGTTGTTATTCAGGCGCACCTTGAACTTCTCTTTAGCAGTGTGCTCCTCGAGCATGGTGGACTGCTCCTGCTCCTTCTTCTGCTCCTTGAACCACGCCATCAGCTGCCGCTTGTAGACCTCTGCCTCCCTTGCCTCGCGGCTCAGCAGCTGTTGCATCTCAGCCTCCACCTGCGTACGTGTGTAGCCGGGTGGATAGACGCAAACTCATAACTACGGACGCCTCCAGCATCAATGCAACAACGTTACTTCTTTTGAACTTTCGTCTTAAGGTGTTATCGAAGTGATCACAAATTGGTGTTTCGCAGCAAACGGCAAAAGCGAAGAGGCTCGTCTGTTGTTCGGCGTGTGAAAAACCACGAAACAACACCAAGGCAAGATCATGCGCAGACATTTTCGCGCCCAACTCGAGGGGGACGCGCAGAACTGGAGATAATCAGTACGCCACCCCGTCCTCGCTCTTTCTGGAAAGATACATTCGGTACTGGGCATGTGATCTCCCAGGGCAAGCAAGCTTTCCGGTTTCGGGGCTTTTCCCAACCACCCCTGAATGATTACCAGCTTCTGATTCACTAGTTGTAAGACGTAGCCTGGGCCGGCAGAAAAAGGGCATATCGCTCCGTGGCCCAACGAGTACGGCATGTGTTTACATGAGTACACCCTTCCCCTGGTACACGACAAACCTCATGAATCTTGATCATCCTTAGTTTCTCGGCCTCCAGTCGGCGTCGCTGTCTCCTGGCTCTCCACAGCCTCTGCAGCTTGCTGGACGCCTTGTGCCGGCTGCGGTACTCCACCCTACCGCCGAAAAAAAAACAGAAAGAGTGAATCACAAGCTTGAAGAGTGAATCGCAAACACAGTGAGTGAATCACAAGTATACATAGTGAATCAAAATCTGGAAGAATGAGTGAACCACAAGCTTAAAGAGTGAATCAAAAATACAGTGAGTGAATCACAAGTAAATCACAAGTATACAGAGTGATTCACAGTATACAGAATGATCCACAAGCATGAACAGTGAACCACAAGCATGGAGTGTTTACCACAAACAGAAAGAGTGAATCACAGCTTGAGGAGTGAATCACAAACATAAAGGGTGAATCACAACCTTGAATAGTGAATCACAAACAGTATATAGAGTGAATCAAGATCTTGAAGAGTGAGCCACAGGCACGAGGAGTCAATCGCAAAGATTCAGTATTGTGAATCACATATAAGAGGCATCGTTCAACGGCCGGGAAAGGGCGAGGGGCGACGGACTTCGTCACTTTTCACAGCAAATCATCTGTGCTTTTCGCAGAACACAGGGTAAATAGTGCAACTGAGTAGGAGCAACAATCCCGTGTTCCACTGGACGCGTCTGTTTAGCTAGTCCTTTTCAGGGAGCTTCAACGCACTCTTTTTGTTATGGTTTTTGTGCTCTTTTTCCTCCTCGGTTGGGCATGAAGCTATGAAAATGATGCCTCACACGGCAGAGTCTACTGCACTGCCCTCTGAGCAACTTCCATCGTGCGTTCCGCTAGATGCGTCGTGTACAGCTTGTACTGTCTAGGGAACTTCATCTTACATATGCTTTCCTTACCTTTGCCTTGTTTGACCCCTCCGTTCGGGCATGAGGTAGTGACAATAATTAGCACGATTTTGCACGGTAGAGAAAACTGCACCGCCCTAGTCTCCCCGAGGAATACAAAGCAAGACCTTTCAGGTCGTTGTCACCGCGTCGCTGACAGTCCCGCCGGGCTTACCTCTCCACTTCAGCGTCGATGACGGCCATCTCTCGGTCGAAGTACTCCTGCGGCACGAGAGCACCGCCGTAACGGTCGGAGAACACGTAGAACCGATCGGAGAGTTAATACCCTTCGTGCGATAATGCTTGAAGGACACGAACGGTTGTTGAAAAGTAATAATCGCACGAGGTGACCCCGGATGGTGGTTAATGGATGTATATACCCGAAGGTGTAGGCTGTATTTACCGAAAAGGCTGTACGTACTGAAAGATTTAGGCCAAAAAAACGGAAAGGCGTAGGATGCATAGATACCGAAAGGTTTAGGCGGCCGCCAGCACAGGTGGGACGAAGCAATAATACACACGCACACTGTGGTGTTATCTCCCCGATTAGCACGTTAACTGCCGGTCGAAAGAGAGGGGAGCGAGACACTCAAAGGAAAATAACACGCACGTTGAAGAAACAGTCAGGCCTCAATGGTAGAAAGCATTTGCGTTTCAACAGGCCTGGCGACCTTGCCCAAATCTCCGATTCTGGGTCTGGGTGTAGTGCAAAACGAAACAGAGGCGCGCTTTTGTTTGCCTTGTGCACACCCAACCTAACAATTGAACCGCACCTCGGACTCACCATTGTCTTCGTTTGCGGACCACAACCACACAAATGTTGGCGAGGACACTGATTTTCGAGGGATTACCACACACAAATCCTTTTTTGCGTCCCGTGCAAATCGCTTTTTCTCGGTACAGCTTTGATTGGAGCATACCAAACACTACCGAAGCAGGCAGGCGATCCGCTTGCGTGCCACCCCTATATTTGTGCTTGGACACGGGTGGTGCAATCACTCTCGAGGCGTAAAGGTCCAACTTCAGTGAACAGGACGAAACTCGCCTGCAGCATGCATCTTGCCCTCTTTCTGCCCAGAGCCCCCCGGAAGAATCTCTGCACACAGGTGGCGGAGAGGTGCTTGGTGCGCATCCAGCTCACGAACTTTCTCCTCTGCCTTACCCCCCGGTAGACGGCCTGTTCCCGACACACATGCGAGGTGTGTGTCGGGGCGGTGGGCGTTGGAGTGGGTCTGCTGCCGGGACGCAGCACGGACTACAAAAGCGCCTTTCCGGAGTACAGCGCAACAACAAGAGCAATTATTTCTCTCGGGCTGGAGGCCTCATCCAAAATACACATAGTTGCATTAAATGATCCTGGCCCAGAGCAATAGTACAATGGTTGTCTTCCTCTTCTCTGCCCGCACACGTAAGGCGGCGTACATCAACATTTCATATATCCATACAAATGTGTAATTCAACAACCTATTTCAACATTGGGAAATGGAAACAACAACAACAACAACAACAACAACAACAACAACGGCAACGAGACTCGCCTGAGCTGCGATGACCCTCCGCACCAGCACCCGAAGAAACTCCGCCACCAGTCTCCCGAGGTATCCTCTGTACACTCTTTGGATAGTTTCGCACGCCTTGCACGAGAACGCACGCCTGTTTTTACCCCACCAACCCACCACATCCCGTGCATCGCCGTCGGTCGTCCAAGCGGTGGACACGAAACGGTATACCGGCGCCGTTGTTTGCAGGGTACCAGCAGCAGCAGCAGCAGCCAAGAGAAGAGGGAACGGGTATATCGAGATGATTCATGGTAGCGAGGGGCGTCACATCCTGCGTGCCTGTGCGTTGTTGTTGACACAAATCACTTGCCATGCCTCTCGCTTTGTGCGAATCGCAGAGGCATGATGCTTGAACTAGGCACCCCCACCGCGGCTACGCCCAAACGCTGGACTGGATATTCTCGTAGGCAAGGCCAACAATATCATGATTCTACACGTCATGGTGTACGTGTTCGGAAAAAAAATCTTTGCCCACTGCCTCAATGGACTTGTCGATCTGCTGCAAAGTGGTTTGTTCAAAGAAAGTGCCGTGGGCCGACTTCGCCCATCGGAAGGTGGGCAATTACCGCTGGATGGCTCGGAAGGCGGAGGAGCTGTTTCCCTTGAAGAACCTCCCCCCGATGCTCGTCATGAGCCTGGCGCAGTGCTTCCTTCGCCTGACCAAGCGCTTCCACATTGCAATCCTCACTAGAATGGCCCTCCGACGGTTGTTGCCCAAGAATCTGCCGCGTCACCGACATTCGGAAATCACGCCGTTGGCCGTCATACGAGTACAAGCGGTGGCATTGAGCATAACAATATCACGACCTGTGCTGCAGGTGGTGCTATGGTGTGATGATCTGAATCGGCAATGCATCCATCGATCAAAGCTCTACAAGAACACACACCAGCCAAATCGAGCTTCTGATCGGGCGCATCGCATACTGGAGGGCAAGGCGTGGGTCGGCGGGGGGCGGCCTAAAGTTTCCATCAATTCGGTGTATTATCGAGGTGATTGAGCCATTGGGCAGCGTCACAACAGTCGGCCGTTGAACAGGAGGGGCGACGTAGATCGCCAAAGGAGAAATAGGAGGGGGTTGTGATCCTTTACTGCCATATTTATGTAAGCAGCTTGGTCATTGCCAAACGCGCCCATTCACTCCCGCGATTGGACTGCCGGTCTCCCGCTCCACACGGAGCATCTCACATTGCCGTGACAACGTCGTTTCTCTGGTCCCTCCGCTTCTGCATGATCAAGGCCAGCAGCAGCGGGTCGAAAAACGCCTCCTCTATCGCGTACGCCCAAGTCCCTCTGTCTCGGAGGCCGAAGCGCGACGCGGGTCTCAGCAAGTCCTTCAGGGGTCGCTTCTGCAGCATCAGACCTAGCAGCCTCATGGTGATCTGGTTCAAACGGTACACCGTTGTTGTGTAACAACGTTAAGCGTGCATCGTTCATCGATCTGGTTCGAACGATTCACAATTGTTGCGTGGCAACGTTAACGTTAACCGTTCCAACGCTGGAAGGCGTTTGGTGCCCCAGTAAATTGGGCTACAGCGATCCGGCGGGTGGTTGTACTACTACGTACTTGGCGGGATGAACGCATCGAGCGTTTTCGCCTACGCTGCTGGATAGAAAGAGCATGCAACAGAAACGAGAATGAAAGAGAGGGGCCAATGACTCTAGCGCGCACAAGCCAAACTCCTACATACCGCTCAAGACCTAACTTTCACCTCACGTACAGCAGTTCCAGCCCGTAGTGCAACAGACTCTGCTTAGACGGGTTCAAACCCACCCGAACAAAACGAAAAGGGTTCTTTAACACAGCTCGGCAGTGGAGTAGTCTAAGCTCGACAGTGGCAACGAAATCAGAAACTGAGCCCCGAAGGGAAAAATTGACGACGTGTCCTAGTGCCTGAGCTGGACGGTGTTGTACCCACTAACCTCGAACGGCTTGGGTGGCTTGGCCCAATCATCAACTCCCCGCCCGGCCCCCGCCCTGCGTCCCGCCTCATAATCCTCCGAGGCTACCGCTTCCCACGCCTCGTCCAGAATTCGATTCAGCTCCTCCCGCTTCTCGAACCTGGTGTGAACACGATCGGACAAGCCATCACTCAGGCTGGCTATCAGGGGCTCGCACCTCCCCGAGATTGAGACTCACGAGTGAACGAACGAGAGAGACAGCACGACCACAGATGCGGTGACCGGTTTCAGCCAGTCGCAATCTCCGTCCTTCTGTTCGACGTGCTGCCGCACAAGCCTGTCTTTGAACGTTATCTGCGACTTGGTGCCCTCTTCCGCGTACTCAAACGTCGGTCGATTCGATGTACGTGCCCGCTATTTCAACAGTCTTTCGTGGGAAGTAGCCCATATCTCGTAGACACCTACCTTGGCAACGTGGCCATCTCAATGTTCTCAATGTTGGCCATGACCTGCAGAAGACACGTGCTGCGTCGCCTCGAATATTCAACGATAACAGGATTGCAAGGTGTCGCTCCCCATCGGAGATGTACCTCTGACAAAACACGACCTGGCCGCAGCGAGAGAGTCGCCTTGTACATCATCCCGCCTCACCACAACAACACCCCCGGAAGTTCGTAACACGTTCTGCCAAGGGATGCTGCGTACGACGTGCTGCAAAGGAATGTTGCATGCGGCGTTGAGCGAATTTCGCCAGAAATCTACCTGGCCATGGTGTTGACGAGGTTCTTGAAGTCGGACATCGAAACCGGGTCGTTGCTCTCAGGGTCGAAGCTGTCCGGGCTCGAGTAAAGGGCAAACCCCCATTTGAGGTTTTGCTCCACAGTAGACTGTACATACATCATGCATGAGGCAGAAACGTAGGGATGCAATCGGCAAACTTCGTGCCGGTATTCAAACAGTAAGGCGTCAAGTACACTCCTTATTTGGTGATGGTTCCGCTGCGTGCTATGCTGGTTCGCAAAATGCTCAGAAAACAAAATGGAATATTAACCAAAATCACTTTTCTTGGCGAAAAAAGAAGGAGGGAAGAAGCCCTCTCGTCTGGCTGTGATAGGATCCGAGTTGTTGTCGTCGGTCTGCGGTTCGTCAGAAAAAAAAAAGGCCAGGGTGTGTGCGCTCTCTGCAACTCAGGTGCCCGTTGTGCATCGAGGCACGAGAGCGGAGCAACGCAGGTTACCCAACGTATGCACCGGACGTTTTCGCGCTTGCGCCTTGAAACGACCTGCTGCATGAGCCTTTGAATACGTACCTGTGCGTTCACAGCCACCCTGAGCATGAAGACCATGCATCTCCAGTCCACCTTGCCGGCTCCATCCGCATCAAAGGTGCTGTACACCTTTTGTGGTCAGAAAAAAACAGGAGGAAGCGAACGGCTTGATGTTTAATTCTGGTTCCGACACCAGCTGCTTCCAGTCATCGCAGTCCCCTCGAGAAGGAACGTTGGGTTAGAAAGGATAAGCAAGCAGTCGAATGGGCAAAGAACAGCATCGTCGTTCGCGACAAGAATAACCTGTTGTTGTTCCTGCTGTTGCTGCTGTTGCTAGCCGTTGCTGCTAGCCGGTGACCAGATAAGTCACACCGCATAGTGCTACGCGGGCTTTCCGCTGTCAACACAGGCGGTATATAGTCTACTGGGAGAACAACAGCACCACCAGCCGTATTTCTCAGCGGCGTCGAACGAAACCAGCTTTGTTTTCTAGGGCATCCTGCCAGTCTTGTCCACATGTAGGTGGAATGGCTTCGAAGACTACCGTCGTAGGTGGCGGCACACCGCTATTATAATAGTTTGAGAATGGGCATGATTCGAACATGGACCGCATTTTCTGAAACAAAACATCCGTTATCAGCTACAGGGCCGTGGCTTCAACAGAAAAAGCTCGAGGTGGTCCTCGGTCTTACTGCGGCTTCCCCCTGTGAAGGACACCTTCTAAACTACTCCGGGAATCCCGGTTTGTGCGACCGAACTGAAATCGAACACACCTCGCCGAGCTTCTGGAGGGCAGCCTTATCGACGTGACCCGCAAGGGGCGCGGTCTGAAAGCCGAACACCCTTCGCATCACCGTCAAGAAAGTTGGCCGAGACACGTGTTTTCGGGGCTCCGCTCTGAACATCTGCTCGTACAAGGCCCTAGGCGTAACGAGCGACGTGGGTTTAGTATCAAGCACATGGAGCAGAAACTATGTAGGTCAGCATACAACCGTAACGATCCGTTGGGTATCTGTCGTTTGAATGGGCAACTGCCGAAAAAACATTTGGCAGATGGACCGCGGCGGAACAAGATGAGGGACGAGCATGGATTGAGTCCTCGATCAACATGGGCAAGGTTGCAGACCCGTCACGGACTGCCGGTCGGCACTGCGTGTCTTGAAACCACATACATTGTATAGATCATGCCGACTTTGGTCAGTTCCTCGCTCAACATCAGCGGCGCCGCGCAAAGATCATAGCAGCCCACATGCACAGACTGCAAGCCCCCTTCCCCAGACTTTTAGAGTCAAAATCGATAACGACATACCTGTCTCCTCCGGCCAGACGGATGGGAGGGACCCCAAGCGGCCTGTCGTCTTTGCTTTCCATGAGCGTTAGAAGGGCAAAGAGAGCCTTCCATCGTGCTTGGAACTTCCGCTTGCCCTTGTACTGGGTGCGCGCAACGTACGCATTGAACGCGCCCTGAAAAACGGAGCCAGCAGAGGATGAACAAAACATTTCCTCAGACTACATGGATAAACGACCACCAAGCTTTGTGTGGCCGGTACGTAGGTGTGCCAATGCACCCAGCTGTACCGTTTCCATCCTCTGCACCTGTTGGTCGATTGAGCAAACCATCTCTGTAGGATAGGAATGAATCTGAGCGTGGTTGGGTACAGCCATAGTCCTATACACCCATGAAGACACCTACGCCAGCGCGTTCGGTCGGCACTCAGCCTGATATACCGTGTCATGAGGAGATGCACCTACACTAAAGGTGTCCTTTTCCGTTCTGCGTTGTTCGGGAATGAGAGCCTCCACTACGCTTGTACTATTAATGCCAGTTGACACACCGAAATGTGATAACGCAGCAGCAGCAAAGCCAACAATTCTGCGTGTTTTCGCAAGTCACTGACGCTTCACTTCGGTACCAAACGAGCAGGAGTTCCCTACAACATTGCATCAGTAACAGGGAGAGCTTTGAAACACCACTGTTAGATATACTCGCAGCAGTATCTGGTCGTGAGGATCCCAGGGGGATACGTGTTGGGAATTTCGTGTGTTGCAGGGTACCATCGGTGCGGTCACGGGGACCCTTTTGGCGTGGTTGGTGCGATGAAGCTTGCGTGCGAGCTGCGCTCACTTCTTCCTCTCTCTCTCCACCACCACCACCGTCTCTCTCCAATCAAGTTTCCTTCTCCCACTCTCTCTCCAACTCTCTCTCAATCTCTCTCTCTCGGCCTAACACGGCCGACTACCCAGTGCCCCAAGTAACGTCCAGAACGTGCTTGCTGCACCCCGCGTAGTTTACCTTTCACACTAGTGCGATATCACGGTATCTGCGCGCGGGCGTAGCCATCCGGGGGTTGTGCAGTCACGCGCAATCGGTAGACTCCCACAACACCAAACATCATGGAGGACATCGACCTCTCCGCCCTCAGCGGGGAAGAGCTACAACAAAAAGTGGAGGAGATCGTCCAGCAACGAGTGCAAGCCGAACTCGAAGCCAACAGGATCAACGAGGGTGAAGTCACCATTGCCCAACCACCAGCCGGCAACCCAGCCACTCCAACCGGCAACCCAGTCCCACCTACTGGCAACCAACCATCACCCTCCAGCCAGGGTACACCAGCCACATTCAACGACCCCAGCAGCGTCGCACACATCGTGGCGCAAGCGGCCAAGGCGACAGCTGAGGCCATCGCTCAACAACAGGGCTTTGCCCGCTCAGGCACGTTACGTGTCAATCCAGGCTCAGAATCGAACCTTGGCTTGGTAGTGTAAAGAAGGAGCAGGACTTGTACATTATGTTTGATATTTTTCGTGGTAAGATGATTTCATATTTTCAGGAGGAGGGTGTGCATGATGCGTTGGAACTGGAGGTCGAGGTCAAGGTCGGGAAGAGGGGTGTGAATGTAGGAGACCTTCGGAGACTTTTTGGAAATGAAGTGGTAGACAAGTCTTTCAAACTGTGGAATATCCTCATAAGCAAGGTTATGTATCCCCCGATTCAGAGCTTGATTCTGGCGTGTGAGAGTCCCCAAAAGGGCTGGAAAATAGTGACCGAGTTCTATCAGGAGAAAAAGCAGTCAGAAAAGTCGAGGTTGGAGCAGGACTGGAAGGAGTTGGAGATGAAAGAGTCCGAGAGTCCACAGGATTACATTGCCCGCTCAGAGGCCCTTCGCCTGCGTCTCGCATCAGTAGGCACGATTAAGGATGAAACAGATGCCAACAAAGACATTGCTCGTGGCCTTCCCTCTTCGTTGTATGCCGTGCAAAAAGGAATACTGCTTGCCCATGATGTCCTGACGTTGCGTACCCTTGAGACTGTGGTGAGGGACGCCCACGTGGAGATGGAGCGCGAGAGGAGCAAGGGGGAGAGGCGCGAGGTGGAGCTCGCTCTCGCCGCATCCGGCATGGGCCGGCGCGGCGGGGGCAGTGGGGGGGCATCCTGGGGTCAAGACGGCGGTCAGGCAGCAGCTGGCGGCCAAAATCGTGACGGAGAGAAGAAAAATAGTGACGTGTTCAACGACGACCCCGGCGGATTTTGCCGCTACCACCAGTCCGAGCTTCACACCAACGAGCAGTGTCGTCTCCAGCAGCAACTGCGGCGTGCGCGTTCGAGAGAGGGCGCCGAGGAACGTCGCTCGGGCGGCGGCAGCCGCGGTGGCGGCGGTAGCCAGCGAGGGGGTAGACCGCCGCCGGGACCCGGCCGCGGTGGCGGGCGATGGGTGAGGATAGAGCAGCAGCACCACACCGGTCATGGTGGCGGTGGCTGGAGCCAAGCCTCACCCCCCCCGCGACCTCTTCGTGGACGTGGGCCTGGTGGTCGTCTGGGGCGTCACCCGGGGGGAGCGGGGGCCGGAGAACAGGCGGGAGCACTCGCAGCGGTGGACCCGGGGGCTGGAGGAGCGGGCTTTCCACTCGCATTTGCCACGCTCCTCGCCAACCGGGAAGACATCGACGCCACGCTGCGAGACCAGCGCCCGCCGGAGCAACGCCCTGACCTTCCTCACTGCCAGGCCAGCGACCTTCGTGTCCCCAAGAGCTACAAAGAGGCCATGGCGTCGGAGCACCGGCACCTTTGGAGCGACTCTATGCAAAGGGAGTTTTACGGCTTGTTGGAAGCAGGGACTTTTACTCCGGCGAAGTAGCAACTAGTGGAGAACGCAATTAACGCTAAGTGGGTATTCGATTGGAAGGCAGATGAATTTGGATGGCCCACTAAGGTGAAGTCGAGACTTGAAGCGAGAGGTGATATGCAGAGAGAGTACATTGACTTTGGAGAGCTGTACGCGCCTACCGTTTCTGTTTCGTGTGTTAGGATGTTGGCTGCGTTGGCGTGCGAGTTGAATCTCGACTTGTGTCATTTCGATATTGAGCAAGCTTTTGTGCGCTCGGAGTTGGAGGAAGACGTGTACATGCGTTTGCCACAGGGATGTGGAGCTCTATCTGGAATGATTGTAAAACTAGGCAAGAGTCTGTATGGCTTGAGACAGGCATCTAGGCAGTGGCATGCAATGCTGAAGAGGTGTTTAGTGGCGTTAGGTTTTGAGCAGTGCATGGCCGATGCTTGTGTGTGTCGTTTGATTGAGGATGGATGTGTTGTTTTGATTTTGGTAGTACATGTAGATGACATTTTTGCTGTCGGAGAGAGGGAGAGATGTGACAAGTTTGGCGCCGACCTTAACAAGTCCGTGCCAGTGAAGAACCTGGGAGAGTTGAGATGGTATTCTGGGTGCTTTTACGAGAGGAACAAGGAGACCGGAAGGTTGACGATTTCTCAGCAGACTTTCACGGACGAGCTAGCAGCAGAATATGGAGTAGTGGGAGGTAAGAGCGTTCCGATGTCTTCGGGGGTGAAGCTTTCTGATTTTGATGCGGATGAGGTGGCGACAGACTTTTCGTTTCGTGAGCTGGTAGGATCGTTGATGTGGCTGGCGACTCAAACTAGGCCAGACTTTGCGAATGCTGTAAGGGCAGTAGCAAGGTATTGCGCATCTCCGAAGCTGGTACACTGGAATGCAGCGATGGATATTTTAGGCTATGCGAGGAGGACGAGTCACTTTGGTATTTCGTTTCAGAGAGGTACAGTAGAAGGATTCAGCTTGCAGGGGTACGCTGATGCGGACTTTGCAAGCAAGGCAGCAGACCGTAGGTCGGTATCAGGGGAAATCGTGACGTGTGGAGGAGGCGCTGTGTCAAGCACATAGATGTAAGGCACCATTTCCTCAGGGAACTGGTAGAGAGGAAGGAAATTTCGGTGATCCACGTGCCGTCTCCGTACCAGCGTGCAGATTTTCTCACGAAGAGCTTGCCGAAGGACGTTTTCGAGTCTCACCGTGATTTTGCAATGAATTTGGCATGAACATTTTATTGTTTTTCTGATTGGTTGTGTTTTGGTTTTGTTTTGTTTCTCGTTTTGTTTCCCGTTTTCTTTCATTTCTCGCGCCAAGTATTTGTTACGCGCGATGCAGTATTCATGTTCCTTTGAATTGTTTTTCCCTCTTATGTTATTCTGGTCGAGTATTGATGGCATATATTCTTGGAGAGATGTATTTTGGTTGAGATATCGAGTGTTCGCGAAGTTTTCAGTGAGTAAGGCCACTTGTTAAGCTGTCCTTTTTTGGGCTGTCCCTTTTCTCAAAAAGGGACGAACCAAAAAAGAATCTAGCAAAAAGATGACCCACTTGTTACGGTGCTGGTCGATCCTTTTTGCTCATCCGCCAAAAAAAATGACCCTGCAACAACAAGTGCAACGGCCGTTCGTCTCACAATGAGTACCTTGGCACCGAGTTGGTTTTTCGGTGATATCTCCGCACAGAGCGAAGCATCAGCAACTGTAAAGCTATCCCCCGCGAGCTGGGTGCTTGGTCCGCCTTGTGTGGCGGCTGATCGAGACCACAGGGCAGTGGGAGGCACGGCAACTGAGGTGGCGAGAGTCAACAGCACCTTGAAAAACCCCACCGCGCCAACAACCAGCTTTGTTTGCTCTTTTTTGCCCATGCCGCAACTTTGGTTCATGGATGCTCCCTCGCCACACACTGAAACAACAGCGATGACAAAGGTATCCGCCACGAGCTATGTGTATGGTCCGTCTTGTGTGGTGGTTGATACAGACCAGAAGGCTGACGGGCGGTCAGAGGTTGTGAGCCCGAGAGTGGTGGACAAGCGGAAAAAATGACCCGCCGCGTCTCCAAGCATATTTTTTGTTCTTTTTCCCCGTGTTGCAACTTTGGTTCATCGATGCTCCCTCGTCACACACCGAAGCAACAGCGATGACAAAGGTATCCGCCATGAGCTGTGCGTCTGATTCGTCTTGTGTGGTGATTGATACAGACCAGGACGCTATAGGTCGCCCAGAAGTTGGGTTCGCAAAAGTTGACTGTGCACCAAAAAGACCCACCGCTGCTGCGTCCAGGCTCTTTCGGCTCGTTTGCCGCTTGTTTGCCGCACACACATCGGGTTGTCCACCTGGTCAGCCGAATGACAACATTACGTCTATCGCCGAGGCTACTGACTCCGTACCAGTCACATGACACGACTCGTGCGAATACCGTTAGAGTTTGCGGGGATCATCCGTCGAGATATTCAAGTTTGTGGGCAAGTGTCATGTGTTGTGACAGAAAAAGGACAACAAAAAAGGACCGTCCCATCCTGTCACAAAGTTGCCCAAAAAGGGACAGGATGGGGCGATCTTTTTTCGCTGTCCCTTTTCGGGAGGTTCAAAAATGCAAAAAAAGACCACGTAACAAGTGGTTCTTGGTCAGTTGTCCCTTTTTGAGAAAAGGGACAGCCCAAAAAAGGACAGCTTAACAAGTGGCCTAACTGTTGCGAGCAGGGGGGATGTTAGATATACTCGCAGCAGTATCTGGTCGTGAGGATCCCAGGGGGATACGTGTTGGGAATTTCGTGTGTTGCAGGGTACCATCGGTGCGGTCACGGGGACCCTTTTGGCGTGGTTGGTGCGATGAAGCTTGCGTGCGTGCTGCGCTCACTTCTTCCTCTCTCTCTCCACCACCACCACCGTCTCTCTCCAATCAAGTTTCCTTCTCCCACTCTCTCTCCAACTCTCTCTCAATCTCTCTCTCTCGGCCTAACACGGCCGACTACCCAGTGCCCCAAGTAACGTCCAGAACGTGCTTGCTGCACCCCGCGTAGTTTACCTTTCAACCACTGTAACTTATTTCCACTCGATATGGATGTTTTCTTTCACCGTGACAGTCATCACATATTCCGCGGCCTGTTGAAGCGGACTTTTGTTTGTGTACACTACAATTACCTTCTCTCCAGGGCCTCCCAACTGCTCTTCAATAGAGCTGTCGCGACTCACCACGAGATCCTGCTCTTTGTATAGACGCTTCTTGGCTTTGAACTTGCAGCGATAGGCGGCAGCAGCGTGCGCTGCTCCTTTCTCGCTGAGCCATTGGCGGACCGTGTCCGAACTCGCCTCTCCGAATTTCTGTCGCACCTCCGTGGAGTTTGCCCTGTTGTTGTGTTCATGCATGCATACGCTTGATGTTAGCAATGACTGGAGACGACGCATATACCGTTGGCGTTGAGAACTTAGCGATCAGCTAACACATATTTCAATCCGAGTAACGCAATTGCAAGGGGGGGGCATGCATGTCCATTCCAATGTTGTTGTGCGTTTCAACGTATCTACTCATCCCTACGGTGTTGGGTGTGACCACACAATCGCAAAAGTCGATGTTCTGGCAATGAACAACAGATGCAATTTTGGGATGGAGCATGGATACGACCTTTGCGTCAGCTACGTATCGTCTGTCGACGTACAGCAGTGTACCTGTTGATCTCGTTCTTGAGGACCTGCCCCTGGTATCTGCATGGCGTCCCGCCAGTGTCGTCGAGCTCCAGGCCAAAAGTAAGGCTGCAATGTCCAGGCCCGTACAAGAACGCCGGCAAAACATCAGACCGGCGGAGGAGAGAACCTTTGGTACTACCGGCAGCCATGTGTGGGCAACGAGCGCCGGGTGCCGCTGTGTTCTTATGAGAAAACAACCATGTGCGGCGGGAAAAAGTACCAATCCTCCCGAACGGGTACGTAACGGCCGCGAACCATATTTGATCGCCGGGCTGCCGGCCTACAGCCTACAGCCATTAATCTCACTTCTATTATAGCGGATTCGGGTTTAGAGTAGCGAAGTTCTCGAAAGTCTCGAGCAAACCGGTATTTGGTCCACAAAACAGCGCGAGAATACATTATCCGGTTTTCGGGTTGAGAACTTTGCGACATCGATCCGCAGACTCTGCGCCATTTAACAGACGTATAGTAGTTGTGTGTTTTTCGTTGCAACACCACCTTCGACCTCAACCAGCAGTGAACCGACAGATGGGTCCGCATCGTGTTCACATGCCCCTGTTATCCAGGGAAGGAAGTAGTGTGCATGTTGGAAAGTTCCGCGATGACCGTAGGTGGATTCACTCTGCATGTCGAGGGTTGCTTGCGTCGAAGGGTTGTTAGCTACAACATGTTGGGAACCTACACACGCAATAAGGTACCGTCATAGACTACTGTACAATAGGCCCACAGGGACGCGGAATGTCAAACGGAAATGAGGCGACCCCCCCTCACGAATTATCTTTTAGCTATTCATGACAAACACAGAGGCTACCCGTTCGAGATATACCGACGGTCGAACGGGATGTGATTCTTGCACTCTTCCCTCAAATTCATGCCATGGCTCACTTCCGCGGAGGCAGACTGTATGTAGAGTGCAACCGAGCACGGTAGCATGGTACGCTCGTATTGTTCTCTTTCAAAAACTGTGGGGTGCGCCCCTATCGCACTCTCCCTCATTGACTACATAGAGGGTTTTTGGCCCCAACCCTGCCGCTTCCACGTAGACTGTAACTATCACCATTTGCACACGCTACGCTGTTCCGGCAAAAGCCCGCCGCCCCTCGGTGCTCATCAGACGGCACGGTAAAGCCGCACAAACTCTTGTGGCACACCTACACGTTAGTCGGCAGCTTCCAAAAACACACAGAATGTTGGAGACGAGACGCGAAAGAAGACACTCTTTGAGACAACACGCAACAAGAAGACGCTCGCAATTTCACATAGACAAATTCACCTTGAATCCCATTCCATAGACTTGTAACGACGCAAAAATGAAGCAGCCACCGAAGATCTCGTTCGGCCAGCGATGCCGCTATGTGGCTATCCCGAAAAACAAAACAAAGAGAGACACGTCACAACAAAAGAAAACACACGTTGGAGTCTATTGGTACAAGGAACACCAGATCATCAATCGTCTGCAGGGTAAAGGTAACCCTCTTTCAAGAGCGAGTGCAGCAGAGTCTCCACCCCCTCGCCCTGCTCCCCCACCAGCGCCGGCCCCAGCTCCCGCGGTGACAAGCGCGGAAAGTCGCACACCAACGCCGCCGCGAAAGCCATCTCTTGCGGCACAGGGAAGTCGGTGCCGTCTACGAAGAGAGTAGCACCTGTGGCGGTTTCGCAGGGGAAGCGTGCAACACGGCTCGACCAATCGATGATGGCTGCCTTTGGGGTATGTTACAGAGGTGCACAAGGCTGCTGCTGATGCTGCTGCGCATCTTTACGCGTGTTCCCGCCTAACCTACGATTGCTTCCTCGTAACTGCTGTCGGAAAAAAAAGCTCTGCCGCAGCTCACCACCTCTACCGCACGTTATCGCCGTCCTCACCTTGTCCCGGCCCCTCGTGCTCGACAAAGGCAAACGTCAGCCCCTCCGCGTGGTACACGAACGGCCCCAACCCGTCCCCGCTCCCCGCCCCACCCCCCGATTCAGACTCCTTGTGGAACGCCCTTTTCACAGCGGCCGTCACGTCCTTGGGGAGTTGGTAGCCAAAGGACAGGCCTTGTTCGTCGTCCATTGGCACCGGGTAGCCAGAGTGGTCTCGTCGCGACCTTGGGGGTGGACGGGGGCGGACATGCTGAACATGGGTGTTGTCTGTCATCTGATGCGCTTATTGTGTCTGCCCCGTGCGACGGTGGCCTATGGCTACGGTCGTTTCTTCTGTGTAGTATACGGACGTGCTGGAAACAAAGGTTGCATGGGCTGTTGGGGGGGGGGTCAAGTACCGAAAGAGGGTAGACTGCACATCAAGAGGGGGCATGGGTACACAAACACCTGCAGCAACAGATCCAGCGGCATGAGCAGCAGCAGCAGCAGCAGCAGCAGCGTAACCCTAATTGTTATGAATAGCGCCCACCAACCCCCACCACCACCCAGCAGCCCACCCACCAACACTAGCAACAACAGCAATAGACAGTGACAGTAGCAGCAGCAGCAGCAGCAACAACAGCTACTGCAATAACAGCGACAGTGCCGTAAGCGCCAACTCACCTGGTGACCTGAGCGCCGAACCACCTGTCGAACGCGACGTCATCATCGAGCGCCGCCAACAAAGCTTCCCGTACCAACCCCTTGGCCTTAGACACCGCCTCTCTCGATATCAAACCTGACACGTGATCCAGCCAAAGGGCAGCGCAGCATCAACAAGACAAACATGTGAGGCAGCAGTTTTGTGAACAAAATATAATTAGTGTGTTTGTGTTCATCCCATCTATTCTGGCGCCAGTCTGCCCATCATTTCGGTGTCCGATGATATGGTTGACGCATCAACCGGCGTCACGCATGATATTTTTTTCTTATTTTCTAATGTTCTCCTAGGTATGTCATAACGAATGGAGTAAACAATAAAATCGAGGTCTGTTCGGGCACCCAAGGAGGCGAAAATGCTGATCGCTCTCTCCGAAACGACGTGCGGATAGTTTGAAGGGCTTGCGGATTCGTGAAGGGCGCGACCGACCCAAAACACGTTCGACGTAAACCGCCTCGCCAAGCGCCTTTCGCGGCTGAGAACGTGAGGCACCCACGCCAGGCCTCCTCTCTGTCTGTCTCTGTCTGTCTCTTTCTCTTTCTCTGCCTGTCTCTTTCTCTGTCTGTCTCTTTCTCTCTGTCTCTGTCTCTCTCTCTCTTTCTTTCTCTCTCTCTCTCTTTCTTTCTCTCTCCCTCTCTCTCTGTCTCTGTCTCTCTCTCTGTCTGTCTTTCTCTCTCCCTCTCCCTCTCACCGTGACTCTCTTGTCTCTTGAGGTTAGGGTCTTGGAAAAAATCGTCCGGTTTTGTCGCAGTCGAGCCCACGTGTTCGCCGAAAAACGATACGAGGTCTCGAACCGACGGAGCCCGAAATCCAACTGAGTACGTCATGCACTCCTGAAAAAAATAAAAAAAAGTGGAAAAGCGCCCGGCGCGGGTAAACAAGAGCACGCCACAAAACATCCATCGTTTTGCGCCAACCAAGACAATTCGCCCAATGCTACACCGATTGTGGTGAGGAAGGCGGGCGTGGTGCAGCCTAAATCGCTATCCGCCGTGCTTATCAAAGGGGCAGTTTCGCCTATATAACTTGTAGAGCAACTGCTCTTGGTATAATACCTGCCTCCTCTGCATGAGGCAACCGACCGGGTGGAGGCTACTACGAACACCGCTCTGGACACCGATTCTTTAAGCAATGAAAACAAAAGTTTGTAGTCCGCTGTAGAAACCAAATCATGGGCCACGTTCAGGCTTCTGCCAAAGCCAAACCGAACAATCTCAATTTCATTCCGACTTCCGAACCGTGAGGATCTACGGAATCGCACCTCGTCTTGGCTAACGCCGTAGTGGGCGAGTCTTGGGGGAAGGTACAGCGCGTCTCCGGGTTCGAGTACCCATCCCTGTTCATGGTCGGCGATGGGTTGCAAAAACGAGGCGTTTTCGGTTCAGCAGAGAACCGAGTGAAACCGTCAAATACTCGACGAAAAGTCAGATATTGATTAGGTCACGAAGAGAACATCAAACAGATACACCAGTAGAACGAAACCCTGGGAGACGGCTCAACTGTCGTTAGCGGGTACACATGCGAGTGCTCTGTAGGGGGCATGACAGGTGGGGAGAGTTTGACGTGCCGAAGGGTAGCCGGGAGGATCCGACAAGAGCAGCTGAACCCCACGAACCAAGATCAACCCTGCAACTCTCTTTGTGACTCTTGATTTCATTCGACTGGTCCACAAAAATAGGATTAGGTGTCCTGCTTTGGTGTGCGGACGGTCGAGACCCACAACGCCGCATAACACATCGATAATTCGCGTGTACAAATATCCACCCGATGGGAGCATACCTCAGACTTCTTGAACTCCGCCAGTACTCTGATGTCGATGTCTTTGACTAACCGCTCCTCTTCCTCCTCGCCCGAAGTGAATGAGTCCTCGATGGACCAGAGTCGCTTGCCGGCGCCCTTGTTGCGGAGGAGGGGCAGCATCGCGACAACAATGTAAAGAACTACTTTATCGAAAAAAAATTTTCACAGAAAATTTCAGCAACTGTTTCAACGTCCATCAAGACACTACAAAAATCTGCACGACATTGGAACAAAGCTTCAGAACAACTCAAGACCCCAAGGACCAACAATACAATAACCATCAATCAAAACCAATCAATACCTCGTGAGAATTCAAGGGAAAACAAATCAGCTGGAAATGTCAGTGCCGACCCAAACCAACACAGAGAGAGTTTGAACTCAACACGCCGTCAGTTGAGGTTAGGTTATTGTTGCCTCCAACACGGAACGAAATGGTAAATGTCCATCCAACCAATATAACGCTACGCATAGTTTCTTTCACGCTTTCTTGAGTTCTTCTACTTTCCACGTAGTACCGTCGCTCCCAGTGTCTGACAACCAACTCAAGAGCACCCGTCAGGGCAAGACACACAGAAAACAATCCTTCATTCAGGTGGCAAGACAGTTTGAACGCGACCTGTCTTCAGCCGTCCTTCCGCCAAAGTTACCCGCGAACAAATAAATCCCTACAAAGTTCACACAAAACGAGGGAATACACACGCTCCGTCGAATATCCAACTCCCGACCTACTAGAAACTGGTGACTCATGCATGCAGACCACCGGGCTGTCGCGCGGACGAAACTGTCGTTGGCGTACTGCCAATATTCGACAAGGGAAGATTCGATCGCGCAAGATATAGTGACGGGTCATGCGTGAAACTCCGGACGAAACGTTGTTAACAATGATTGTTCCCCAAGACACACGATGTACATGTATGCAGGCAACGAAGGTCACCTGAAGAAGGAAGACGTCGTAGTTGTCCAAGTGCGGCCCAACCGAGCCGCCCTTGGGGGCGTAGCTGACCATGACGTCATCCACCCGCCACGACGGAATGAACTGAAACTTCATCAGTAAGTCCGACACCTGCAAGACCAACGGACACCGTCATGGCAATTGTGGCGTGAGCGTGGAAGAGAAGGGGAGAGGATTGTGCCGCATTGTTTCGCCGTTGTTATGAGCACACCCGTGTCCTTTTCTGAAAACAAACACACCTGACCGAGACAGGCGAAAGAAAGCGTACCGGCAGTAAAGACAGAACAACGAACTTCTGTACGATCATGCATCAACAACGGCGGTGCCTATTTCATAGCAGACGAAGAAGAAAGCATGATAATAAATAAAAATTAACCTCGTGCTCTGCTGGAAGGTCTGTGCTGAGATCATAACGCATTCATTCGTAGCACCTTCATTGTAACAAAATGACGTGTCACCCCACAATCGTTGCAGTGCCGGCAATGACCTCAGATTCAAACGAAAAAAAGAAAAGGAGAGCTCTACATTGGCTTGAGTCCATGTCGCCCATCCCTGTCGAATCAGCTCACCTCAGGCACGTGCCGGTTGACCTCGTTCACCAGCAGAGTCCAGTGCGTCTCGCCAAGGTTGGAAAACATCTGAGAAGACAACATCGACAACAAGATTAGAGGTTCGCGACGAAATCAAAAACGATAGGCAAGTGTGAGAGGGGGATGAGCTGTAGTCCGAACACAAAGACAGCCCAACCAGCAGCCCGATTTTCGCCGGGAAAGCATGACCACCGTGGGAAAACAACCCCCGGCTGTGTCGACCAAAACGGCCAAAAACGTCTGAACGCCGTCGTCGCAGAACCCATACACGTTTGCGCGCACGTCCGTCGGACATGGCCTTGACACGAGACGTCCGTCGGACATGGCCTTGAAACGAGAGAGGATGGAACGGCGTAAGGACACACACATACTCGCGACAGTTCCCCTGGAAAGTAGACGCTCGGAAAAGGTGTACCTGACGCAGCCACGCCCATTCAACGAGAACTACTGTAAAACACGCAAGATAACGGCCCCACACACCATACCGCTAAATAGGAGGACGACAGAAGACGTTTCACCCCACCACAAAAACACACGGGGTGAGACCTGTACAAGCCAAAATGTAAACACCGGGGTGTGCTTTCTTGCGTACACTTACTGCCTTAGGGCCCCTCGCCGCTCTTAAAACCAAGTAATTAACACAACAGCGTAAGCACACGTCGCGGAATGGCTCCTTGTTGCACATGAGCAACTGCTGTCCCAGATCCAAAAATGCACCTTCTCTTCGAACGGGCCGTGCTCCACTTCCCAGTCTTTGCCTGCGTTGTCGACGTATCTCCCTCCCGTCACGACGCGAGCCTCGACATCTGGGCAGCAGGATAGCCCCGCCAACTCGTCCTTGGTCAGGATAGTCTCAAACCTATACTGGTACAAACACAAGGCCGAGGGGGGGGGGGGGGTGTCCTCAATCGGTCGGTGCCTACGATGATCATTTTATCGTCGGCCTCACACCATTCGTTCTGAGGCGGGGGGGGTAGGTCGGAAATGATGGCGGGAGCATGACAGCAGTATCCAGTGGTAGATATTTACGAAATTCAGTTGGATGAAAATAGTTGGGACGAAGAGGAACGCACGTTACTTTGCAGTGATGCCGCGAGAGCGCGAGGAGACCATTTTCGGGAGTGGAAGGCTGTCACCTTTAAAATTGTGTGCATGCAATGATGCATTTCAGCTGCTGCTGTATTAATAGTTCCTTTCCTCAATTAGATTCACTGCAGGCCACAGCAGCGACCACCCAGTCACACGGTATCTCCCACGGTACCTCACAGTGATCTCCCACGGTACCTCACAGCGCCGTCGAATTGTGTTCGCGTTGTTGGCGGCAAGGCCGCATGTTTTTTTTTTTTTTTTGTTCTTCACTTTAAATCAGCGCTCACAGCACTACAGTGCCGTTTATTCCAACCCGTGGTCACACAGAAGAGCCTCTCTCTACCCTCCCCTCCTGCGGTACTTCGCCTTCAATTTTTAGTGCGAGAAGAGTTCAGCACTCTCTTCCCTCTGTGTACACACGAACTAGCGCTATCCACTTGGCCAGGAGCGGAAGCGAGAGAAAAACTCACTTTGCAAGAAAAGCTCGCCTACGCCGGGATTCGAACCCCTGACCTGACCTCTAGAAGGTTACGAAGCTACCAACTAGACCACCGGGGCGACCGGCGATATGATACTTCCTGCCGGTTTGTGCCCTGGCTGTCATGGGACACAATCTATTTGCCGCGGGAGGCAACCCACAGCTGCCGAGCAGCAAGCGCGGCAAACTTTGATTCAGGGGCGTACTGAAAACCGAAACAGCAGCATTGGGTGAATACCAACGCATTCGACGCATACGTCGGAGTGCAACCGCACCGCACGCAGGGACGACTGACTCTAGAAATTATTTCTGCGTTCGAAATTCAAATACATGTCCCGTGTGATGTGCCTGCTTCAGAGCGATAAATGTACTCTAAAAGTGTTCCAAATGGAGCCGCCGTGCCACCATACCACGCGCAACCTTCCGATACGACGGCGCGTATGTAACTACATGTCATGTGTAGCGGCAGAGAGACACAGCAGCAGTATCGTACATCCGTACCGCGTTGAATATCACCCCCCCCCCCCCTTTGAGAATACGTTCGAAGACGTACACACGAGACATGCGGCGAGTCGTTTTCGTGCCTGACAGAATCAACCAGATGGGAGGAGATGTTGTTGTACACGTACCCTCCACCAGTTAGCCTTAGAAACACCCAAGGTTCCTCAAAATGCACGGTCGAGCTTCGCACTTGAGGGTGGCTTGTGGGAGTCGGTACCTGCCGCCATGTGAGACATCTTGGTCATGCCCATTGGGCGAAGCAATCCACGTCATACATTTGAAAGGACGGATACGTATCTCTGCCAGCATTGTGCTGCTGTCTCTCACCCTTTGACCGCTTGGCGAATTAGCAGGGGCTTCTTCTGCCAAAACTCAGCAAGGAAACGATCGTGGTCCTCTTCGCTGAACCCTTGCCATACTTCCGCCGTCGCCACCTCCCCCACAGCACTCTCAACAGTAGCTGCAGCAGCGCCTCTCGGCGCTCCGAATCTGCTGCTGACCTGCGGCGCTCGCGAGTCACATGATGTACGCGCCAGAGGAGTAGTCACGAAGGCGCGTGCCTGCCACGCCGACGACAGCGGCACCAGCAACGGGAGGATCTTTGGAGACATGAGGGGTGCTCTCGTGTAACCTTTGACTCCCCTGCTGCTTGTCGTCGTACGATGGCACTTCGGCACTGCACCGCCGTGTGTTGCAGGAACAAACCAGGAAATAATGTGTTGGGGGTCTGCAACCAGGTCAGGTTCAGCGACAACAATGGGGTATACCCCATATATGCAGTTCGCGATTCCCCCGTCCCTGTCGAATCTGAAATCACGTTGCGTTCGTCCCTGTCGCTCTCTCTTCACAGCTCATTGCCAACACGCGTTCGAGGAGGGGGAGATAGAGAGAGGAGGTCCAGTGCTTCGGATCCTCGAAAGTGTGCTAGAAAATCGAGCGCGAGGCTCCAGAGCAGCGGGAAAGCTGCCCTCGTCTTTCTCTTTCCCTTGCATGACCACAACCGGCTGAGTGTGTGTTGGTGCGCGGCTCCTGCTGCCGCCAACATCATCGCAACGGTCACGACGGCTGCTGGAGGCCGTGCAGGAGAAAGGGAGATAATCTTTGTTGCTGTTGGCGTGGGTGGCGGTGGCCAGGCGCGGCCTGGAGGATGATTATCCAAGCAGGAAATGCTGTGGCAGCATGGATTTACCTCTGGATGACCTTCCAGCTTGGCTTCTACGAGTCGACGGACCTCCTTCCACGAGTGAGCGACTACAGTAGCAGCACAACAGCAGCAGTACAACAGTACGGCACAGCAGCATCCGTTTATCCTGCAGGTTCATCGTTGCCGTGATGACGCAGCTTAGTTGAAGCAAGAACCTCTTGTGCTGCTGCGTTGTTGTTCGCTCTCAAGCGTGGTTCACTGCCGGGTTCTTATCGTCAACGAGCGTCACCAAAAACGTTGGACAGGCCCAACATCAACTCTAGGCAACATGTGCAAGTATGCCATCTCGTCTTGCGGTTGGCGTCGGTGGCATATCCTACAGCTGTACTGTACTGCCACCGCCCACTTCGGCTTCCAATATCCCCAGCAATCCTCCACTTCCAAGATTTGCAGTGTTGCTATCGTTGTTCAAATGTTTAAATAACGACGTGAACACTACTTTTTCTAAATCGTTAGTCCGTGTTTTGACGTTTTTGACGTGACACGCGGCAGCACCTTTGCCCGTTCGACCAACTACTGTAGTCTCGTTGTTGTAGCTCACGAACGTTGCCGCGAGGCGAATCTCGAACACTGCTGACTCCTGCAGATGACTAGCTGCTGCGAGACGGAAGGATGTGCACATTGTAGCAGCTGGCGCCCTAGCGTTTGCGTATGTATATGCTGCGACGAGGCGGGCGGCGTGACGATGATTGCTTGACTTGACACCACCAGCAGAGTGATGACTACAGTCAGTACTGCTGTGTCATGACCGACTTTGTACGCCGTGGCTCCAAATGCTCAAGTCTCATTCTCAAAAACTATTCCGAAGATGGTGCCACAGCGGGAAATCTGACGTGCACGTGGTGTGCTCTGCGCGAAGTAACCTTTTTTTTTTATCAGTCAAGTGTATTTTGGAAGCCCGGAAGACGAACGACCCTTGGAGACTGACCGTGACGGACCGCGGACGTCGCCGCGATTTTCGCCGCAAGTCAGCTCTACCCTGGGCATATTCCCCCGTGATTTTGTCGTATGGAGATATGATTAAACGGAAAATTAACACCCATCTCTTGCACATGCTTCGTTTCGACGCTCAAGATACGTAAAGAGTAGACTCAGCCTGTACGTGCGCAATTGAAACGCCGAATATATCGCCAAACAAACGCCCTGACAAGCTGCCATGTCCACCCCGCGGTTCCATCGCTCCGTACCTGTGTACCAACAGGGACCCCGGTTACCGCCCAAGCACGAGGCTAGGTACCTCACGGCGTTTGAGGAGCTCATGCTGAGGTGGAAGGACAGCGATGTGGAGTTTTTTGTGCCGCAACTTGCGGCGGTGTTGATGTCCAAGGGGGTTCCTTCTAGGAACGTGCATGTGAGTGTACATCGGTGTCCGGGAGTTGCAGGTGGGAGGGGGAAGCCACATGACACGGGGGGCTTCGATGCAATAGCAGCGGAGCCCTTGCGTGTTTGTCTGCTGGGATGACTACTGGGGTGTTTTTTACAGATACCTTGACCATGAGCGGCCACGCCCAAGAACGTTTGGAAGATGGTCCACGTGAGGAGCACGCGACATCAATGCTCGTCGTCGTCAAGAATACGCAAGGATAAATATTACCAACGTTCCAGCAGCAAGCTTCTTTTCCTGAACCGTCACGAATGCATGCCTCACTGCTGCGCCGCGCCCACGTCTTGGCAATCGACTGCTGTCGCAGATTACACAATTAGTAGTGGGGAGACTGTCGGCGAACTTGCAGCAGCGGTGCTTCGGCAACATAGGCCTCGCTGTCCAGATGATGTGGCAGTTCGAGGCGGTGGGGCGACGGCCCCAGGAGGATGGCCCATCTTGGAACGCCTTCAAAAATGTAGGGGAATACCCTGTGTGATACCATCTCCTTGTGTTTTTAGAGGGGGCGTTGTAAGGGAAAGGTTGTATTGCCTTAACTATCGTTTATATGAATGCTAGCCTGTTGATGAGTGTTTGACACGGCATGTAGGAAAGCCTGTGTGGCATGTGCTGTTGCAGAGGACGCTTAGGATGCGCGGTAGACACGAGCGTATAGGCGCAAACTCCGGAAAGTTCTCTAATGCATCCAACAATCGGTTTGACATCGCTTTCCCTGTTTTTTTGTTTTCCGGTTTGTATACGCGCGCCCCGGGTTGCTGCTGCTGCCGCTGCTCCTGCCGCCGATGCTCCTGCTGCTGCTGTTGCTGCGTCTGTTGGTTTGAACGAATCAGAGTTACGTTCTAGCTGCCTTGAATGGAGACAACCTACCGGAGCAGCTGAGGATGCAGCGGCGGGCATATTGCGCCGATTCGATGGCCTTTGTGGACACGCTTATGGACATCGGCGATTCGTAAGTTGTTGTTGGCGGTGGTGTCACTGTTGTATTTGTTGTTGTTGCTGCTGCTGCTGCTGCTGTAGGTGACGGTGTGGATGGGTTGACTTTTACGCAGGGTTCGCGTTTCTGAGATGTTTCAGTTTGCTAACAAGACACTCGCCGTTCTTAGGAACTACGTTGACATCTCGCTACCACTCAATGCAAAGTAAGGCTCAGCCACCTTGTTACCGATTTACTACCGGTGGCCACCTGTATTTCCGTTCGTCGCCCGTGCGGAGAATGCGATACTCTTCGAGAGGCAAACCGAACCTCATTGTGCCTCTCCCGTTTCGTCAGGCTGAAGAAGCTACCCATCAAGCGTCGATTAAGCGCTTTGGACAACGAGCTCGGGAGGGTAAATCGTATGCTCCTGCGGAGAATGCAGACCAGGTGCGAGCTTACGTGCAACGTGGTGGGCGTATAACTACATGGTTACGTCATACCTATGTCGACCCGTTTCACTCAATGCTCACATGTTTTAGGCATGAAATTCAAATAGTCCTCTTGGAGGTCGAAACTTGCTTCCGTTCGGCGAAGCCCGAAGTCCGTGGCTGGGGGGCCATCCAGATTCACATTCACATAGTGGCGGAGACGAATGATTACACCTGGACAATTGTCAACCGTCGGCGTATGATGCTTTGAAACTGTGACCCCTCTACCTGTTCGGCCCGCCCTTGGCAACGCGTGCTATTTGGGGTGCTCTGTGTACAGGGGGGCGAGCTTCGAGATCCCGGGGGACACCGTGGCAGGAGGAGGGGGGGGCGGCGGCGGCGGCGGCGGCGGTCGGGAGTGGCTTAACGAGCACGATGTGGCGGCGGTGTGTCCGGAGGTGTCCCACCACGCGATACACCTGCCGATAAAGGTGTTGAAGCCCGGACAGCCGGCGGCGACGCGTGCGGTGAGGGTGCTGCGGCTCTGTCGGGAGCTGTGCCGAGTGCTCCCCAGCAAGGAGAAGGCGCCGTACCTGGTGGTTGCCGAGGTCTTGCAGACGTCCTTCAGGTGATTTCAAGCTTGGTTTCGGAGGATAATCGGGTGCTTTTTGCTGGGGGCCGGATGTGGTTTAGCATGGAGTCGGATGCTTTCGCAGGGAGTCGGATATTTTAGCAGGGAATCGGATGCTTTTGCTGGGAATCGGATGCATTTGCAGGAAATCGGATGCTTTTGCGGGAAATTGAACGCTTTTGCGGGGAATTGGATGTCCTGGCAGGGAAATTGATGCTTCGGAGGGAAGGAATTCGGGGTGTGTTGTTTCATCCTTTCGGAGCTGAGGCTGTTGGTGCGCGGTGCGGGTCTGGAGGGGAAATTGAGCCAGGCGTTTCCGAGCCGCAAGAGGTCTTTTGCCGGGGGTAAGGGTTGTCGAGACTTTCGAGAAGAGGTTTTGGTGACTTATCGGCTTGCTCGAGAAGCAAAGGGCTGCGATAAGTTCTCGAAAATGAACGCCTTTGGAAGAAACATGTAGGCGTTAGATACTCACGAGAATGGTGGCGAGAGGAGAGCTTGTGACGCCAGCCAGCCTGGGTTATGTGCTTGATTTTAGTTGTCGATCGGGTTGGGTAGAAAGACAGCCAGGATTTTTCATCAACCTTGCTTGCTTGCAGCTCGCTCATTGGTCACTTGCTTTATACCCACGAAGCGATAAAGTGGGTGTCTAGTACGTGGTACATGCTCCCATTGGCATGTATGTCACAGATTTCCATGGTGCGAAAGCTGTGGTTTTGCTTAGCCCCCTTCCCCTTCGGCGTGCCCGAAGCGGTTGTACTGTACCCGGCTGACTGAAGGTCGTATTCTGGTTTAGAAGGCGCTCTGCATATTGTTTCGAACCTACATTGATAAAATTCCTTTCCTGGCAACTTGCTCAATGGCACGCTTGCCTATCGCCGACCGATCGAATGAACCTCAGAGGATTACCTCCGGCGAAATCACTTCGCACGTACAACCGCCCCCGCGTCCCCAGACGTTACTTGCTCGTTGTTTTCGCCCCGCGGACTTCTGCAGCTAAATACATGCCCGCGCCAACCCCCCGAACTCTCGCTCGTGTCTTGTTGTTGTCTGTGGTTGCCTCTGCTCAGCTACGCGTCGGACCGCCTGTATCTGGAGGGGGGAAGCGCGGGGGTGACCTGCGAGGACGTGGTCAATAAGAAGACCTTGCCCCAGGCCCTGCAGGAGGAGCTGTTGAGGTCGAGGGGGCAGGACGTGGTGAGTGCTTCACCCGCGGAGGCAAATAGGGAGAATGTTGTCGTTGCAGACCTGTTGAGAAACGTCGTGTCTCGAGCTGGGTGTACTGGGCATTCTCTGACCATGGAGAAGCCCGAACACTAAAGGGGCGTTAGGTTGCCAAGTCGAACTAGAGTGACCAGTGCTTGTTGATTGATGTCTTCCCTGCGTATTGAACGCAACCGTTGCCCCGACTTTGAACGATGTTAATGCAGCTCTGATGGTGGTGCATGTTGTGGCGAGATTTTTCATGCCTTGCAAGCATCCTGTTGAATTCCCGGGCCGGAGTGACAAACTGGGTGTGTCCTTTGACGCTACCACCCTCCATTCCTCTTTTGGCGACAGCCTCCCGGTCTGTTTATCTAGACCATCATCATGATGGTGTATGACTAAATCACTAGAATAGTGCGTGTTTCCTGGCACCTCATTGCCACCAAGACCGCGGCAATCCTGGTTCCCAAATGCCAACAATCAGAGCCAAGCGATAAGCTGAGGGGTGTCTGTCACTTGCTCCATTTTGTTTTCGCCCTCTCAACAATGGGCACCAGTCTGCATCGACATTGTTCTCTTCGGGATATTTGTGCCAACCGGGGTGATGCACGAGGAATTCTCGCGTGTCTCCACCGGTGCTTGCCTGCTACTTTTCACTCCAGAACGGTTTTGCAGTCCCTTCCCTCTTTGTTGTGAACTACTCACGACCGTGCATATTTTGTTCACTTATTTTGGTTGCGAGATATTAGCTTTTTCACTCCGGACAGATTCGAACTCGCAACCTAGAGCCATCGCGTTCTACAATACGAGACTCCGAAGTGAACCGCTTCGTCATTCTTGTGCGACCGACCAACCCCCTGTCATGAAAAATCACTTTACCCCGCTTTCGTTTGGGTTCTCGCAGTGGGAAGATCAGAACCAAGACGAGGCATCATCGCAGTCGTACCAGCTGGAGCTCGAGGAAGCGGACTGTTTGTTCTTCGACAGGGCGACGAACCAATACCTCACTTCCGGGGACCCCAGCAGCCCACATATCAAGAACATGCGGGAAGCTCTGCAGGTAAATGCAGTACGGTCCGAGATAAAGAAACGTCAAAATCGGGTTGAGGCTCAATTTCTTATTCATCGCCACTGCTGTCTGTAATAGAACAGGTTATTAAATAGAGTTTAGTGTAGGATCCACCGCTAGTCTGTGTGTCCGAACCCTTTTTTTATGTTTTCGTGAAAGTTGGAGCCTCTGTTTCTTGACAAAATGTTTCTCAATTGGTGACCCTTACTGTACGCTTGCATGCTGCTGCTGCTTGTCTGTTGCTGTTACCGTTGCTGTTGCCCTTTTCGGCTTCGGTACCGAGGTCGTCTGTTCCACTGAAAAAATCGGATGCGAATGTGAATACCCCAATGATCCCTATAGTACCAAACATAGTGGAAGGCCGGTAGGGTTAGGAGTTAGTGGGAACAAGAAATGGCTGAAATCGACTTTAGCGGTTCGTAGAAGAGACATGATACATGCAGGCGTTGCTGCGAACGGAAGGCCGTGAACGTCAACACCGTTGTTGTCGGAAGGGGTTTTCGATATGAACCAAGAGGCATGTGTGCGTGGGGTTGTCCATCTGTCGTTCCGCGCTGGCCGTGTCGTACCCGGTGTACCATGTAGAGGGTTGGTGTGTGCGAGACGACCGCATGCGTGTGTGTCTGGTTGTATGCTTGCGTAGTGTCGCATGCTGTGTGCAGCGGCGTCGTCTCTGCTTCCACCTGTCCACACCGGTCGATCCAATGAAGTCGCTGCTCTATTGGCGCTTTTTCAGGAGATACTCTGTGGCTCTGGCTATCTATCCTAGGCTCGCTTTGTACACCTACTCAGTTCGAAGCAATGACCTACCAACCCACTTCCACTCATTCATTCAATTCAATGCATCTCACCGCGCATCCTACCCCCAGTCCGAGTATTTCGTAACTACACAAATGTGCTCGGGCAAGATTTCTCTGTTTTGAGGGATGTGCAGCGGATCGAATGAACCTGTTTTTAACCCCAAACCCTGCTGGAACCCTGCTGGAACCCTGCTGCAAACATCCCGTCCAGGTGTTCGGCACCACGAGCGCTGCCCTGGAGCGCATGGTGCGACATCAGAGTCCGTTTGGGCATCTCAAGGGCTGGAAGCTGGCGCACTTTATCGTCAAGTCCGGGGACGACTTCAGGATGGAGGCCCTGGCCATGCAGGTAAGGTTCGAGATGGCCGATGAGTCGCACCTTGCGTTGTTCACGGCTGTTTTTGTTGCGATTTCCGCAAGAGAGCAGACACGCGTGTACTTGCAAAGCCTGGTGATGGTTAAGATGTGCGGGGGGGCATTGGTTGCAGATATAGAAGTAGTCATGTTTCGGGAACAAGTACCGGTTCACGGGCATCGTGCTTGGTGTGCGGTGCTTCGAACCACATTTCGAGACGCAAAGACTGCTAGACATGATAACACACGTGGCCGTTCCTGGCACTCCGGCGTGGAACTCTGAAGCTTCACGAGGTTGGCACAAAACATGCTCTGTAGTGGTTCAATGCAATGACCATCTCTTGAGATATCTACAGTTAACAACGCAAACCTCCAATATTATGAAACTGGATGAGCCTGACCTTGATAACAGGTGCTCTCAGTCAATTAGTCTATTCTAAATCCTATGCAGACGATATTGGGTTATTTAGTACCCTTGAGAGAAAATAAAACACGAACCTCGAACAAAATATGAGTTTTATTGTTTTTGTGTGTGGGCGCGTTCTGTGTTGCGCCCCCCCCTCCCCCGCCCGCACCCTATTCCATCGGCGTTATCCTCCTGTGAAGGTGATCAGACTAGTCGACAGCATCTTCAAGCGGGAAGGGCTCAGCTTGAGGTTGAGACCGTACTCCATCTTGTGCTGCGGGGAAATGAAGGGGCTGGTGGAGTGCGTTACGGACGCCAAGAGCATCGACCACATCAAGAAGTTCACAGCGAAGAGCGGGGGGATACGGGTGAGGAGATGTAGTAGGCACGAACACTTACCATACACGATAGACTACGGTTTCGACACGCTACTGCTGTTATTTCATCGTCCCGGTCTCTGCTAAGTACCTTGAAGCATCCGCATCGGGCCAACTGATGCACATGAATTCCATGGTCACAGGGCAAGTAGCCGAAAATTGTGCACGTATCGCATGCCGTTGTGCTACTGCTGTGCCGCGATTCCTTTGGGAATATGACCATGGCCAAAGGCAGAACCAACGCTTGCGTGTTTTTTTCTTTTTTTCTCCCACTACTGAAATGGAAAAAAATCCGGTGTTTACCGCACCTTCCTCCTGTGTTAGCCCCGACTGATTCTTCAAGAACACACCGAAAGATGCAGTCTGGCGCCCAGAATATCCAGGGCCAGAAAAAACAAGAGCACCACACACACTTATAACCGGATGCTTTCGCTGTCCTGTACTTGTTGCCCCTTCGGGTCTGACTGGTCTAACCCAGACATTCTTCGAGCGCATGTACATGGGAAAGACGTCGGGGCTCTACGGGAGAGCTGTGGACAACTTCGTCAGAAGTCTAGCCGGTTACGCGATCGTAACCTACATGCTGCAGGTACAGTATGTAGAGGTGCTCGGACGGTGCTTCCTTAGTTCGTTATACACCGGTACATATTGTGTCCCTGTCTCGGACACTTCCTTTTTTTTTTTCGGATTTCTGCTTTGCAATTTTACCCAAATGCAGTTTTTAGTTTGGTTTCTTGGTAATCAGTACGGTCGCCGCCTAGACGTGATGTGGGCGAGCAGGAATGGCTAGGATCGACGGAGAGCTTCGGTTTAACTGCGAGTGTGTCGAGAGAGCAAGTGCTGCCATGATTCGAGAACCGGGCCTGCAGCGATGATGCCAGTGTAAACCGAAATCCGGAACGCGTTTTGCTTGCCTTGCTTTTTTCAGGTGAAGGATAGACACAACGCCAACATCATGCTGGACACCAGGGGGCACATTATCCACATCGATTTCGGCTACATCCTTGGTTCTTCTCCAGGTGACCCCAACGGCCAGAGGACAATGACCTCATGTAAAGTTGTGTACTCATTCGGAGTATGCGTATATCTCGGTGTCAGATTGCTGCTCTTCTTTTCCGCTTTCGCGACAAACGATTGGCCTAACGAGGCACGGAAATACCATGTGTTTGTGGGAGGTATGTGCGACAATCGGACCCATGATGGGGAAGATACTTGCTTGTGTTGGACGACGTTCCTGGGTTCATAGGAGTCTTTCAAGGATTGCTCTTGTTTCGGGGTGCCGGTTTTCTCGGAACGAAACCCAGCCTGAATTTCTGCCGCACACTCTGGCGAAGGCGCCATGACGTACCACGACAACGTGGAGTTTTGTGCGGTTATTTTTATGTCCAGGGAGAGGGAGGGGTAACTGTGACGGAGCAGGAAATTCGTGGTGATGGCGTATGTATCACGTCGGTGGCTGTGCTTTCTCAAAGTAATTTTTTTTCCTGATGTTGATCAAAAAGTTCTGGGGGATAATTTTTGGTTTTATTTCAAAATCAGCGCGTTTCGAGCAACGTTAACACTGGGGCCTCAGGACACTATCTATAATCATTGATGCTGCAGCGGTCGTCGGCAGTGATTCGTTTGGACTATGCATACTTGTATTTGACAAAGACGTGTGTCCACCACGCTGCTCGCAGGGTGGTGGAACCACGAGTCGGCTCCGTTCAAGTTCACGCAAGACTACATGGAGATCATGGGAGGGCCTGGAAGCGACAAGTATGAGAGGTTAGAAGTGACACTCGCGTGTCCTATTTTAGTCTTCGGTGTGCCTCATGTGTTTGCACTTTTCAGGTGGTCTCACGGTCTTACGGTAGTATCTGTATTGCCTTGTGTTTCCTCCTTTTACTTTTTTCTTTGTTTTTTTTTATGTCCAACTACCTAGGCTGGTGTTCTGCTCTATGTGCTTCTTTGTCTTACGCCGTATCTCCTTCTCTCCAATGTTGCTTCTGGCACTGTTCCTGGCATCTTTCCGAAGGTTCCGCGAGTTGTTCCTCACGGGGTTCAAGGCGGTGCAGCGGCATATGCGGGAAATCGAGACCTTGATTTGGCCGATGTTCCCCTCCTCCGATCACAGAATGACCACTCAGGTGAGTCTACTCTCCACGAGTTTCCCGACTTGGAGTGATATAGAGCTTTCTGCTACCCTTAACACGAACATCGATTAATCATGTTGAGATCGTTGGGGTGGTATTATAAAGAGTTGGTGTTAAATCATACATGAACGGCTCGTATTTCATTCGTTCTCGGAGAGGGTGGTGCTTTTCCTGAATAAGGGCAAGCAACATGCCACAAGAATCTGTTCCAAGTCATTGTTTCGGTGCCGTTGCTTTTGCCGCCCCCAATCGCTCATGGCGTGAACCGTTGCGTTTGTCTGTTTGTTCGCCTCTCCCCGGAGCAGCAAATACTGTTCCGAAAACGGTTCATGGACTTCCAGACGGACGACGAGATCATGCGCCTGGTGGATGATTCCGTCAGGTCGTGGACCACCGGGCAGTACGACGACTTCCAGCAGAAAACCAACGGATACCTCAAGTAGATCGGCTGGCCAATCTGCTGGGGGAAGCCATCGGCTCTCTTGACCATCGGCTCTCTTGACCATCGGCTCTCTTGTTCAAGTATCAAAGGATCAAGGAACAGTACTCGTAGCTGCAGGTCTGGGGGAAGTCAGCGGTTACGTTTTTGGTGGGTTCCCACATGGGGTGCACGCGAACCATGCTGAATTTTCAACCAGCATGCGAGGAATTCATTCTTGCGGCATTAGAGCCGCACCTCTATAGTTCTGTAAACCTTAGTCTTTGTTCGCTGGGAATAGGCCCATTGGTTCGCCTAACTGTCGTGGTCGTTCGCCAAGGATGGTTCGGAGTCCGGTACTACAGGTTATTCGGAGTTTACAGGTACCATGGTATGTGGGCTGGGTTGTCAAGGGTGGGCTACGAAGAACCCTCGATTGCGAAGCCCGAAGCCTCGTTCACTGCGTTGCAGGTATGTACTGTAGAGAAACGTAGATGATCGACGATCTCCCTCCCGACAGGTCTCTATCAATTTGCTAGGCAGAAGACATTGTGACTCGCTGAGTGCGTGAGGGCGAGCCGCCTCTGCAGAATGTAAATTTCCTAGGGCACTATAGGTAACAATGTAACAATCGTCGGGAGATTGTCGAGAGCTTCGGAGATAGATAAGGCAGATCTGAACGGGATCCTGTAGCGAGGTGGATCAGATACACTACCAGTGGCCTTGGTCAGTGTTTCGACCCATGCGGTAGCCGCCGATTGTAGACTCGAGGCTCGGCAGCAGACTCCCTTTCTTTACCATCGAGTCCTCCTTATGAAGGAATTGGTGCCACAAGTGAGAACTGCCCAGTGCGAGCGCCAAATTACGGACAAGGTTTACCAGTAGCTGAGCCATAGGGTTTTGAAATTCGCCAGGGGTAAGGATATGGAGTTCACGCTCCCTTTCATGCTGAGAGTCCCGTTGTTCGTGGCTACTCTTGTCTTCACTTCGGGAAACTTTCATCGAGCATCATCGTCCAACCGTGGACAGCTTGGGAATGCATGGTCGTGGGGATGTGTGTTTTCGTAAGGAAAGGAGGATGCTGTACGGCCAGAGCTTGTTCTGGCCCTGCTGTGTTTGAGTGCTTTCAAGCCCGGCATGAAGCGAATCATTCTGTGCTACGACTCGACACAACAACACCACACTTGAGGTGGACTGCCTGCTTGGGTAGTGTACGCCTGCTTCATTCAGAGGACTCGCGTTCGCGAAGAAGACAAAAGCGTCTTGAGAGGGCCAAGCGGTAGCCCAAATGATCACAGTTTCACAGATTGTTACGACTATCTTGTTTTGGCGCAAGCAGAACTTACGGTGATCTGCCCCGGATGCGGGCATGACATATGTATGTACGCATGCCTTCGTCCGCCCTTGTGACGTGCTGCGCCAGGAGGATCCAACGTTTTGGTCACAAAATGAACCTCCCTCGTGAAACGGGTTTTCTGTCAGATGTTGGAAGATTGTTGTGTTTGTTGTTCTTCTGCCGCTGCGCAAGGGAGCAGCATGGTGCACACACCATGACCATGACCATCGGTCATGATTAAAACAGAGTGTCACAGAGTACATTTTGCTGCTGCAAAATCGCTAGTCTAAGCTTCGCGACAGAAATTACCTACGCGTATGCATAAGCCTCTGGTAGAGGCAATCCGTATTTTCCGAAGCCAGGAAGAGGAGCAAGGCCATCGTCGGGTTGTGTTCTCGCCGACACCAGGCCAATCCCGCTTGATGCTCTGAGACTCGAAATCCCAGACCTCCCTGGTGTATCTTTAACAGACCGCCGAGGTCTGGAAGGGGTTGCGCCCAAGAAGCAGTGAACTCTACTCTATTTATTACATAATATCAAGTGACTCCGTTTTCGCAGGCCGACGCTGACTTCCGACCGGCGAGAACGTGGCACTTTGTACGAACTAAAAAAGATGCACATCGTGACACAAAAAAGACTCAGACGACGGCTGTTCCGTGACTTGATTGGCAAAAGATACCCTTCACGCGGGATTTTTTTGCTATTTTTTCATGAACGAGCAAAAATATAAGGTAATACTAACGGGCCAATCGCCGTCTTCCACTTGATTGATGTCACAAAAAAAAGCAGCTGAAAAAAAGGGAAGATCTTCGTTGCGAAACCACACCCTCCACATTTTCCCACTCCTTCCGTCCACTCCCGCACTCAGCAAGCTTCATCCAGTTTACCATGATCCACGACCGCGCCCGCCTCGCCACCACACGGAGCGCACACGATAGACACCTCTCACGGGCCTACTGGGTGAGCTTTTGTCGTGCCCCTCGCCCTCCGCGCCGCGGTTCGTTGGTCGAAGAACCGAGCCAAAGACGCCCTGTTCTCCCACCTCTCCTGACCTACTGTACCCACCGCCAAACACCTCCAGTTTTGACCCTCAAGATCGAGCATTGCCCAATTTCCAACAGCAGTCAATGGTTCTATCTGGTGAGAAACAGCCTGGCCCTACTCGCGGTGGGGTTGAAGATGCAGGCCTCGGCAGAGTATCTGCTGTTTTCCCAAAGGGAAGGTGCCACAGACGGCGGCGGGTCAAATCAGGTGAGAAATGATATGGACATGAACGAACATACAGCAGTAGGCGCCCTTTGTTCCTCCCTGATCTCTCCTCTCAGACCTCTCAGAACTCTCTGGATTCTCGCCCTCCATTGCCCCGGCGTTGAGGGCATGGCGGCGAAGATAGAGAGAGGTGCATCACCGCCCTCTGGGCTGTCGACTTTTTGTTCTTGTGGGGGAGGACGGTGGGCAGGGCAGCACAACAGAATTCATCCGCTCTACAGGATCTGGAAAAATCGAGAGGGAAGCGAGCCGCTTTTTTCATCGACAGAAACTGCTTTGCTGCTTGAAGAACCTTCTACTGCTAGACTAATTACATGTACCGCCGATGATGTTCGCGGGCGTACATGTAGCTCTGCATTAGTAGCAAAGAAGGATCCATGGTGTCTTTGCCGTGAATGTACGTACTGTAGTCAGCCTCATCCTTTCGCGGGGGTGAACAATGGCAGTGTCGTGGACACAACGGGAGGCGTGCCAACGAGCGGATGCTGAACCAAAGCAAACGCAGCAGCTGCCGCCCTTGAATCAAATAATCCTCCGATCTTGTGCGGCTAGCCCCATGTAATGTGGAATCTTCAGGAATGCTGCCCGTGTGTGGGAACAACCTCATGTCCGCCCCTGTCCTCCTCTCTCCACTTATTCCACTGTCAGACTCTCACACTGCTGTGAGCTCCACGCCCTGCTTGCCACCCACCTCTCCTCTCCTTTTCAGCGGCCTTCGGCGGCGGATGATTCGAGCAAATCATTCAACGCCGTCCCTGGTGGCGTACAAACTACCAACGAAGAGAGACGGCCCAGCCCGTTCGCCCTCCTCTCTGGTTCGCCATTCTTGAGTAAGCGCCCCGCCGCGTCTCATAGAAGCTAGAGTTTCTGCATGGCCAGTACCCACTCTCAGCCGAGAGTGTGCCACAGGCAAGGTGCACACAGATTTGGAGCTCAATCAAGGATGCATGAGAAACTGCGCAAGTGCTGATGATCCGTGCGACGTATGCATAGATCCGGGTGATCTGATCCGACTGCTGCTGTGTGCGTCTCAGCTTTTCAGCAACCTAACCGCTGCTGTGCAAAATCGCGGCGCAAGATGACAAGGAATGTAGGATAACCTTCCATATATTACGTATCTACCCATGCTCGCTGAAGGGTGACCACACACCAGGACTCTGCGAGAGAGCTGTGCAACACGCAACGACACTTCAAACTTTAATTCCGCCGCATTTCTCCATCTATCTGTCTCCTGTCCGTGTTGCAGGGCAGACAAAGCCAAGCCGAGGCCGGGGTGTGCGCCAGCTGAGGTGGCCTCTCGAGAATTAGTTCCTTGCCTGTGAGGTGAGAAGGGAAGCTCGGACACCGTGGTGACATGGTGGGTGGGTGGCATGGCCGTTTGTGGAGAAAGCTGAAGCACCAAACATGGCTACATATCCGGGTCGTGCGAGCGATGGAAATCTACGAAATCTCCGTTGTTCCGCCGGATGATTAGACTTCTCAATCAAGCACGTCAAGGAAGTTTTCCCGTTGTTCCGCCAGATCATTATCCTCCCTCAAGGACATAACCACGCAAAGTTCGATGACGTGCAAGCCGTAGTTGCCATTGGTTCAACCTACAACATAGCTTTGTAGGGTGTAAGCTGGTGAGTGTTGTAGACTACGGCGTATGTATGTAGTACACGTACAGCAATACTAGCTGTATTCCAACGGACACCGCCCGCCTCGGTTATCTCGGTATGTATGCATTTGGCTGCTTGCTCAGCACACGAGACAACAAATACACTAGTTAGGGTTCGGTCGGTTGCTGTTGTCGTAGCACCTAACCACCTGGCCTAAAGTATGCACACCCAGGGCCTTTGGGTTGCGTTCAACAGTCACTGAAAAACGCACGTACGTACGTGCTGTCCGATGCGACTCGGTAGCACCCTGCCAGACGTAGTGCTGTGATCGCACCGGCTGTAATCTCGCCGAAATCCCGGAGGTTGGGAGACCGGCAGGCTGTAATTTGGCAACTGACCGGGAAAGGGGCGGCTACACTCGATCCGCTCCGTCATCAACGTATGTACTCCGCCTGGTGCTTTCAGTCCGGTTCTCGACAAGCATCACTTTGGTACGTACTCTCCACAGGTGAAGTGACAGCCTCACCTCCAGGATTCAGGAATCTGAAAAATGGTTTACTGCATAGCCAAACAAGCCACATCCGACTAAGGGCAATGCTAGGTGCTATGAGTGCATCGATACGAACACTGCCGCCACGCCTCAACAATCATCAACTCTACCCATGCGGGTGCCGCTCTCATTAAATAGTGTCCATCTTACGCGACAATCTCACCGTTCTTGTAGTCATGTACTGGTACAGAGGAAACCACACGGATGCGAATCTATTCATAATCATCACCCAGCCAGCTTCCAGAAACGCGTGCTATCCGATACTATCTCCACCAGTGAGGCAAACCTTCCACCCTCCGTGGTTTCAGGAACAATTTCACTCATGATGCTCTTCTGGGCGTACGCACCAAGCAAGCACAAATGCTTTCCAAACCGACAATATTCCTTCTATTACGGGCGCTCGTCAAACCGATCTCAAAGGTTTGGGCTACGGTTACTCGACAATTATGCGTGAGGATGGATACTCGTGTGGAAAATCTACAAGTTACAGGGCTACCACGAGCTGTTCGGCGTCGGCATGATCCTCAGGCGCAAGAGCCGTCGGAGCAAGAGAGAGAAAGAGAGATGCGGAACGAAATGCTATTGCTCTCCGGATCCCGCGAAACCCTTGGTCTCTCCGAAGCCTCTCTACATCAAACCTCGGAAGCACGGTGTGTGCTCTAACAAATCAACCGTTGTTTGCGTCCCTCCCTATCTATGCATAGAGCAGTGCATTCAAAGGCGGCAACGAACAAATAATTAAAAAAACTTCCAATCTAATCGGTGTGAAACCAGAGCGACAACAGCGTCTTCGGCGGCAGCTCGTCAACGTGGTAATCTCGCAATCCCGACAGTCCCAACTCATGGCCCTACAACATATCCCACACCTAACTATTTCCACAAATAAATGTAATACAAGAGACAGCCAGCACCATCAGTGTCGACAATTAGGAAAACTACGGCAACAAAGCACAAGAGGATGCTACGCCATGACAAGCAAGCCTATCATCGCCGTTGATCGGACGACTGGAATCAGTAGGACGGGTTTCCAGTGCCTTCGGATCAAGGAGCGACACGAGACGGACAGCATCAAGTGGACGGCGGGACACTTGGGGTTAGGATCAGGCATAAACAAATGACGATAGGAGCTCGACACCGTAGGTTTGGCCGAGGTATTCTCGAATACCAGCCGCTCACCGGCCGCAAAATGTCCCGAAAACAATTTAGGGAGGCATTTGCTTTGCAGAAGGCGGCGTCAAGACGAGCAGCCGTTGGACAACACGATCATAAAATGACTCTAGAGGGGACGCTGCTGCTACGCACGCATACAGAGCCGTGAAAACGGAGCTCATGAAAGTCAACGTCATCGGGGCATCGACAAGGGTGTATCACCGGTGGTACTGAATGACGTGCCCTCGCAGATATTATTACGCGACGAACGTCGAAGCGGGCCCATTCCCAACCAACCTCAAGTTATCCCACGCGCCAACATCAACAACAAGCTCGTGACTTACCGTCGGTCGGGGCAGGGACCACGGGCGACGAGGTGGGGGCGGAAGTACCGACGTCGCTCTCCATCAGTTCGTAGAGGTCGTAGTCGTAGTACCCTCCGCACGTGGCCGTGACGTCACCGCTGCAGGGGGTGTCGCAGATTCCCATCTCCATTGGCATGGTCAGGTAGCCGCCTTCGTTGCCGCAGGTGCACACGCTGCCCTTGAAGAGCGCGAAGTAGTCGGCGGACTCGGCGGCGCACGCCTCGAAGCACAACTGGAGGGGGAGGGGGGGGGGTCGGATGATGGTTGGGGGAGGGGTGAGGGTGGTGAGAAGAACGAATGGTGGGGGCTTATTGTTCTTGCCCAATGTCTTACAGGAAGCCAAAGCACACTCATAAATATCCACAGATAGCACATTACAAATGCACGATACCAAGAAAAATACACAAGAACTTGATACTTCCAACAGCACGCACATTTCATTTCAAGAACTGCCGTCCGTCTGATCGTTGCTGCCGTGCAGCGAACGAAAACAAACAACTACTAGCGGCTGCTGGGAGCAGTTCGTCCTGAATAGCGCAGCCACGCGTGGTTCGTCAATTGGCGTGTCATGCGCAATGAACACTCGCTCCCTCCTCTCACCATCTTGGTCATCTGTTCTTCTCCGTCGAGTTTCTCCAGCTCGACCGAGGCGGTCGGGGATAGTGCGTAACACCCGACGTGCTCGTAGCTGTCGACGTTCCCGTCACCATCGATGTCGACGTCCATGCTGTCGTCGTTCCCGCCGGAGATGGTCGGGTCGAAGTCGAAGGGAGTGCCCGTGGGAGCGCCGGTGGGAGCGTAGGTGCCGAAACCGCCGCCGTCTGCACGCGACAAGCAGCAAACACGAGGGAGAGGGGGAACAGGGTTTGCACAAAAGGCTAAGGCGAATTCAGGCATACGTGTGCGACAATCTTCTAGGCTAAAAGCTGTATTGTTTTTCAACTGAATCCAGGGTCGGTCGGGAAAACACAGCTAAGCCAACAACGAGAAATCAATGTGATGTCATGTCAACGAGGTAGATGCTTGGAACGGTGGGCACCGCGATGAAGGTTGAGGTTTCCGAGTGACGAAGTGAACACGCCAAGATAGGCGGATAACGAGAGCTTACCGATGTCGATGATGCAGGGCGCCTCTTCGGAATCGTCGCACAGCACGCCGGTCTCTTCGATGTCGTCGCCGCAGCAGAACAAGCCGTCGAGGTAGCAGTTGTCACCGTCGCACGCTCGGCACGTCGCAGGGCAGCAGTAGTCGCCGCTGGCAGACTCAATGCCAGGGACGCCGTTGGAGCAAAGGCCTGAGGCATTGCAAAAAAAGGAGCGAAGAAATTGCTGTTCTCTTGTATATATTCGCCGACATCAAGTCAAAACAACAGCGCGTTTGTGCGTAATCCTGGAATACGTCTCATCGTATATGGTTGAGCGGATCGCTCCATTTCAGAACTCTGAAAAAAAAAAAATATATATATATATATGCACGCATCCCTGTTGCACTAGTGCTGAGGACGCATGAACAGAAAACAGCCACCTCGCCGACCCGCTATTCAGTGCAACGGGAACTACAACCTCCTCAACGCTCGGCTAACAGCATAGCCCACAACGTTGCTTTGTCACGAAGACCGATCATCGGACTCGATCACCAATGACAACATGGCACACCCTCGGTGCTCTCGCCACGCCTGACATACCTTGAGTGGTCGGGGCAGCCGGTGGCTCCGTCGTCGGCTCCATGGTGACGGGGGTGGGCCTAACAGGCTCAGGGGTCGGGGCGGGAGCCTCGCCACCTGCAGCCGGGCGTCAGCGGGGCGGATCATGCGGTGCAGCAGGCCGCCGAGAACGTCAACCAAGTGTGCGTGCGTCCATCGGTGGCTGTACACTGGACCCGAAGCCAGCCCATATGGAATACAACTATACGTCACAGTTTCCCCAGCCTCCGAAGCTCACAACGGATTTCCACCTACGAGGTGCATTTGCGACCCCTCTCACTCTCTTCGGAACGCCCGAAGACAAGTCAACAACGTCGTCCCTCTACCGCACTCTCTCACTCACCGTCACCGATGTAGCATGGCGCTGTTCCGGACACCTCGCAAGCTTGGCCCTTGGTCATGATCGCGGACACGCAGCAGTCGGTCACTTCTCCGCGAGAAGAGCAGCCCACGCCACCGCAGCTGTTCAAGTTGCGCACAATCGGAGACACACTTAAAATTAAAATACTAGCGCCCCGCCGTCACCCCCACCCCGACCTACGTCCGAACCTCCAGTAGCATCTACTACATACAATACGCGCGTTCCGAAATGTGTCATGATTTTTGTACAGTGGTCTCTCTTCCTTTCACCTATGTGCTCAATTTACTCCTGAAATACTTGCCTGACGCATGACGTCGGACAACAGGCGCTGGAGCCCGGCGACTCGACTCCGGGGATGCCGCCAGCGTTGGGGCACGTAGAATCACCTGCTTTGTTGCGAGTGTGGAGGGAGCGAGACATCGCGGGTTTGGAGGGTTCGAGATAAGGACGGTTGAATTGGGGGAAGGAAGAAGCAGGTGACAGTGACGTCACGGGTCTACTCATTATTCATATCCGCGGCATACAAACACAATTCTTGAGCACTATCGTAAAACCGTGAGTGATCACAAACTCTCATGAGATTGTGATAGGGGTACTCCACAAACATGAGGTGTTCATTTCAAAAGGAGTGGCGTACAACGAAAACTTTCCTCGACGAGAGTCACCTGCACGTACCAATGTTCACACCTTTCTTTGGAATGAATGGCGGAATCGAGCTTGAAAAGTGGGTCTTCGGGGTGTGCGATCAATCTCACTTTACCCCAAACCAGTGCATGTATCTCCCGTGCCGTAACAATTGTGCCGTATCCTTATCCTTCCGTGACGACCGAAGTTAATTCAAAGCGCCCGGTACATACGGGAAAACGTCTCACCGGTGGGTGCAGCAGGCTCGGTGACAGGCGCCGTAGGCTCGACCACAGGTGCGGTAGGCATGGCGACCGGAGAAGGCGCAGGGCCTGAGACTGAAAAATTGGACAGGTATGCGGAGGGCCAAAAATAACGAGGCACGTGCGTCAGGGTTGTTCAACGCGACAGGTTGTTCTTGACAGTCGCGTCGTGCTGCAGCGTTGTGCACCCAACCGAGTGGTTAAACACGTAACGCACCAAGCATCCACCTGGAAACGACAACGGCCTAGCAAGAAAATCCACTCACCACTGTCTACGATACACGGTGCTGTCATCGTGGCTGAGCAGAGCTCGCCGAAGTCTTCGATCTCGCTCATGCAGCAGTTGTCCGCACCGAGGCCGCCGCCAAGCTGAGCACAGCCGGTTCCGCCGCATCCACCGCACTCCGCGAGACAGCACGCGTTTCCGGTCTGGATACCGGGGATCCCGTTGGAGCACACGTCTGCCGGCGGAGAGAAACAGCAACATCACACAATCCAGCGGCAATGTGAGACGATGCATCGTGCTACGACACGTCAACAACGCCTTCGCTGAGGGCTGAATCGGAACCAGACCGCCTTTACCAAGGTGCAGCTGAAGGCATCATACGGTGCCGGGCTTGGTGAATGACATTCATTGCCCGAAGAAACGACTGCTGCAGACAAGCCCCCTTCAACCGCCGTCATCAACAAGACTACGGAACAACCCACGGTACTACGGGCCGAGACGTTAGGGCGGAGGTTTCTAGCGTACGATCCGACTTCACCTACATAGCACACAGTCAAGTCTGCGGCCTGTCAATCGAGTCAACGATCGTGGAAGCTCGTCGACGATATCGTACCGGTGGGTGCAGTGGGCTCGGCTACCGGCGCAGTAGGCTCAGCGACAGGGGCAGTGGGCTCGGCGACAGGGGCAGTTGGCTCGGCGACAGGTGCAGTGGGCTCGGCCACAGGGGCAGTAGGCTCGGCCACAGGGGCAGTGGGCATGGCCACCGGCGAAGGCGCAGGCGCGGAGCCTGCATCGCGAAACAGGTAGCACCAAACACGATAAGGCAGCGGGCGTCAATGGCGGATCGCCCAAGCCGGCGACCGCGACAGGTTTCCGCAGTATTGCCGCAGCCGAGTACTTGGCGCGATACGGGAGGATCGACACAGGGTACAGTCGACTGGTGTTCCTGAGTACTGAAGGGACATCATTCTCTATCGGGTCGTGACGAAGAGAATTCGCGATGAAGAAAAACAGCCAACACCAAACGGGGCCAAGACCGGTACAACAGCTGATAGAGACGTGAATAATTGCCAAGCACACACGCGCAACGACACCAAGCGAAAAAACAGTAAAGCCGGAAACACATGTCTCACCGTCCACCACACACGGAGCTTCCATCGTGACAGAGCACAGCTCGCCGAAGTCTTCGATCTCGCTCATGCAGCAGTTGTCCGCACCGAGGCCGCCGCCAAGCTGAGCACAGCCGGTTCCGCCGCATCCACCGCACTCCGCGAGACAGCACGCGTTTCCGGTCTGGATACCGGGGATCCCGTTGGAGCACACGTCTGCCGGCGGAGAGAAACAGCAACATCACACAATCCAGCGGCAATGTGAGACGATGCATCGTGCTACGACACGTCAACAACGCCTTCGCTGAGGGCTGAGTCGGAACCAGACCGCCTTTACCAAGGTCCAGCTGAAGGCATCATACGGTGCCGGGCTTGGTGAATGACATTCATTGCCCGAAGAAACGACTGCTGCAGACAAGCCCCTTCAACCGCCGTCATCAACAAGACTACGGAACAACCCACGGTACTACGGGCCGAGACGTTAGGGCGGAGGTTTCTAGCGTACGATCCGACTTCACCTACATAGCACACAGTCAAGTCTGCGGCCTGTCAATCGAGTCAACGATCGTGGAAGCTCGTCGACGATATCGTACCGGTGGGTGCAGTGGGCTCGGCTACCGGCGCAGTAGGCTCAGCGACAGGGGCAGTGGGCTCGGCGACAGGGGCAGTTGGCTCGGCGACAGGTGCAGTGGGCTCGGCCACAGGGGCAGTAGGCTCGGCCACAGGGGCAGTGGGCATGGCCACCGGCGAAGGCGCAGGCGCGGAGCCTGCATCGCGAAACAGGTAGCACCAAACACGATAAGGCAGCGGGCGTCAATGGCGGATCGCCCGAGCCGGCGACCGCGACAGGTTTCCGCAGTATTGCCGCAGCCGAGTACTTGGCGCGATACGGGAGGATCGACACAGGGTACAGTCGACTGGTGTTCCTGAGTACTGAAGGGATATTATTCTCTATCGGGTCGTGACGAAGAGAATTCGCGATGAAGAAAAACAGCCAACACCAAACGGGGCCGAAGACCGGTACAACAGCTGATAGAGACGTGAATAATTGCCAAGCACACACGCGCAACGACACCAAGCGAAAAAACAGTAAAGCCGGAAACACATGTCTCACCGTCCACCACACACGGAGCTTCCATCGTGACAGAGCACAGCTCGCCGAAGTCTTCGATCTCGCTCTGGCAGCAGTTGTCCTCCCCGAGGCCCCCGCCGTACTCAGCGCAGCCGCGCCCGCCGCATGTACCGCACTCCGCGAGACAGCACGCGTTTCCGGTCTGGATACCGGGGATCCCGTTGGAGCACACGTCTGCCGGCGGAGAGAAACAGCAACATCACACAATCCAGCGGCAATGTGAGACGATGCATCGTGCTACGACACGTCAACAACGCCTTAGCTGAGGGCTGAGTCGGAACCAGACCGCCTTTACCAAGGTGCAGCTGAAGGCATCATACGGTGCCAGGCTTGGTGAATGACATTCATTGCCCGAAGAAACGACTGCTGCAGACAAGCCCCTTCAACCGCCGTCATCAACAAGACTACGGAACAACCCACGGTACTACGGGCCGAGGTTTCTAGCGTACGATCCGACTTCACGTACACAGTAAACAGTCAAGTCTGCGGCCTGTCAATCGAGTCAATGATCAAGTCTGAGGCCTGTCAATCGAGTCAATGATCATGGAAGCTCGTCGACGATATCGTACCGGTGGGTGCAGTGGGCTCGGCTACCGGCGCAGTGGGCTCGGCGACAGGGGCAGTGGGCTCGGCGATAGGTGCAGTCGGCTCGGTCACAGGTGCAGTAGGTTCAGCGACAGGGGCAGTGGGCTCGCGAACTGGGGCAGTAGGCTCGGCCACAGGGGCAGTGGGCATGGCCACCGGCGAAGGCGCAGGCGCGGAGCCTGCATCGCGAAACAGGTAGCACCAAACACGATAAGGCAGCGGGCGTCAATGGCGGATCGCCCAACCCAACGACCGCGACCAGTTTCCGCAGCATTGCCGTAGCCGAGTACTTTGACGCGATACGGGAGGATCGACACAGGGTACAGTCGACTGGTGTTCCTGAGTACCGAAGGGACATCAGTCTCTATCGGGTCGTGACAAGGAATTCGCGATGAAAAAAATCAGCCAACGCCAAACGGGGCCGAAGACCGGTACAACGGCAAAAACAGTGCACCCTGGGCAATGATGAGAGACGAGAGCAGTCCAAGAAACCGAAAACCATGCCTGACTCAGTAAGGAACGTCATCGTGAAGAAGGTGATCAGAACGTCTGGCAAGGCATGATAGAGATGCGTGAAAAATTACTAAGCACACACATGTGAACGACAAAGACACCAAGCGAAAAAGCAGTAAAGCCGGAAACACATGTCTCACCGTCCACCACACACGGAGCTTCCATCGTGACAGAGCACAGCTCGCCGAAGTCTTCGATCTCGCTCTGGCAGCAGTTGTCCTCCCCGAGGCCCCCGCCGTACTCAGCGCAGCCGCGCCCGCCGCATGTACCGCACTCCGCGAGACAGCACGCGTTTCCGGTCTGGATACCGGGGATCCCGTTGGAGCACACGTCTGCCGGCGACCACAAGGAGCAACGACGTGGGGCAAGAGCGGGAACGAAAACTTGGGGCATCGTGTATATCGTCATGTCAACAAACACCGCGTTTGCTGAGCACTGAGTGGGTAATTATTGTAAACCGCCTGTACAAGCGTGGTGGTTGGAGCGGCGGCACGATGAACCCAAGGAGCCTACGACAGCGGACCGTGCTGTATCGGGCGCGGACGGTGAGCGGGACATGTTAAGAGTGCGCGTCTACTCCAACTTTGATGCAAAGCAAAGAGCATCGTAGGGATCAAGCCAACGGCCGAACACACAGCCAAGACGCCGGCCGGTCAATCGAGTTATAGACATCTCACCGGTGGGTGCAGTGGGCTCGGCGACAGGTGCGGTAGGCTCGGCCACAGGCGCAGTGGGTTCGGTGACAGGTGCCGTGGGCTCCATCACAGGTGCAGTCGGCTCGGCAACAGGTGCGGTGGGCTCAGCGACGGGAGCAGTGGGTTCAGCGACAGGCGCAGTAGGCTCGCGAACCGGGGCAGTGGGCTCCGCCACAGGTGCGGTAGGCATGGCGACCGGCGAAGGCGCAGGGGCAGAGCCTGCGTCACCAAACAAATACTGACGACAATTAAGAAATGTGCGGCAGAATAGAATCGTACCACCGAATGTCTTACACTACACGTGAGTTCCACGACGCTTTTGTATCGAGCATCAAAGAATAGGAACATCATATTACACGTTTCTCACCGTCTACGACACACGGAGCTGCCAGCGAGAGAGAGCACAGCTCGCCGAAGTCCTCGATCTCGCTCTGGCAGCAGTTGTGCTCGCCAAGGCCGCCGCCAAGCTCAGCGCAGCCAGATCCGCCGCATGCACCGCACTCCGCGAGACAGCAAGCGTTTCCTGACTGGATACCGGGGATACCGTTGGAGCACACGTCTGCCAGAAAAGACAAACAGCAACGTCATGCCGTAGCAAAGAGGGCGGCAAGGTGAATCGTCACAGAACACCATGAGCAAGGCACTGAGTGAGGTGCGATACGGCCTTGAGCAGCGTGGGTTCGTACAATGAACCTCAAGAGCCTATGCCGGCGGAGATGTCTAAGGGCGTGCGTCTAGGCAATGCTGAGAGCAACACAAGTACACGGATCAGGTCACCGGCAGTACACAGCTAATCCTGCAGCCTGTCAATCGCGTATCGGACAAGCTCGTGACAGATATCTTACCGGTGGGGGAAGTAGGCTCGGCGACCGGTGCGGTGGGCTCGCGAACAGGGGCAGTGGGCTCGGCGACAGGGGCGGTGGGTTCGGCGACAGGCGCAGTGGGCTCAGCCACAGGTGCAGCGGGCTCGCGAACTGGGGCAGTAGGCTCGGCGACAGGCGCAGTGGGCTCAGCGACTGGTGCGGTGGGCTCGGCGACAGGGGCGGTGGGTTCGGCCACAGGTGCCGTGGGCTCGGCCACAGGTGCAGCGGGCTCGCGAACTGGGGCAGTAGGCTCGGCGACAGGCGCAGTGGGCTCAGCGACTGGTGCGGTGGGCTCGGCGACAGGGGCGGTGGGTTCGGCCACAGGTGCAGTGGGCATGGCAACCGGCGAAGGCGCAGGGGCGGAGCCTGCATCACCAGAGAGGTGGGACCAACAACAATGAGACAACGCGCGCCAGGTTCAATCGAACTAGATTTCTACCGTCGAGTGCTGTGGGTGGTGACGGGGGGACAAAGGCAGTGTGTTTGACGGGCGTTACCCGGGTTCGGAAGGGGTATCAGGCTGAGCCTGTCGTGTGTGCATGCCCCCGTGAGACAACAAAACGCCGGTCACCTGGCTTATATAACAGGGTCAAAATAGCGGGACATCGCTCGTCACAACTGTGTACCCGCTGTTGATTGTTCGGAGATGGGGGTCCACGACGAGGAATGAAAAAAGTGAACAAAACGAGAGTCCAATATTGACTCAGGGCAAGGTAGTACTAGCAAGCGCCACAAGGGATGATATCCACGTACAAAGAACATGACAACGTCCAAGCAAGCGAGTCTCAATCCGAAGCCGATCTCTCACCGTCTACAACACAAGGAGCTGCCATTGTGACAGAGCACAGCTCGCCGAAGTCCTCGATCTCGCTCTGGCAACAGTTGTCCTCCCCAAGGCCGCCGCCAAGCTGGGCACAGCCAGATCCGCCGCATCCATCACACTCCGCGAGACAGCAAGCGTTTCCGGACTGGATACCGGGGATCCCGTTGGAGCACGTGTCTGCCGGCGACCACACGGAGAAACGACATGCGGCATACAGTAAAGAGAGTGTCAACGTGAAACGATGGATGCAATGCGTTGAGACATGTGTGTCAACTGAATACCTGGAGCGGACGGAGCACGGAGTGACACAGACCGCCTTCGGCAGCGTGGGGATCTTACGGTGCCAAGGCTTGATACGTTCATTGTATGTACGGGTAGCAACTTCTGCGCAGACTTCGTTCCGACTACCACAAGCAACAGCAAGTTACCGTAAGGGCCTACACCGACGGACTACGAACCGGGAAGGCCGAATGCAGGTGTCCACAATAGGGCGCGCGTGTACTCCAGTTATCCACAAAGGACAACACATGGCGAAGTTCTGCGGCCTGTCAATCGAATCAACGACCACGGAAGCTCGCTACAGATATCTCACCGGTTGGGGTAGTGGGCTCAGCGACAGGTGCAGTGGGCTCGCGAACCGGGGCAGTAGGCTCAGAGACAGGCGCAGTGGGCTCAGCGACCGGTGCGGTGGGCTCGCGAACGGGGGCAGTGGGCTCGGCGACTGGGGCGGTGGGTTTGGTGACAGGCGCAGTGGGCATAGCGACCGGCGAAGGCGCAGGGGCGGAGCCTGCAAACAGGTATAACCAACAAAAATGCAAGATGTTAGTCGGGAACGTTAATCAAACGGCAGGTTGGCATCGAAAGGGCATAGTCCAGGGCTTGTCGTGACACGGGCGGCGGATTACAGGGTGGTTGACGTCCTCGACAGGCTGAGCCCGGCGTATGTGCTTGCCCCTATGGGTAGTACGGATAAAACCTACACCATTGTCCGAGTATGAATCACGGTCCACGAAGGCGACAGGCGAGAGCGCCGCCACTCGCTGCCCTGACGCCCAATCACGTACACGCGCCATGTATTTGTGCACCACACGCGTGACAGTTCACGATCAAAGCAAGGTCGTCTCCCTTCGAAAACAGGCCGACTCGACACTACGGGGGCTCAAACCGGCATGTCATCATTTGTCACAGAGGTCTACCCTCGGGCATGCGCGTCGACGACCGAGGGCCAGGGCAGTAAACAACACCGTAAACCGGTCCTAACCTAGAGAATGGCATGAGGTCACAGAGGTTCTGTTTAGGCAAAAATGAGAGAACGACGTGAGGTCAGCCCGCTGGAAGGGGCAGCACAGGCCAAAGGGACAACAGGCGTGATATGAACTTGCTGTCGGGCATGAGCACCACAGTCACGTCTCACCGTCCACGACACAGGGAGCTGCCATCGTGACAGAGCACAGCTCGCCGAAGTCCTCGATCTCGCTCTGGCAACAGTTGTCCTCGCCGAGGCCGCCGCCAAGCTGGGCACAGCCAGATCCGCCACATCCGCCGCACTCGGCGAGACAGCACGCGTTTCCTGACTGGATACCAGGGATCCCGTTGGAGCACGTGTCTGCCGGCAGCAACAAACAGTAACATCATATGACGTAGCAAAGAGAGCGGCAACATGAGACCATGAATCGTGTAGAGTATTCCGACACATGTCAACCACGACACCTTGAGCTGAGCACGGAGTCGCGAACCAGGTCGATTTCGGCGGCGTCGCGGTTGGACCGAAAGTACGGTGGCGAAGCTTGACGCATTCATTGTCCGGGTAGCGCCTGGTGCGGACTAATCGTTTCAACTACTGTATGTACGTATCACAACAAGAGAAGACCGTATGAGTCGGAACGATGCTATCGCTGGCCGAGACGTTGGAATGGAATCATTTCGAGCGCGTCAAACAATTCTGGACATGACCGCATCAGGCAGAGAGCAATGCATGGTTTATGCCAGCGGCGACAAACCGTCAAGTCTGCGGCCTGTCAATCAAACCAATGACTGCGAAAGGTAGTGGCAAATATCGTACCGGCGGGAGTAGTGGGCTCCGTCACAGGTGCAGTGGGCTCGGCGACAGGTGCGGTAGGCTCAGCGACAGGCGCAGTGGGCTCACGAACCGGCGCCGTGGGTTCGGCCACAGGTGCGGTGGGCATGGCGACAGGCGAAGGCGCAGGGGCGGAGCCTGCATTAACAAGCACGTGAGGCAAACGAGGCTCACGGTTGGATCATGCAATGCAGTTGTTGTCTTCGACATTGCTGTTACAGGAAGATCCACGGCATGTATACACAGCATGGTATAGGAGCTGGCTGGAGTGGGCTACGTCCATTAACAGCGACAACAGATGTAGACACCGATGTTGGTCCAAACGGACAAGACGGAACGTGGGACGAGCACATGTCTCGTGATTCGGCAACAAACGTCTCACCGTCCACGACACACGGAGCTGCCAACGTGACAGAGCACAGCTTGCCGAAGTCCTCGATCTCGCTCTGACAACAGTTGTCCTCCCCGAGGCCGCCGCCAAGCTGGGCACAGCCAGATCCGCCGCATCCGCCGCACTCGGCGAGACAGCACGCGTTTCCTGACTGGATGCCGGGGATTCCGTTGGAGCACGTGTCTGCCGGCAGAGACCCACAACAGCGTCGTGAGGAAGCAAAGAGAGCGGCAATATGAGACGACGAGTCGTGCCGAACGTAACGATAAACATTAACCGCAACTTCGTGAGCAGAGGAACACCGAGGGACAACATTCCACCCTCGGCAGCGTTGGTTTTGTTTTTTGTGTCAAACTTGATGCATTTGTTGTCTGAAGAAGGGACAATGATGACGCCGATTAACGACCAATGACAATCTACGACCATACGCTTGGCGGACAAGGGCGGTTGAGGGTAAGGGGCGAAAGTATGGATCTGCTTGTAACTCTGGGCAATGATGATGGCGCAAGGCGAAAGAGTAACACACAGCCAAGCCTGCTACCTGTCGACCGAGTCAATGACCGTGGAACCAAAAGGAAGATATCGCACCGGTGGAGGCAGTGGGCTCCGTCACAGGTGCTGTGGGCTCGGCGACCGGTGCGGTGGGCTCGGCCACAGGCGCAGTGGGCTCAGCGACAGGTGCAGTGGGCTCACGAACCGGGGCAGTGGGCTCGGTCACAGGTGCGGTAGGCTCAGCGACAGGTGCGGTGGGCTCGGCCACAGGCGCGGTGGGCATGGCGACCGGCGAAGGTGCCGGGGCGGAGCCTGCGTCACCAAGAACGTGGCACCCACACCCATGAGGTCAGCGAGCATCACGGTTGGATCATGCAATGTAGTGGCTGTCTTCCATAACCCGCATGACGCAAAGAACTGGCTACAAATATCATCTGAAAGTGTTTTAAGGACACTCGCAGAACCAGCGACAACAGATGTAAACATCGAAGTGGGCCCAAATAACGGACAAGACGGGACGTGGGACGACCAGATGTCTCGTGATTCGGCAAGGCCGTCACACGAGCAAACAGGCCGGAAGCCGACAACGCATGTCTCACCGTCCACCACACACGGAGCTGCCATCGTGACAGAGCACAGCTCGCCGAAGTCCTCGATCTCGCTCTGGCAACAGTTGTCCTCGCCGAGGCCGCCGCCAAGCTGGGCACAGCCAGATCCGCCACATCCGCCGCACTCGGCGAGACAGCACGCGTTTCCTGACTGGATGCCGGGGATCCCGTTGGAGCACGTGTCTGCCGGCAGCAACAAACAGTAACATCATATGACGTAGCAAAGAGAGCGGCAACGTGAGACCATGAATCGTGTAGAGTATTCCGACACATGTCAACCACGACACCTTGAGCTGAGCACGGAGTCGCGAACCAGGTCGATTTCGGCGGCGTCGCGGTTGGACCGAAAGTACGGTGGCGAAGCTTGACGCATTCATTGTCCGGGTAGCGCCTGGTGCGGACTAATCGTTTCAACTACTGTATGTACGTATCACAACAAGAGAAGACCGTATGAGTCGGAACGATGCTATCGCTGGCCGAGACGTTGGAATGGAATCATTTCGAGCGCGTCGAACAAATCTGGACATGACCGCATCAGGCAGAGAGCAATGCATGGTTTATGCCAGCGGCGACAAACCGTCAAGTCTGCGGCCTGTCAATCAAACCAATGACTGCGAAAGGTAGTGGCAAATGTCGCACCGGTGGGAGCAGTGGGCTCCGTCACAGGTGCGCTAGGCTCAACGACAGGTGCGGTGGGCTCGGCCACAGGCGCAGTGGGCTCGCGAACCGGGGCAGTGGGCTCGGTCACAGGTGCGGTAGGCTCAGCGACAGGTGCGGTGGGCTCGGCCACAGGCGCGGTGGGCTCGCGAACCGGGGCAGTGGGCTCGGTCACAGGTGCGGTAGGCTCAGCGACAGGTGCGGTGGGCTCGGCCACAGGCGCGGTGGGCTCGCGAACCGGGGCAGTGGGCTCGGTCACAGGTGCGGTAGGCTCAGCGACAGGTGCGGTGGGCTCGGCCACAGGCGCGGTGGGCTCGCGAACCGGGGCAGTGGGCTCGGTCACAGGTGCGGTAGGCTCAGCGACAGGTGCGGTGGGCTCGGCCACAGGCGCGGTGGGCTCGCGAACCGGGGCAGTGGGCTCGGTCACAGGTGCGGTAGGCTCAGCGACAGGTGCGGTGGGCTCGGCCACAGGCGCGGTGGGCATGGCGACCGGCGAAGGTGCCGGGGCGGAGCCTGCATCACCGAGAACGTGGCACCCACACCCATGAGGTCAGCGAGCATCACGGTTGGATCATGCAATGTAGTGGCTGTCTTCCATAACCCGTATGACGCAAAGAACTGGCTACAAATATCATCTGTAAGTGCTTTAAGGATACTCGCAGAACCAGCGACAACAGATGTAAACATCGAAGTGGGCCCAAATAACGGACAAGACGGGACGTGGGACGACCAGATGTCTCGTGATTCGGCAAGGCCGTCACAAGACCAAATAGGCTGGAAGCCGGCAACGCATGTCTCACCGTCCACCACACACGGAGCTGCCATCGTGACAGAGCACAGCTCGCCGAAGTCCTCGATCTCGCTCTGGCAACAGTTGTCCTCGCCGAGGCCGCCGCCAAGCTGGGCACAGCCAGATCCGCCGCATCCGCCGCACTCGGCGAGACAGCACGCGTTTCCTGACTGGATGCCGGGGATCCCGTTGGAGCACACGTCTGCCGGCAGAGACGAACAGCAACACACGAGGTAGCCAAGAGAGCGGCAGCGTGAGACAATGCATGGTTTGCATCTTGTGGTGAGTTCAAATACGTCAACGACAGCCCAGATGAGCTCTGGGTCACGAACAAGACCTTCTTCATCAGCGGTGGTACACACGTCGCCGATCTTTCGATGCATGCGTCGTCGGAAGAAGCGACCTTAGACAAGCCATTCCAATTCACCACAGCACGAACACGATTCCTAAATCCACCACGGCGGACGATGCTATGATGGAGAGGTAGACGGAAGCTATCAAGGGCTTGGGTCTACGACTACATCTGGACATCGGTACAAGGCAGAAAGAAATACACGAGTCAGGTAAGCAGCAACACAGGGCAACTCTGCGGCCGGTCAATCGAGGCAACGAATATAGGAAGTCCGCGGTAGACATCTCACCGGTGGCAGTAGGCTCGGTGACAGGGGCGGTGGGCTCGGCGACAGGCGCAGTGGGCTCGGCCACAGGGGCAGTGGGCTCGCGAACGGGGGCAGTGGGCTCAGCGACAGGGGCGGTGGGCTCAGCCACAGGTGCAGTAGGCCCGGCCACGGGGGCAGTGGGCATGGCGACCGGCGAAGGCGCAGGAGCGGAGCCTGCATCGCGAAACAGGTACGAGTGACAAAACGGGACCAACACGCATCACGGTTGGATCATGCAATGCAATTGGCTGGATCTGAAACATTGTTTCAGGCAGCAGTTCCTCGGCTGACAAGGGCGGCACGGCCCATGGGTTGCTTGCGCCCGGGAGGGTGGAATGGGCACGTCCACACCAGCGACAAACTCTGCAGACACCGACATTACTTGACAACTCGGACAAAACTGACGTGGCATGAACTAGTGTGTCGTGGTTTGGTAGAGCCGTCAACAAAGCACGTACTGTGCAACAAAGCCGTTAACACATTGCCTTACCGTCAACGACACACGGAGCCGCCATCGTAGCAGAGCAGAGCTCGCCGAAGTCTTCGATCTCGCTCTGGCAGCAGTAGTCCTCCCCGAGGCCGCCGCCGAACTCAGCACAGTCAGATCCGCCGCAGGCACCGCACTCCGCGAGACAGCACGCGTTTCCTGACTGGATACCGGGGATCCCGTTGGAGCACACGTCTGCCAGCGGCCATACAGAGCAACATCATACAAGGTGGCAACGTGAGATGTATCGTGCATAACGTGTTGGCACACAGCAACCTAGCACCTCGAGCGGAATTCCTGAGTCGGGAACCCGACTGTCTTCAGCAGAGTGCGGCTTGAGCGGTTTAAGGTGCCAACGCCACTACGTTCACTATCCGTAGAAGCAACTACTAACAGGTCGTCTCAACCACCACTAAGTAGCACCGACAGGACTGCCGAAGAACCCACAAAGGCAGACGGTGCCGTGACGGACAGAGGGTAGATGGCTCGTGTCTAGTCTATGGGTTTACCCCTCGGTGCAAGGCAGAGAGCAACACATGAGCGGAAACTCCCGGGCATGTCTGCCGCCTGCCAATCGCGTTAACGAACGTGGAAGTTCGTGACGATATCTCACCGGCGGGGGCCGTAGGCTCAGCGACAGGTGCGGTGGGCTCTCGAACGGGGGCAGTGGGCTCGGCGACAGGCGCAGTGGGCTCAGCGACCGGTGCAGTCGGCTCGGCAACAGGCGCAGTAGGTTCGGCGACAGGGGCGGTGGGCTCGGCCACAGGCGCAGTGGGCATGGCCACCGGCGAAGGCGCAGGGGCGGAGGCTGCATCGCGAAACAGGTACGAGTAACGACAATGAGGAAAGGGTTTGTACGGATATACCGCGCGACTACTGGCTTTCACCGCCAATTTATCGTGTTTGGACTTTGAATCTACGACTGATACACCGGTCGCAGAGGGTGTAGAGCAAGTCTACGCGAAGACTGGTCTGGCGGTACATGCAGGGATCTTGCGACGACTCAACCTAAAAAACGAACGGTTAACAGTCGGCGACGGAAAAGCAGGCAATGGTGCAGTAGGGTGACAAAAAGCAATAAAACCGGTGTCGAAGGTCTTACCGTCTACGACACATGGCGCCTCAAGCTTGATGGAGCAGAGCTCGCCGTATTCCTCGATGTCGCTCTCGCAGCAGTTGTCCGCCCCGAGGCCTCCCCCGAACTCATCACAGTCAGACCCGCCGCATTCACCGCAGTCCGCGAGACAGCAAGAGACCCCGGACTGGATGCCGGGGATTCCGTTCGAGCACACGTCTGGTGGCAGAGACAAATTGCGACGTCACACGGCAGCAGGAAAGAGGGGGACGGCGTGAAATGATGCATCGCGTAAAACGTACGGAGATGCGTTACACAACACCATCGGCACGGCAGTGAATCGGGTGCAAGACGGCAGTCAGCTTTATACGGTTGGAGCGGGTACGACACCAAGATTGATTGCATGTTAAACGCCGAAGGACGCACCAGCTGTCAACAAGCCGTCACAACTACATATGTACCGCCAGCAACAAGGACCCTCGAGAAAGACTACCACCCCGGACGAAGCTTAAGGCGAAATGGGGATGTCCCAAGCATTATCATCAACAGATGAGACGCACCAGTATTTGAGTAACAACGACGGTGACGCGACCATTCCAATTATCCAATGATCAGTTCGGCGCTCGCACAAGTCACATGTCTAACGTCTTCGCCTGGTTGATGTCCGCCATAAAGGTACGTCGTCTCACCGGTGGGTGCAGTAGGCTCCGTGACCGGTGCAGTTGTCTCGGCGACCGGTGCAGTGGGCTCGGCGACAGGTGCGGTAGGCTCGGCGACCGGGGCAGGTGTAAGGACGACGTCTGCCTCGCCAAGCCGATCGCAACGCCGGGACAGGAATACGCGTCAGGGTTGCCAGACGGTCGATATACTGCGGACTCGAAACAGGATTGTAGTACACACTGCAGTCGACCTTCTATACACCAGCCTCGGGTCTGATTGTTAGCCTTCCCGGGTCGGGTCTTCGTTTCCCAGAGACCAAAAACAACCGAGCTGCTTCATGAGAAACAGAAACACATAGCCACCGCTACAAAGTGCTGTAGAGAGAACAAAAAAAAATTCACCCGACCCTTACTGGATCTACAACGCGTTTTGTGTCATGCTGCCGTCGTATCTCAGACTGCGAAAGACCCGAAAAACACCAGGACGATTTAGACAAACATGGGGCAGAATGCATGCATGACTAACCGTCGTCGAAGTCGAAAGAGAAGGACATCGAGACGGGCGATGGGGTCGGGGCTGGCGCGTCTGGGTATTTGGGCGGGAGTGAGAGAGCGGAGACAAGGCGGGAAAAACGAGAAGGCAGGGAGGTAATCAACGGTAAGAGTGACGCACGTTGGCATTATTCTCGTCTCCCTGGTCGGACAGAGACGGGTTGGTAGTAGGCGATGCGGCAGACAAGGACAGAAGCGCCCATCCCATTGAGGACCTCCTAGCTGACACCACATGTCAAATATTTCGACCACAACCTCGCAGCACCAAGCGAGCCGAAAACAAACACGAACCGTAGTAACCGATGGTAAGGAAAAGAGCATGTTTCGACCAACAGGCAGAATGGAAACGGCACTCATTCTCGCCGTGTCGGTTTTTCGCTTTTCTTTCCTAGTGAAATGAAATAAAACCATTCGAGGGAAAATCTGATACACATGAAAAAGCAGTAGCTGCCGCAGCGGTACACGAAACGGCGGTGGCGCTAACTATCGCCACGTACCGGCGAGTACACAGGGGGCCTCCCCCGTCTCGCTGCACGACGCTCCGGTGGAGAGGATGTCGGAGGAGCAGCAGGACTCGGGGCCGTAGTCGGGCATTCCCACGGTGGAGCATCCAGAACCGCCGCACATTGTACAGCCAGTCGGGCAACAGACCGCGCCGTCCGAGGACTCGATTCCGGGGATGCCGGTGCTGCAAGTTGGCTCTGTCGTGGGTGGGGTGGGGTAGGGGGAGGGGTGATGGGTGCTGTGTCGCAGGCCGCGAAGGAAGCGTGAGGACCATTTAGGTGAGTCCACACGCCGGCAAGCCCACCACTACAATCGACTGCAATATGACACCTGTGGTGGGGGGATGCAACATCCGAAACGGGATAACGGCAACGACTGTCGTACAACTGGGACAAAGAGACGATAAAAACGGTTTCGGAAGGGATAGGGGTGAGTGAAAGACATCGGCAAGCGGGGCGGAGACTTGGATGCAGTGAGTATGAAGCGAGAGGTCATCACAGTACGCCTTAGGTAAGGGGTTGTGTACTACATTCTCGCTATCTCGTTGTCACTTATCTACCGTGTAAGCGCGCGAAAGGCGTCTCACCGGTGGGTGCAGTAGGCTCAGCGACAGGTGCCGTGGGCTCAGCGACAGGCGCAGTGGGCTCGGCGACAGGGGCGGTGGGCATGGCGACCGGCGAAGGCGCAGGGGCGGAGTCTGAATCATCCGAAGCGTACGACAAAAAAAAAAAAATGAGGAACGGATGTTAGGGATGTATCGGACATTGGCTGGCTTGCAGGACATTTTCATCAATAACGGAGATTTGTGTAGGAGAAGAATAGCCACTACATCGGTTGCAGAAGGTATGCCAATCCTCGGCGAATGCGGTACATGCTGGAATCGCGCGACGACAAACACAGAAACTGACTGTAAATAGTCGGCGACGAAAACGAGGTACACATCTGTGTCGCAGGATGCCCATACTACAACGTCGTCGAAACCGACAACACCGCCGTCAATCTTCTCACCATCGATGTAGCACGGCGCCTCGAGCGCGATGGAGCAGGGCTCGCCGTGTTCCACAATGTCGCTCACGCAGCAGTTGTCCGCCCCGAGGCCTCCACCGAACTCATCACAGTCCGACCCGCCGCATGCACCGCACTCCGCGAGACAGCACGCGTTGTCCGACTGGATACCGGGGATCCCGTTCGAGCATGTGTCTGGCAGCAGAAACACACACCGCGCCATGTGGTAGCAAGAGTGCAACAAGTGAGGGTCCTGTAGAAAAATGGTCTTACGTCCCAGGACATCATGAGCACGGCACTCGAGTGGGGTACCGGCAGCGTGCGGTTGGAACAGCCAAAAGCTGCCGAGCTCAGTGTCGTCTACCCGAAACACCGCCTGTCGCAGACCAGGAGTACCTCCTGCGACAGAAACCTCAAGCCCCCATCACCACCAACAAAGCTACCACGGGTGGGGATATCACAGGTAAAATCGCCACCGAATGAACTTCATTGGCAGCGACAAAGAATGGGAGCATTCTGCTGATCACAACATGCCAAGAACTTGGTGCATCCATCATGAAAACGCGTGACGGGTCTCTCACCCGTGGGGGCGGTAGGCTCGGTGACAGGTGCAGTGGGCTCGGCGACTGGTGCGGTAGGCTCTCGAACCGGTGCAGTAGGCTCGGCCACCGGAGCAGTGGGCATGGTGACCGGCGAAGGCGCAGGCGCGGAGTCTGCATCACGAACACGTTCGAGCGACAACAATGATGAACGGGTGTCAACGACTTGTCGTGCGATGGCGTGCTTTCACCACCAGTTCATCCATGTTCAACGACTGATAGAGACTGCAAGCGGATCAAGAAGGTGGAGCAAGCCAACGCCACTACGGGTAATCTGTCTGGTTATAAAAGCAGGGACTGTGCGACAACACACCCAAGAAAACGAACGCAAAACCAGTCGGCGACAAGCAGGCAATGGTGCAGTAGGGTGACAAAAAGCAATAAAACCGCTGTCGAATGTCTCACCATCTACGACACACGGCGCCTCGAGCTTGATGGAGCAGAGCTCGCCGTATTCCTCGATGTTGCTCTGGCAGCAGTTGTCCGCCCCGAGACCGTCGCCGTACTCAGCACAGTCAGACCCGCCGCATTCACCGCACTCCGCGAGACAGCACGAGACCCCAGACTGGATGCCGGGGATTCCGTTCGAGCACACGTCTGGTGGCAGAGACAAATTGCGACGTCACACGGCAGCAGGAAAGAGAGGGACGGCGTGAAATGATAAATGATGCATCGCGTATAATGAAGGTACTGGGTAGAGAGAGATCGGAACGGTTTTTATGTGAAGACAACAACAACGTATCGAGATGAACCATGGGTACGGCAGTCAGTCGGGTGCAAGACGGCTTTCAGCTTTGTATGGTTGGAGCGGGAAAGAAACCGAGATTTACTGCACGTTTAACGCCGATGGAAGCACCCGCTGTCGACTAGCCGTCACAACTACTGCCAGCGACAAGGGCCCTCGAGAAAGCCTACCACGCGCACCGCGGACGAAGGTACCGCGACATGGGGATGCCGCAAGCACTATCATCAATCCATGTACTATTGCAACAGTGACGGTGGCGCAAGAACGGGACCATGCTTGATCAACTCGGTGCTAGCACAAGTCCTACATCTTCGCCTGGAAGTTGTTCACCATACGGGAACGTCATCTCACCGGTGGGTGCGGTAGGCTCGGCGACCGGTGCTGTAGGCTCAGCCACAGGCGCGGTGGGCTCGGCGACAGGTGCGGTAGGTTCGGCGACAGGCGCAGTGGGCTCGGCGACAGGCGAAGGCGCCGGCGATGAGTCTGCGGTGGCGAACAGGTCGTAGCAACATTGGGGCACGAGGTCAAGGATATATCGTACGCTGCTTGACATACGCACACCTTGTCATTGTTCGGCGTTCGTGTCGGGTGACCACCAACGAGAGCAGGCTCAAAAACCAGACAAACATTAGACTCGATATAACCGTCACATGCAGGAATCGTGCGACGATACGCAGAAAACAGACATACGGACAGTCGGCGACGACAAGCAGGCACCTGTTCAGCGACGAAAACCGACACCGTTATCAAGAGTTCTCACCGTCGATGTAGCACGGTGCCGCGAGCGCGATGGAGCAGAGCTCGCCGTGTTCCACGATGTCGCTCACGCAGCAGTTGTCCGCCCCGAGGCCTCCACCGAACTCATCACAGTCCGATCCGCCGCACGCACCGCACTCCGCGAGACAGCACGCGTTTCCTGTCTGTATACCGGGGATCCCGTTGGAGCACGTCTCTGCCGGAAGGGAAACACAGCAAGGTCATTGCAAAGAAAGCGGCGGCGTGGAAGTGATGCATCGTGTAGAAAACGTTGAGACAATCATTTTTGGCGACAACGGCGGGAAGTGAGAGGCCATTCCATTGCGCTAGGACACGGCCATGTCTGCCCTCTGATCCACGGAAAAGCGGTTCTTACCGGTGGGTGCAGTGGGCTCGGTCACAGGTGCAGTAGGCTCAGCAACAGGCGCAGTAGGCTCGGCAACAGGCGCGGTTGGCTCGCGAACCGGGGCAGTAGGCTCAGCGACAGGTGCGGTGGGCTCGACGACGGGGGCAGTGGGCTCAGCGACAGGGGCAGTGGGCTCGGCGACCGGCGAAGGCGCAGGAGCGGAGTCTGCAGTTGGGAAAAGGTGTTCGCAACAGCGAGTTCACGAACGTCAGGCGTTATACCTTCGTCCCGCTCTCTGGTGTGAACAGGTGGATCGCCACAGAACCATGTCTACAACTTGCGCCAACGAACCGTGACGAAAGCAGTTTGTGAAAAATAAACGAAGCGATGACGATTACTGGCACATCGGATCGTCCCACGATACACACGAACATACACTATCAACAGTCGCAACAAGTACGCAGATGTGGCGAAGTACGACAAAACTCTATGTGGAACGGTCGAAACGGACGAAATCCTACAACGTTATCAAGAGGTCTCACCGTCGATGTAACACGGCGCCTCGAGCGCGATGGAGCAGAGCTCGCCGTGTTCCACGATGTCGCTCACGCAGCAGTTGTCGGCCCCGAGGCCTCCACCGAACTCATCACAGTCCGATCCGCCGCACGCACCGCACTCCGCGAGACAACACGCGTTTCCTGACTGGATACCGGGGAACCCGTTGGAGCACATGTCTGGCGGTAAAGATTAGTAGCAACACGACACGCGGAAGCAAAGAGGGCGGCAACGTGAGACATGCATGCTCGCTGAGACATACCACGGAAGATCATGAGCAAGGCACCGTGTCAGCAACGAGACGGCCTAACGCAGCGTGCGGTCAAAGCGGTGGCACGGTGGCAACCTTGATTTTTACATTCGAGGACTGACTGGTGCAAAGTAGCCGTCAAATATTCAACAGCCCAAGACGGCCGACGAAGCTACCTCTGATGGGGAGGGATGGCACAACCAACATCGCCAGCAGTCACTGACGGCACAAGGAACAAGCTTCTAATGATGAGGCCAAACGTCAACACGGGCAAGTCTGCTGGCTACTCGTGGACTCCACCACGGAAACGCAACGGATTTCTCACCGGTGGGTGCGGTAGGCTCGGCGACTGGAGCAGTGGGCTCGGCCACAGGTGCAGTGGGCTCTCGAACCGGTGCAGTAGGCTCGGCGACCGGCGAAGGCGCAGGGGCGGAGTCTGCATTGGCGAACATGGGGCCGCAACGGAAAGCCAAACGAGTCAGGATATACGCGGGCCCCGACTGTCTTGCACGGCACTCAGCCAATTGACCAATGTCGGCAATTAGCACCGACGACTAGCGACGAGGATGCCCAAGCCTTCACGCGGCGACCAGCAGGCAACTGCTGTACAGCAGGATCGAATAGAAAATGTCGGAACGGGAAAAACGGGACACTGCTAACTAACGTCTCACCGTCTACGACACAAGGCGCCTGGAGTGTGATGGAGCAAAGCTCGCCGTTCTCCTCGATGTTACCCTCGCAGCAGTTGTCCGCGCCGAGACCGCCTCCGAACTCATCACAGCCAGATCCGCCGCATGCAACGCACTCCGCGAGACAGCAAGCGAACCCTGACTGGACACCGGGAATGCCGTTGGAGCACACGTCTGCCGGCAGAGGCACGTAGCAACACCACACGGCAGTGGGAGAGAGGGGGGCGAAGTGAAGTGATGCGTGGTGTACAGCGTCATCAGAAATGCCACTTAGTCGGGTACAAGACGGCCTTCAGGAGCGCGCGGTTGGAGCGGTGGTGGTGGTACATGACACCAAGGTCGAGATGTCCAAAGAAGAGATCGCAAAATAGTCTTTACGTCTACCGCCAGCAACAACAACCCTCAAGAGACCTTACTAACGCCAGGACAAGGCTGCCACAGGTGGAGATGGTGGCAAATATTGTCGACAGAAACAGATCAAGTTCAAGGAACACCGACGGTGACACAAGGAAGAAATTGTTCCATTCATCAGGACAGCGCTGCCATATAGCCAAGGCTCGCTCCTGATTGTTGACCCATCCACCATGAAATCGCGCGACAGATGTCTCACCGGTGGGTGCCGTGGGCTCGGCAGTAGGCTCGGCAGTAGGCTCGGCAGTAGGCTCAGGAGTGGGCTCTGGCGTAGGCTCTGGAGTTGGCTCGGGAGTTGGCTCGACAACCGGCGAAGGCGCAGGGGCGGCGTCTGCATCGCCGAACATGAGATATTGTACAGTGATGACGATGAGCCACAAAAGTCAGGGAAACGTCGTAGAATATCAACGATTGGATTTCGCGTCGACGACTATGTTGCGACGCTAACTCAAGTTGACCAAGCGATATGTAGCGAATACGTCAGGGATCATGCAAAGACACGAAAAACTACACAGTCGGCGACGGATGCAGGCACATGTGTCGTAGCATGACAATCCACAGTGCAATGCCGACGAAAATCAACATTGCCATAAAGAGGCTCACCGTCGATGTAGCACGGCGCCTCGAGCGCGATGGAGCACAGCTCGCCATGTTCCACGATGTCACTCTCGCAGCAGTTGTCCGCCCCGAGGCCTCCACCGAACTCATCGCAGTCCGATCCACCGCATGCACCGCACTCGGCGAGACAACACGCGTTTCCTGACTGGATACCGGGGAACCCGTTGGAGCACATACCTGCCGGCAGGGAGAGACGTACAGCGAGAACGGGCGAGTTTCAGCATCGCGATGAATGTGTCTGGAGAGTTGAAGAACAATCATGAGCACGGCTCTTGAGCCTGGGAAAAAGGCGACCTTCAGCAACGTGAGGTTGGAGCACCCATCATACACCGAGAATACTGTATTGTCCGTCGGTCCGACAGCGTGTTCGCGGCAAACCGCTCGCTACAACTACCACCAGCAAGTAGAGAACCCGAGAGAGCCTACCACCACGCACCAAGCTACCACGGGTGGGGACGGCACAAGCAAAACCGCCAGCGCAGGACGTTCATTGAAGGTGACGACCGTGAAAATAAAAGAGCATTCCACTGATCCCTGTTTGCTGGTGTCGGCCCCATCATGTGCAAGTGTCACGTCTGATTGTTGAGTCGTCAACCATGAAATCACCCGACTGATTTCTCACCGGTGGGCTCGGTAGGCTCGGCAGTAGGCTCGGCAGTAGGCTCGGCAGTAGGCTCGGCAGTAGGCTCGGCAGTAGGCTCAGGTGTAGGCTCCGGAGTTGGCTCAGCAGTGGGCTCGGCAGTAGGCTCGGGAGTAGGCTCGGCAGTAGGCTCGGCAGTAGGCTCGGGAGTAGGCTCAGGTGTAGGCTCCGGAGTTGGCTCGGGAGTCGGCTCTGCAGTGCACGCAAGGCGACCAGCGAAGGCGCAGGGGCGGAATATGCATCGCCAAACAAGTAGCAGCATGGACAAGTCACGGAAGTCAGGGGAATGTCGGGCCCTAGCTAGCTTGCAAAGTAGCATAATGGGGACATGAACGTTCCGGATTTCGCGTCGAAGACTACATAACGACGTGTAGCGACGTGACACCAACGTGACAAGGCTATAGCGTTTACATGAAGGGATCGTGCGACGACACCAAAAACAAGAAAAAACGGGAAACATGTGGGGGACTACAAAAATTCCCTCTGCCGCAACACGGCAAACTACGGTTCACCGCCGTCGCAACCGACGGAATCCAACACCGTTATCAAGAGTTTCACCGTCGATGTAGCACGGCGCCTCTAGTGCAATGGAGCAAAGCTCGCCGTGTTCCACAATGTCACTCTCGCAGCAGTTTTCCGCCCCGAGACCGCCGCCCAACGCATCGCAGTCCGATCCGCCGCATCCACCGCATTCCGCGAGACAGCACGCGTTTCCAGACTGGATACCAGGGAACCCGTTGGAGCACGTGTCTGGCCGCAGGCAGGGACACGGGGCAACAACATGCGGCAGCAGCAACAAGAAGAGCGGCAACGTGAGACGATGCATCGTGTTGAGTTTTTTTATTACTCAGGGCTCATGTCCATAGGGTACTTTGCGGTGGGTACGACACGGTCTTCACCAAGATGTAAGTCTGAGACGGCTTATATTGTTGAGCCATATACCATGAAATCACCCGACTGATTTCTCACCGGTGGGCTCGGTAGGCTCGGGAGTAGGCTCGGGAGTAGGCTCGGCGGTAGGCTCGGCGGTAGGCTCGGCGGTAGGCTCGGGAGTAGGCTCGGCGGTGGGCTCGGGAGTAGGCTCAGCGGTGGGCTCGGGAGTAGGCTCGGCGGTAGGCTCGGGAGTAGGCTCAGGAGTAGGCTCGGGCGCAGGCTCTGGGGCACCACAAAACAAATAGAGGCACCGACGAGCCACTGAAGTCAGCGATATATGGTCCGTTGGCTTGCTTGCAAAGTTATATCACCACTATATCCGTTGTTGGATTTCGCTTCGTGAATTTCATTGCGACGTGGCATCAACGTGACTAGGCAATAGATGGTTCGTGCGACAACACAAGAAACAAAAAACACATACTACAGCACAAGTCGGCAACGACGAAGACAAACGTTCCCTTCTGTGTCGCTGCATGAAAAGCAGCAACACAACGCTGTCGTAACCGACAAAATACCAACAACGGTATCAAAAGTCTCACCTTCCAGGTAGCACGGCGCCTCGAGCGCGATGGAGCAGAGCTCGCCGCGTTCCACGATGTCGCTCTCGCAGCAGTTGTCCGCCCCTAGACCTCCGCCGAGCGCGTCACAGTCCGATCCGCCGCACCCACCGCACTCCGCGAGACAGCAAGCGTTTCCTGACTGGATACCGGGGAACCCGTTGGAGCACACGTCTAGTCACACAGACAAGAGGGAAACGACATGCGGCAGCAGCGACAAGGAGAGCGGCAACGTGAGATGATGCACCGTGTTATGTTTGGTGAGACGCTCGCGAGCTGAATAAGATGCAAGGTACGTACTCTGCGTCATGTACGAGACGGCCTTCAGCAAGATATGGTGTGGTTCCCCCCGTCAGATGCCGAGCATATAATCGTCGGTCCGACGCAGCGTCCACTAAATCAGCCGTTACAACGACCGATAGCAACAAGAACTCTTGCGTGGGACGAAGCTACCACGGGTGGGGATGGCACAAGCAATATCGCTAGCGCAAGACTTTCATTCACGGTGATGACAGCGCAAGGAAGCGACAGAGTTCCTACCGGTGGGCGCAGTCGGCTCGGCAGTCGGTTCGGCAGTCGGTTCGGCAGTCGGCTCGGCAGTAGGTTCAGGAGTAGGCTCAGGCGTAGGTTCGGGCGTAGGCTCGGCAGTCGGCTCGGCAGTCGGTTCGGCAGTCGGCTCGGCAGTCGGCTCGGCAGTAGGTTCAGGAGTAGGCTCAGGCGTAGGTTCGGGCGTAGGCTCGGCAGTCGGTTCGGGAGTAGGCTCCGGAGTTGGCTCGGGAGTGGGCTCCGGCGTAGGTTCTGGAGTAGGCTCTGCAATACGCCAAGGCCACCGGCGAAGGAACAGGGGCGGAATATGCATCACCAAACAAGTGGCGGCACCGACGAGCCACGAAAACAAGGGAAATATCGTGCCCTCCCGAGCTTGCCAAGTACAATCACCGAAACATCCATGTTCCGGATTTCGCGTCCAAGACTACATAGCGACGTGGAACGAAGGTGACGAAGCGACCACAAATACATGCAGGGATCGTGCCACGACACGAACAAGAAACAAAGAAACTGGGAACAGTTGGCGACGACAAGCAGGCACCTGTATCACTGCATGATGCTCCATGAATTGCTGCAGTACACAACGCCGTCCGAACCGACGAAAACCAACAACGTTATCAAGAGGTCTCACCTTCCAAGTAGCACGGCGCCTCGAGGGCGACGGAGCAGAGCTCGCCGTGTTCCACGATGTCGCTCTCGCAGCAGTTCTCCGCACCGAGACCGCCGCCGAGCGCATCGCAGTCCGATCCGCCGCATCCGCCGCACTCCGCGAGACAGCACGCGTTCCCTGACTCGATACCGGGGAACCCGTTGGAGCACACGTCTGGCGGCAGGCAGAGACACAAAGCAACAAGGCGAGTTTTTTCATCATCACGAACGCGTTTGGACAATCACGACCAAGGCTCTCGGGTCTAGGGTTTTAAAGGGAGACCCCGTCAGGTGCCGAGAAAATGGTCGTGGGTCCCAAACAGGGTCCGCTGCCAGTCGCCACAACAACCAACAACCACCAGCAAGCAGCAAGCAGCAAGCAGCAAGCAGCAAGCAGACCCCCCAAAAGAGCCTACCCCCAAGCACAAGGCTACCTCGGGTGGGGACGGCACAAGCAATACCGCCAGATGATAAATTTCATTGAAAGCAAGCAAGACTTCGACTTCAGATGACGACGGTGCATGGAAAAAAAGCTTCCACTGATCAGGTCAGCTTTAACCAACAACGGGCACGTCTTACTTCTGATTGTTTAGTCGTCAACCATGAAATTACGCGACAGTTTTCTCACCGGTGGGCTCGGTAGGCTCGGGCGTAGGCTCTGGAGTAGGCTCCGGAGTCGGCTCAGCGGTAGGCTCTGCAGTAGGTTCGGCAGTAGGTTCCGCAGTAGGTTCCGCAGTAGGCTCGGGCGTAGGTTCCGGAGTTGGCTCGGGCGTAGGCTCGGGCGTAGGCTCTGGAGTAGGCTCCGGAGTCGGCTCAGCGGTAGGCTCTGCAGTAGGTTCGGCAGTAGGTTCCGCAGTTGGCTCGGGCGTAGGTTCCGCAGTTGGCTCGGGCGTAGGCTCGGGCGTAGGCTCTGGAGTCGGCTCAGGGGTAGGCTCTGCAGTAGGTTCCGCAGTTGGCTCGGGCGTAGGTTCCGGAGTTGGCTCGGGCGTAGGCTCGGGAGTGGGCTCAGGAGTGGGCTCTGGGGTAGGCAAGGCGACCAGCGAAGGCGCAGGGGCGTATCACGACACGAGTGGCAGCACCGACGAACCACGGAAGTCAGTAAAATATTGTGCGCTGGCGGGCGTACACAAGTGTTATCTAAATCAATGGTCGGATTTCGCGTGGACGACTCTATTTGCGACGTGGTAGCAAGTTGGCCGAGCGATAGGGGAATGATGCGAGACACCCACCCACAAACAAAAAACTACGAAGTTGGTGACGAAAAAACGCCCCAGTGCCGCAGGGTGAGAAACTTCATTACAACGCCGTCGGAAACGACAAAACACCAACAACCCCGTTAATCTCACCCTCGACGTAGCACGGTGCCTCGCGCGCGATGGAGCAGAGCTCGCCGTGTTCCACGATGTGGCTCTCGCAGCAGTTGTCCGCGCCGAGACCGCCGCCGAGCGCATCGCAGTCCGATCCTCCGCATCCGCCGCACTCCGCGAGACAGCAAGCGTTTCCTGACTGGATGCCGGGGAACCCGTTGGAGCACACGACTAGTCATAGAGACACGGGGAAACGACATGCGGCGGCAGTACCAGAGGGCGGAAAGGTGAGGCGATGCATCCTGTCAGGTGGTTTACACGCTCAAGAGCTAATACGCAACGTACTTAGCGTCGTGTACGAGACGGCCTTCACCAACATGTGGTTGGAGCACCCATCAGATGCCCCAGTATTTTGTCTGCCCGAAGCCGGCCGGCTGCAATCTGCCCACCACGAATACCGCCAGCAACAAGAGTTCTCGAGAGAGACTACCACCGCCCACGAAGCTAACACGGGTGGGGAAGGCACAAGCGAAATTGGGAGCGGAAAACTGCTGCTGACGAGGACGACGACGCCAGGGAGAGCCCATTCCACTGATCAGGTCAGCCCTTACAACATAGCACGCAAGTCTGACGTCTTATTTTGTTGAGTCATGTGCCACTTAATCACGCGACAGATTTCTCACCGGTGGGGTCTGCAGTAGGCTCGGGAGTAGGCTCTGGAGTAGGCTCTGGGGTTGGCTCTGGCGTAGGCTCTGGCGTAGGCTCTGGAGTTGACCCTATAGTTGACCCGGCGATCAAAAAGTAGTCATTAGGATAAGGCACGGAAAACAGCGATACATTGTGCGCTGGCTGGCTCACACAGTGGTAATTCATAAAACAATATGTACGGTAGTTATTCAATGCTCGGAGTTGGCGTCAACGCCTAGAGACGAGAGCGGCTGCAGAAGGAAGACCAAGCCTTACGGACCGGCGTTCGTGCCACGACAGGCAGGTACAGGACGGCAAACAACAACAACGTCGTCAGGGGACGGAAGAGAAACGTTGCTACAAGTATCCAAGGCTCACCGCCAATGACGCAAGGGGCCGATCCAACGTCGTCGCACATCTGGCCGTTGTCGACGATGGTGTCCGCACAGCATTCAACCTCGAGCTCTGGCCCAGTCTCGCACTCGCACTCGCACTACAAGTTAGAGTTGAGATGCGGAGGGGGGGGGGGTGGGTAGCTTTTGGCGCCTGCGAGAGGAAAATCAAGAATCGCATCTTCTTGAGACACCATGGTACACATTTAACCTCTCGGGGGGTCCTCTCTGGCACAACATCCTTACGATGTTTGTATGTATGGCAACTTGTTTTCCCGTCGAAATCGATCGCAATAACGCGGTCTCGTTTGACTTCGCTTGATAACCACTGCTCCCCTCTAACGACATGGAATCGTGATCGTTTTTTTCACTGACGATCTTGGTGCATCAAACCTCTGCCCCTTTGTTAAATTCTCTGCATGGGCACGGCTTGCCCTCGTCCATGCACCCTCGTCTTCCCCTTTCGTCAAGCCAAGGTTCCGCACGCTTTCAGTTCCCATCACCTCTGACCCGGAGTCTGAGGAGCTACTAGAGCGGAGCGCACGCCGCGTGTTGCAGTCGCAGTACTCCTCGTAATCGTCATCTGAGTCGTTGGAGTAGTCGTGCTCGTAGGTGAGGCGGCGACGGCGCCTTCGGGTCCCGCAGATGGTGTCATTGTCTGACGAGTCCCGCCCGCCAAGGCGGCGCCTGTCGCACCCGGTAGAGCAGCTTCCGCACTCGGAGGGGCAGCAAGCCTTGCCGTCGGAGGACTCGACGCCTGTAACGCCGTTGCTGCACATGCTTCCTCCTGCACATCGTTAGACGCATGGAACGGAGCGGTCGCAGCACACCGTCGCGGGGGGGCGTACTCTTTATGTTTTGCATGCCTTAGCGGCAAGACCGTTGACCACACGTCCTCGAGAGGACAGAGCATTGTCCATCTCTCATGCCCCAGGACACAGCTAAGCAGGAAGGAACGTATGTGTGTGGGGGGGGATGGAGCTCCTTGAGAAAAACAGTATTCTTGCAAGCCAAAGCGGGCGGCTGCCGGGCACGTACCGTCGTTGGAGTTGGAGTCGTCGCTCGAGCCACTGTCCCCGCCATGGTTCCAGGTCAGACGACGACTAGCGTCAGCATCGTTACCTGTAGGACCGTCCAGCTGTACGCTCTTGATCCAGTTGGCAGGTGAGAGATGACGTCGGAGTTTTTCGCGAAAGGTCTCTGGGGTGCCAGCGGCCTGAGCAAGAATAGAGAACAATGCACGCCGGGAAAGACAGGATGGGGAAGACCGCGGTGCGTGCACACCAAAGGATTCAGTGTTAGAGAAAAGTTGACATGACGGGTACATTGTACATGGAAACGCGCTGTCATTCTCCAGGTTTGCCCTTATTTGGAGGAAACCACGCGTACGTGCATGTAACTGGCAGACATCGGCAGAGCGGTATCCGACAACACTGACGACGAGGACGTTGCGATAACCACCAGGTAGACAAGGGCCCCGCCGGGAATCTCGTTTAAAAAAACAAAATGAAAAATACCGCTGGTGAAACGCCTTCAATGAGGTCCATTCTTGATCGACCAAACTACAGTATAATATGGATACGCACTTATTTATGCTCTATTTCTCTTACTACACACGCTCAACGTGGAACAATGGGTCAGGTGCAGGACAGAAAGAAAGCCGGTACGTAAGACGTGAGCAGGCCGCAACGCGGACTTCATCGAAACGTTCGTGAAACATTCTGCATGCCCAGAAATAAATATAGGTGGACAGAAGAAATAACGACAAAATCGATCATATATATACAAATATATTATAATAGCACCAAATCTAACAATGCATAAAATTATTGAGTGACACACAATGAATTTGCACTTTCATTGTCGATGAGTTTTTTTTTTGTCCCTGACGGGCGACGACCTTGTCTAGTATCGTTGCGTCCGGGCGTCAGAGGCGGGTATCAAAACGGCCCCCGCTTCTTGTCCGTTGTTTTGGTTCGGATGAACGCCGTACATAACAACACGTGCGTGATGCACTATAAGTCCAAGTAGAGTATGCATATTTCATCCACGAGCGCGTTCAAATGCTCCGTACGGTGCATGTGATGAGTTGCTCCTAAATCACGAAAAAAAAGGAAGGTTTGTTCGTCGAAGCATGTGATGAGTTGCTCCTAAATCACGAAAAAAAGTAGTTCAAGTTGTACACAGGCCACGTTGTGGTTTCGCCCCGCTCAAGCAAAAGCGTGAGACAAAATTGTCCGCTCAGGGAATCTGCAGGGAAAGGAAGATGTGAGGTTACCCGAGATTTACACCTTATTTCCTTAGACGAGGCCCGTCCTGCCGCAAATGTAGCGCACTACACTGCGTTCGTTCGCGGATCTTACTCCCTATCACACGATCATCACGGCACGGTTTACTGACCGACTGGAATCCAACCGTTCAGCCCTTGATTCAACTGCAATACTTATCACATTTATTCACTCGGAAAAACTTTCCCGCATCCAGTGCTCCTACTACGGAGGAACAATCTAGGGTGAAAATCCGTTGGAACTTGGAAACGACCACATCCGACCCACCGCCTTGGGTGTGGGACAGAATTTAATGTCGGAGTTATGTATTCGCAATTCGCAAACGATTCTACAGCAGCAGGAGTAGAGTAGTATCCGTGAGGTGCGCGGGACAACGGTGGTTATCCCGAACCGATGTCGTTCCAGCGCAATCTGTAGAGAGGAGAAAAAAACAGGTGTGTATGTAGTGTTGTCCAGGATTTTTCAGAACTACTTGCTGACGGGCTACCCTGTGTTCATACATACAGTAAATCCTCCCGGCAGACTGAAGATACAACCGGTCGAATGTACGAATCTGCTGTGCGCCTACAAACCGTGCTGCCCTCCCTTCCACCAAACATCATACCTGCTCGTTCGCATCTCGGGCAGCAGCAGCAGACTGCGAGGCGTTGGCATCATTCTTCCCGAGGACGAATGGCGCTACAACCCCCAGCAGCAAGAGGCTACTTGCTTTATGGCGCACCATGGCCTTCTGCGATACAAATCCAAACACAAACGGAACGGGGTTGTTCAGATTCCATGGATAAAAGTGGCGAACGCACGAGGTCACTCGCACCGTTCTATATGTATGTCTGCCCGTTGTCCTGAGATGGGTAGGCTCAAGGGTCTCTGTCCAACCAACAACCAATTACACTTCCAACTACTGTCAAAAAAGTACCATATTTTCGAAAACTTGCGAACAGAAGGTTGGAACACTTGACGAGAGAGTACGGTCATCTGTCCACGAAAATATGGAACAGAATAAAATAATTTTTCACCAATTTTTTTCGCATTCAACACATCAGTTTGTTCAACTCGTGGTAAAATATCGGTCCACAGCGCTCGAAATCAATACACCGGTCGGACTCGACCACAGACGCATGCCGCAAGCGCGTGTAGCGTTTGACAGGACCAATAATACAAGGGGCGACACCTATACATGCATGCATGTAGGATTGCGTGGGCACTTTTGAATCCAGACTTTTTTCGCTGGTGGATCCTGTGCTGCTCTGTGCTCAATCAACCAACATTTTATTGTGGTGGCCTAGAGAGAGCATTCGTCCTAACACCCCTTCGAGTGGGCCGGTCTCGTCCATCCACTACTGCACTCCTACAGAAAGTCTACACTCAGTTGCGTTCATTCCACATGGGGATACCAACTCCGTCATAAGACGATCTATGCCGCAGGCTCGGGAACATGTCAGATGGGAGAGTACGAACAGCATACAAACCGCGTTCTTCCTCTCACAAAACACAAAACCCGAGGTTCATCAACCATCAAGGTCTATAGTCTAGACTACAGATCGATGTGGCTAGAGTTGAGTATGCACCCTCGCCCTGGTGTGTGCTCTTCTGAACGCCAAGTGTGTGGAGTTCTGGCATGACCGCGCAACTCTGCAGCAAAGCAAACCTCGGACAGATCGATGCTTGCTTGTTTGTATGCAGCATGGCTGCATGCTCCGACGACGACGGAGCGGGTTTGAAAAACAGCAAGTGACGAGCACAGAAAATAACTCGAGAGAACACAAAAAGGATCTGCTGTCTGAAGCTTGCCTGTAGTACACCGGGCGGCTTGCCAAAGCGCAGCCTCGGGGGTGTGACGGGTGTGGTCGATGAAAATGGTGTGAGAGCGGATCACCTGCGGGCGGAAGAGAGGGAGCTACAGACGGAATGAAGAGGTGGGCTCGTCCGCAGCTGACCAGCTGTGCGTGGCGGATGTGAGAGCCAAGGTCGGATGACAGAACGAGCGGTGTACAACGGCGTCTCATCGGAGAACCCCGGCGACAAGCTGCGCGATCCTATCTTTCTCCGCACGGAATTTCGAGCGTTGTTGTTTGTTGTTTTTCTTCGCATTAAACTCGTGTCAGTTGCTAATCCCAAAATCTAGCAAAGACTCGGCCCGTGGTCACAAAAATGCTAAAGCCATCAGAAGATCTAAAGAACACGCACACTATTAGCAAGAAAAGGGTACACAAGCCCGAGGAGGTACACCTACAATCCCTGCAGCACGTTTGCGTGCTCACAACTGAACTACACGCCCACACACTACAATTCGACTACAGCAGGCGGCATCACCCTCCTTGTCCCGCACTTCACCTGGATCTTTTCGAAAAATCATGTTGTTTCGGATCCGTTGGAAATCTGCCCTAGGAAACCAACGTCTCTTCTCATTTCATCCCGAACATATCATCCCGAACATCATCCCGAACATATCGGAATGAGCATCGCGTATGGCATCTAAACTACTACCATGGAACACCGCACCGATCTCCTTTGATCTCGTCGTCCGTGAGACGTCCGTGTGAGACAGGTGTCGCGTGTGGTTCGTGGGCACAGCGGGAACATACTCGGTCCCTCGCTCCCCGGTACTCACCCCTTCTTCATCATGTTGCAGCTTTGTGGTTGGGGATATAGACTACAGTCTATCTATGTTGACCAGTGCGGGGGGGGGGGAACTTCTTGGTAGAAAGGTGGTGGGAGGAACAATGCATGCGTACTGCTGTCCACATCACATCACCAAATTTGGTCGATCGTGTCTACCGACAGTGCAGAAGACACGACCATGCGACACGCTTGCGATAGATCGCGCGACCCGCGGCCTTCTCGGATTGCTGTATATCGCACGACCCGCGGCTTCTCTGGATGCAACGCAAATCTTGATTGCTGCTACGCTGTAATCTGCAACACCGCGTCTCGCGTGTGCAGGAGAGCTGAAGGAGCGACATGTTTCATAGTCTACGTGGAATCTACAGCAGCAGTCATGTACGTATGCATACGGCATGCAGCATATTTCTGGTGCAAACAGCGCTGCTACAACCTGTATTCTACCGCCTAGACCAAAGCGTGTACTCCAGAGAGGTGGCAACAACATCACCCCGATTTATTGACCAGACGTTGCCCCTCGATCGTTCCGTTGCGCTCTTGGTAAATAACTTGCCGCATGATCAAGATGCCAAGCGACGCTGTTATGTATTTTTCTTTTGAATAGCCTGTTGAGTTTATTGTATTGTGATCTACTGCACCAGTACAGCAAGTGGCAGACTTCCCCACGTTCCACGCAGCACAGCTTCAGCGGGATACTAACGTGTCCGTCATTCAAAAACACAAATACTCCCTGGACTATAGGATCTGCGGACTAAATGCTGTACTAAGCCTCCCAATGGTGGTGCATACTATCAACCATTCATCCAGAAAACACCCCACGTAACGACGTACAGAGAAATGTTTCTTTCCACTCGAAGTCATAGAAAAACTCAAGGGGAGGCTAAAGCGTCCTCCTCTCCGCCGTTTTGTGGTCTACTCTAGGGCTAATATTGGAAATAGTAAAGGAACGGTCCACGCAACATTGACGTATCAATGCTCCGGTGAGCCCCATCCAGCTGGTCAGCAAGAGATCACTATATTATATTGCGCTACGGCGCGCTACTGAAAGTATGAAAACAAGTACTGCAGCTGTCGGGTGTACAAAATTAGTCAAACCTTGACTTACACCTGCTACATGCTGCAACATGTAGAGAGACTCGAGAGAGGAGCCCCTGCTTTTTGGGTCGGACGAGCGCTACTGGACTATCCCACTCGTTCGACGTAAAATAACCGGCTGGTGGTATTTAACGCCAAGGGACATGATGTAAATGAGAACCCTCCGCCTTCTCTGCGAACCCAACTTCTAGCGGACAGCTCCAGTCTCATGATAAGGCAGCATCGCCTCTCCTATGCATACATGGTACAGAACTAATAAACACCATCAAGAGCAAACAATTACAGGCTAGGAAATATCCAAGTTCCCTACGTCTACTGTGTCCGTCCGTGTTCTCCAGCATTGGCACGTGCTGGATGGAGTGCAATGTCGGCCTCCTGCCGGAAGAGCTGCTGATGCCTCCTGGCACTCCGTGCTGTGCCCATCTACTTCGTGAAATCCCGATCGAAAAGATCACCTCGAAAGAACAGCGCGCAGAATGTTGGCGAACAGCCCAGGTACCTGACAGAACATACAGGGTAAGGTTCACGACAGACGAGGTCAGCAGGAGCAGCTTCAAGCATGACGCAAAGTACGGCACTCGCAAGAATACGAACGAGTGCTGGCTGTGAGGCAACCACGACTAGTCCTAAGCTACGTATCATGAGGTTGGTCGGGCTAGGGCCTTCGGAAGCGAGAAGAAAAAGATGCTGGTGGCCCCCCTGTGGTAATAAAAAGGAATCTGCCGAAGTTGTCAAGATCGTGGGTTCCATCAAGTCCCAGAAGGACACCTTTGAAAAACACGTGTTCGTGGAAATACTATGTATCATTCGACGCGCGCAACCGTAGACGAGGCAACGAGGGTTGCTGGCCCTTCTCGAGAAAAACAAAGACAACGTGGGGACGTGGACCCAATACAAGGTTCATTGCTTGAAACTAGATCGTACCACCTCTCGGTCAAGAAGGCAAGACGATGTGATGGGGCAAAACAAGTAATAGCAGCGGTGAATCGGACAACCAAACGATTGAGAAAGAAAAAAACGCATGCCAGCGGCAAGTCCCCTCGCATGTTCTGCTACGATTCTTCAACGACTTCATCACGACGGAAGCCATACAAGTAGGTCTCGGCAGAACGGCTTCAGGCGAGCGCACGCGGTGTTTGCAAGGCGTATACCGCTTGACTGATCCAACGCCTCAAGACAACATCTGAGAGTGCCAGCGTACCCTAGGCTTACCTCTGAGGCACATTCCCCCGATCTCGTCACCACGGCGTCCTAGTGCTTGTCGTCGTCAGCCGCGCCATCTGTAAAGGGTACGTCACGAGTCGGGTCGGGTTGATACGCAAGAACGAGAACACGACAATAGCGAGTACTCAACGATGCTGGCTCACTGGCACGAAGTAGGCAGCGGCCGATCTCTGAGTTCTTCCAAACTTTAGTCGTGCCGAGGGGGCGATTTTAACGCGGCAGGCGAGGAATGAGATGCAGCCTCAACCGCAGGTGTAGAGTACAAAAAACACGCGTGCCAAACAACCAATATTTCTCGGGGTTCCCTGTAGGAGTTGAAACGGTTGACCCATGGAAGCACACCGCAAAACAAGACAACGCAACCCGGGAACGTGCGGCAACCGTCGAAAGAAAAAAGAGCAAAACGAGAGGCCTGCATTAAGAAGGCGGCATCGGTGCTCCCCACAATCTCATGGCACGTGGTGGTAACGATGAATATTATTAAAAAGAAAAAACGTGTTTTCGCTCGCCCCGACCCACATAGCCACTACACTACCAATGGTCTCACCGTCGATGTAGCACGGCGCCGCGAGTGCGATGGAGCAGAGCTCGCCGTATTCCTCGATGTCGCTCTCGCAGCACTTGTCCGCCCCGAGGCCTCCACCGAACTCACCACACCCGCGACCGCCGCATTCGCCGCACTCCGCGAGACAGCAAGAGACCCCGGACTGGATACCGGGGAACCCGTTGGAGCACACGTCTGGTGGCAGAGGTACAGATAGCAACATCACGCGGCAGCAGCGACAAAGAGAGGGGATGATGTGAGACGATGCATCGCGTAGAGTGGTTGGGGTGCGCAAGAGCTGAGATGCAGGGCACTCTGCGTCGGCAACGAAGTGCCCTGCATCAGCTTGTGGTTGGAGAAGCCGTGCGCTGCCGAGCTGAGTATCGTCGGTCCGAAACAGCGCCTGCTGCACAACTACCACCAGCAACAAGAAACCCTGAGAGAGAGACACCACTGTGCACCATCGCGCACTGAGCTACCACGGGAGGGAATGGCACAAGGAACTATTGTCAGCAGATGGGTTTCATTGACATCGACGACGGTGCGACGAAGGGAGCATTCTACTGATCAGGTCAGCGCCAACCTTCCGTGTTATTGTTGACTCATCTACCATGAAAGCGTGAAATAGATTTCTCACCGGTGGGCTCGGTCACAGGGGCAACGGGCTCGGCGACCGGCGAAGGCGCAGGCGCGGAGGCTGCACAACGAAACACAGGTAGTGGAAACGTTGGGGAACGGAAGACGCGGGGTTACGCTGCGTTGGATGCCTTGCACCCTCAGATAAGAGATGGTCGGAGTATCGGATCAACGGCCTTGAACACAGTCATCGACGACAAGCAGGCACCTATGCACAGCAAGATGAAAATCAACAATGCGGTCGGAAGGGGCAAAGCAGGACACCGGTATTAAACATCAAGGTCTCACCGTCTACGACACATGGCGCCTCGAGTTTGATAGAGCAGAGCTCGCCGAATTCCTCGATCTCGCCCTCGCAGCAGTTGTGCTCGCCAAGGCCGCCACCAAGCTCAGCGCAGCCAGACCCGCCGCATCCACCGCACTCCGCGAGACAGCAAGAGACCCCTGACTGGACGCCGGGGATCCCGTTGGAACACACGTCTGGAGGAAGAGACACATTACAACGTCGTGCGGCAGGTAGGAAAGATACCGACAGCGTGAAAATGATCCATCGTGTAGAATGTGTCAAGACCCGATATGAAACGCTGCTGTCATAAAGTTAACAAGACGACCTTTAGAAGGGCAGTGGTACGGTGCCAACCAAGACGGCCTTGAGAAGGGCGGTGGTACAGCGCCAAGCAACAGATCAGAGGAAGCGATGGCACAACCAACATCGTCACGACATGTCTCTCACTGACGCCAAAGGGAAGACCACATTCAACTGATCGGGTCAGCGCTACCACGGCGGCGAATTCTGCCGCCTGATTGTTGACTCATCCGCCATGAAAGCACGCGACTGATTTTCTCACCGGTGGGCTCGGTCACAGGCGCAACGGGCTCAGCGACCGGCGTAGGCGCAGGGGCGTAGCCTGCATAACCGAACAAGTAGCGGCAACGATGAGCCACGGAAGTCAGGCATAGATCGTACGTTGACTGGCTTGCACAGTAACAAAGCAATGTTTGGAGCTCGCGTCAATGTTCAGCGACGAGAGAGGTCTCGGACGGGCGACCAAGCCGTAGCGACTACTGCACACATTGTTGCACTGTACAAACAAATTATCTAGAAAGAGGCGTACATACAAGTTGGGCCATTGGACCATACTCTTACACCATGTCGCTAAATCAGCTCAAGATATCTTTGCTGGAGCTCTGTTTCCTGCAGGAGACAATGAACTCGGCATGCAGGTCTACTAGATGAAGCATCACTTTAGAAAACCCCGAGTATCTCAAGCTCCATCACGTTAGTCGGGCTGAAGCAAGGCTATTCGATGAATTTCCGGCAAGCTCGTGGCTAGGTGGTTTATACTGAAAGGCATTTCAGAACAGTGCACCACGGATGGCCACAGCTAGCCAATCAGACGGGCGACACCAAAGAAGCCTTCCCGTATTCGACAAGCACCTGGAGCTGAAACCATTTCACAGCAACGCAGAACAAAACAAGAAAAAGCAAGGCAAGGCAAAAGGCTGTCACATCCGTGCTTTCGACGCTTCATGCACTGCACCTAGCACGCAGGGTGCCGATCCAAAGATGTCGCACATCTCGCCGTCTTCCACAATGGTGTCCGCGCAGCATTCGAGCTCGGGCTCGGGCTCGCACTCGCACTCGCACTGCAAGTAGGCGTTGGGATGGGGGGGGACGGGAACGAACGAGGTTGGCTACGTACGCGTCTTCGGTGGATGCGAGAACACCATCAAAACTCAATCCTTCGAGACGACAACCAATTGCTAACCCTCCCGAGACTTCACCACAGCGCAACACTTTCAAGGCATCCCTCGTCATTATGTTCTGTTCGGTTGATGGGAACTTTGTTTCCTATACTGGCTACTGACCACTGCTCCTCTCTGATACATATATCTAGAAACCGTCATCATGCTTCTCACTGGAGATACTGGAGTTCTGTTCTGCTTGCCTATCCCACACTGCGCATCTGAGCACTCCTGTAGGTTTACTACAGGCTGTCGAGACTTGTCTTGGGCTGCTGCCAGCGACCGCCTCACCTGGCCGTCACCAGAATCGGACGAATCAGAGGAGCCACCAGAGTCGGACGAATCAGAGGAGCCACCATAGCGAGGCGTGTACCCGCCGGAGAGACTGCAGTCGCAGTATTCCTCGTAACCGTTGTCTCCATCGCCGGACCCGGAATCATCGGATGAGGAATCAGAACCCCGCCCACCGTCGTTCGAATCGGATGAGGAATCAGAGCCCCAGCCACCGCTTGATGAGTGATCGTTAGAGTCGGATGAAGAATCAGCGCCCCGGCCACCGCTTGATGAGTGATCGTCGGAGTCGGACGATCCGCTGTCGCTGCTGCCGCTGCCCCCCCACAGGTGACGACCGTGTTCGCAGTCGCACGACGCGTCACGCGAGTCGGAGGAAGAGCTACCGCCAGAGCGGAGCGCGCGGCGCTTGTATCCGGAGGGACCACAGTTGCAACCATCGCGGGAGTCGTCAGATGAATCCCTGGAAGAGGAGTCCTTGGAAGACGAGTCCTTGGAAGATGAGTCCTTGGAAGATGAGTCCTTGGAAGATGAGTCCTTGGAAGATGAGTCCTTGGAAGATGAGTCCTTGGAAGACGAGTCCTTGGAAGACGAGTCCTTGGAAGACGAGTCCTGGGAAGACGAGTCCTTGGACCCGTCGCGCCCGGAGGAGAGGCGGCGGCGGTGCTTCGGGGTATCGTAGGAGTCGTCAGATGAATCCTTGGAAGACGAGTCCTTGGAAGACGAGTCCTTGGAAGACGAGTCCTTGGAAGACGAGTCCTTGGAAGATGAGTCCCTGGAAGAGGAGTCCTTGGAAGACGAGTCCTTGGAAGACGAGTCCTTGGACGAAGAGTCCTTGGAGGAGTCCTTGGACCCGTCGCGCCCGGAGGAGAGGCTGCGGCGGTGCTTCGGGGTATCGTAGGAGTCGTCAGATGAATCCTTGGAGGATGAGTCCTTGGAAGAGGAGTCCTTGGAAGACGAGTCCTTGGAAGACGAGTCCTTGGAAGACGAGTCCTTGGAAGACGAATCCTTGGAAGAGGAGTCCTTGGAAGACGAATCCTTGGAGGAGTCCTTGGACCTGTCGCGCCCCGAGGAGAGGCTGCGGCGGTGCTTCGGGGTATCGTAGGAGTCGTCAGAGGAGTCCTTGGAAGAGGAGTCCTTGGAAGACGAGTCCTTGGAAGAGGAGTCCTTGGAAGACGAGTCCTTGGAAGACGAGTCCTTGGAAGACGAGTCCTTGGAAGAGGAGTCCTTGGAAGACGAATCCTTGGAGGAGTCCTTGGACCTGTCGCGCCCCGAGGAGAGGCTGCGGCGGTGCTTCGGGGTATCGTAGGAGTCGTCAGAGGAGTCTTTGGAGGATGAGTCCTTGGAAGAGGAGTCCTTGGAAGACGAGTCCTTGGAGGAGAGGCGGCGGCGGTGCTTCAAGGTCCCACAGGAGGTGCCGTTCTTGTCCGACGAGTCTGCCGAGGATGAGGAGTCGCCTCCGCTGTCGCTAGATGAGAGGCGGCGCTTCGACCCACAGCTGGTAGAGCACACCCCGCACTCGGCTGGGCAGCAAGCCATGCCGTCGGAAGATTCGACGCCGGGGATGTCGTTGCTGCACTTGACCCCTCCTGAACGGGAAAAGAAAATCATGCAAGCGCCGCGAGGACGGGGGCATACGCACCTTCAGGGGCAGTCCTGCAACAAAAAAAGGCGTTGTTCTGCGGTAGGCACGCGCGCACCCGTACTGAAATAGCATGCTAGACCGTGGTGTGTGGTATCTTTCACGACATTTTCGTGTGTGATACAGTAGTTGTGTGTATATCGGCATGCGAGACGTGTTCCAACGCGTGATCAACTACATGCATGTGTAGCGCTGCAAGTACATCTATCTGCATCGCCGTGAAAAAACAGCGTGTTTGTAGGAGCGGACGATTGTCCGGCATGTGTTGAAATGCAGCAGCAGGATAGCTTGCACACGTGCCCTCCAGTAGGATTAATGCAGTGAGGATAGGTACGCTTGAAATACATTTGATGTATCTGCTCCACCGGGAAAAATTACCGCTCTTGCTAGACGGCGATTTTGTGTTGGAATTGCAGGAGTAGCACAAAGGCACAGCTGCGATGCACTTGCTGCGGGATCTTTGCAGAGAGGAAAGATACTTGGGTGTGTGAATGTATAGCAAAATGGAACGTCTCCCTCCGGAGTGGGGTAAAGAGAGCACATTCGGCAAGGGGTGATGCAAGAACATGAAAGAAGCAGACAGAGGAACAAAAGACTTTCGTGTGCGAATATCGATAGACTACTTCCAAACGGGGTTGGCGGCATTTTCAGGAGCTCGGGGAGCTTTTCCTCCAATACAAAGATCCTGTAGGAATTTGGCTGCAAGAACAACCCGCGAACAAATGTTGTTGTTTTCGTCCTATTTAAAATGGTGACAGCCCCGCCATTTTTCGTGGTGAGACGTGTATTTTTTCGGACAACAATCCAGGGTCACCGGAGGGGGTAAACAAGGGGCTTTTTCTTACTCAGTATTTATTTTCGTTCCCCACCTTTCTCCTGTGGTGCGTGCTGAATTCTATGTTACCGCGAGAAGGGTCCAGCCGTCCCTCTCCCTCGTCAACGGTGCTAACGTCGAAGTTTGGTATTCACGAGAGTTTGATCAGTATTTTCGCATTCACCCGCAAAGTTCGTAAATAATGCATGGGGATTCGAACTCACGACCCTAGCGGTTTCGAGCTGTGATTTGAAGGGGTTCAACCGCATCTGTTTTTCAAACTGCTGTACCTGATGAACGTGTTCTTCGCTGTTCCACGTGCTACCGAGGTGGAAAGAACGTTACAGCTGCTGCAGAGAACATGAAAGACTCTCAAAGAACAGCTTCCCTGAAAAAGAAGGTGAAAGAATACCAAGAGTCAGTCCCCACCGCTAACGACCAGCCAGCACAATGTATGACCGTTCTTAGGTGACAGCACGGTTCAAGAATGTAGCAAGAGTGACATGTGTGTGTTGGTTGGTAATGGTAGCCGAGGAGCTAGGCATGCATCGGTTGATGTGTAAGTTTAGCGAAGAGATTGTACCACACAGAGACGACCAGAAAGGGTAGCGACCCTACATGGCCCACTCCCCAACGTTAAGGGGGGGCAGAACAACGGTCTTGACGCTGGTTCTTTTTCTCATGCTTTAATCCAACATGAAAGAAAACAACCTTTCCGCCTGAGGAACCTGGAAATAGACAACTACAATGATGTCGGAAACCTGAGACGCAAGACTTCACCCGTTGTTGCACTCTACAAACAAGACGATTTTCTCGGTGCTTCAGTCCGCGGCCGCCTTTGAAGACTTTTTTTTCGCCGGTCGTTGCTCGCTGGAGCGGGCCTGTCTCTGGATCACAGCGCCCCTGTCGCGAGCTCGAAACTCCAAAGGCGAGTAGAGTTACAGCACTGTGAATGCACGCAACCATTATTTTGCTTTAGTCATTGAGCTAGACGTTGTGGTGCTGTAAATTGGGTTTAATCGTTTCTAAATGGAGATTGAACATTTTTTTCGGCTGGCTTCGCCGACCTGGGCGTGCCAATCTTACGATCACAGCGCCCCTGTCGCGAGCTCGAGACTCCGAGGGCGAGCCGAGTTACAGCACCGTGAAGCCGAGTTACAGCATCCGGGCGCGTCTACGCAAGGGACTGTCACCTCTAAAGAATAACGCATCTCACTGGACAACATTTCGAAGAACCCCGCGTGGTCTTTACTGCAGTTCACGAAGATATTGACTGCTGCCCGTATGTGGCATGTGTTGTAGGTGGTGCCCCCACGCTGCATCCATGCATGCATGCTGTCGCTTTCTCTAGCGTAAGCAACTCTACCTGAAGTAATTACTTCCAAGTCCTCACGTGCACACGGAAATGTAAACATACCTGAACACACACCCTCCAAGTTGCAAGTACAGGTCTACTGCTGTAGGAAGGAATTGAACAGGGTTTGTTTTTCTATTGTTGATGTGGTGCGCCACAGCTTGGTTGTGCTTTGACTTTTTCTTGTTGTTGTGGTACGCCAAGCACAGCCTTTGCTTGTGCTTTGAGTTTTTCGAAAACGCATGCACATCTCACGGAGGAACTGCAAGTTTGTTTGTCTTCTTCTGTAATACTGTCAACGACACGCTGTAGTATTGAAAGTGCTGCTGTGTCCTACACTGCACACCAGCTACTGCTGTAAACCCGCAGTTCAGGAGATTGGGGTCAGTGGCGGCGAGCACGAGCAATAGAAGACGCTGGGGGCCGGTCTGACTTGAGGACATTTTTTCGGAGATTGTAGGCCGATACAACGACGCTCGATATCACCACAACAAAAGCGGATTTGAGCGCGCCAACACCCACCCCCCGCTGCTATAGGATGTCCTCTAGTTATATGAGTTGTTGTATGCACCAGGTTCATGGCAACACAGCCCTTGAGCGCCTACCGCTTTGGCTCTATTGACTTGAATTTAGACTGGTGGGAATATTTATCTTGATTTCAAAGACCCGTGAAAGGTGTGTTTTGAGAAGCCTCTACTGCCGGCCTGTCCGAGAATCAACGATTTCTGTTCTTCGCGATGCCTTCCGGCTGGTCGTGTGTCTCTCGCGTGCCATTTCTGGTGCTCTTGCGTTTGTTTTCAAAATTGTCAATCAAAGTTCGTGTTCTGCCATCCCTTCAACCTCCTAAGACCTCGAAACCTGAGCTACAAGGCTCCGGGGGGCGCCGGCAGCCCAGTGAAGCAACAGTAACAGGTTCTCACATTTCGGGTCCAGTTTGTGTACCTCTTATGGCTAAGTTATCCTGTGACCACGGGAATCGACCGCGTCAAGTGTCGGGCTATGTAGTACGGACAGAAGGTACTGGGTAGAGAGAGCGGAACGGTTTATTTATGTGTACACACCAAAAACAACAACACCAACGGCGACCCTTGGTCTGCAAGCAGCCTGATCACTTACCGCCGCCGGAGTCGTGGCTGGGGCCTGGTTCATCACCGCTGTCGCTCGAGCTACCACTGTCGCTCGAACCGTCGCCGCTGCTGTCCCTCGAACCACCGCCGCTGTCGCTCGAACCACCGCCGCTGTCGCTCGAACCGTGGCCGTAGTTCCAGGACAGACGACGGTTGCCGTCTGCGTCGATGCCTGTGGGGCCGGCATTCTTGAGCCAGTTGGCGGGCGAGAGGTGGCGGTGGAGCTTCGCGCCAAAGGTCTCGACTGCACCGGTAGCATCAGCGGCCTGTTTAAGAAGAAAACAAGCAGTGGGGAACGGCAAGGAACCGGAGCATGAAGGCATACATAACGCACCAATATCAGTGCATATGCTTTGTATCGTAGTCTATGTATTGGCTGGTGATACTACTGATGTAGACCGATTTGGCACGACCAAGCAGCCAGTCGCTTGTTGCCGTGTCACAGCAGCGCCTTCCTTGTGTATTGATAATGCAGCAGTGCGATATCACCGGGTGCGTACAATACACCTCGCTGCAGAGAAATGCCGCAGTGTGAGTCAACCGACGATCGGAGGCACAGCAGTGCACTCTAGACTAATATTCTAATACGAGCACGCACAAGCACTGCAAGGTTGTGGGGAAGGGTGAAACCAACGGCAGTTTACAAAGCCTGGACTACATCCCGGACCATGATGAACTAGTTTCTAATTCTACATGCATGTATGTACCTTGTGCAAGTAGGCACAGCAGCACAACAGGAAAGATGTCTACCGCTGCCATCCCGCTCACCGCAGCAGGAAGTTATCTTGTGGTACCTCACTCGCACCGCCCAGCCGGCATTACAGCAGTCTATGCATGCATATGCGTTGCCTGTCATCCAGAAAACTGCCAAGTGCCTACAACTGCCTCTGTCCCTGCCCTACTGGTTGACGTATGTGGTGTGTGCAGCCAGCGCCAACGTGCCAGGCTGTGTGTGTGTTGCGAAGTTGCGAACCTATGTACTACCCAGCCAACCGCACAGATCACAGCCGACAGTCCCGTATTTAATAGAGACCCTATATAGTGGTTTGAAAAACACTGGGGATGCGGTACTACTCATCGAGGGCGGGTCGTGGCCGTGGCAATCGATTTCGAATCGTTTGTTTCGAATCCTCCTGATGCTCACCGCCCTACTGACGGGCCAAGACAGAGAGTACCAATCTATGAAGTTAGGAATCCAAGCCCGTGCGTGCGGACGGACATCTGTCCTTGGTTGAAAACATACATGTAAAACCACGAACGCGGGGGGAAAAAAATGAAAAGGAAAGATACGCGCACAGCCTGTCCTTGACTGTCCATACGCATACCGCAGTACTTCCAGCACTAATTACTACTGCTGTAGGACGGTTGCTGTATGGCATGCTGGGGGTAGGGTAGAGACAGATACGTGTACTAAGCGAGAGTGTATGGACAAAGACATAGATACCGCGGCATGAAGAACGTGAACAAACACCCTAGGGCAGAAGACCTCAGGGACGAAGCGGAACCGAAAAGGGCCTGACTGACGCGGGCCGCAAGCGGACTTACTCGAGAAAAAAAGCAAGTCAACAAATACTTGCACTGGTCATGCAAGGGGCATGCCCCACACGTGGATAGTAGCTGTGCGCATGGGGGGGCATAGGTCGCCGAACCGAAACGAGCTACGAGGCTAGCTATGTGTAGATAGACAGACGTAGATAGACGGCGGGCCTGAACACGGATTCGAAAATAATTGCCCCACGGTTCGATACGGTTCGATTCAACTTACCGAAATCTATGTATCATCCCAAGTGTGAGTGATTTCACGGATTCTTTGCAAGATCTAAATAGACCGTTCAATCAAGACCGACCACGAAGGCGGGGAAAAAAAAGCGAAAGATACGAGAGCAAACTCTGCTGTTGCTGCAGAGAGAGGTGACGGATTGCCGTATGGTATGATGGGGTTAGGGTTTAGCGGCAGAAATGTGTCTCGCAAGACTCGATTCACACATAGACACAGCGCCATGAAGAACACGCGGAACACGGGAAAGCTGGGAAGAAGCGGGACGGAAAAGGGCAGGCCGCAATGCGGACGTACTTGAGAGAATCAATGCGCCGACAAGAAGAGGGACAACAAACAACAACAGGGCCCTACTCCGCACATGGACAAACAGCTTTGCGCATGGGGGGGTACAGGTCCCTGAAACGGAAACGAGCCATGTAAGACTACCTTAAATTGATAGACGGCAGGCCTGAGCCCACATGACAAAAATGCCCCACTGTTTGATCAACTCTTCTATTTTACCGAAATCTGCACAGCACCGTACCGTGCCTCCCCCCCCTTTGCTTACCTGCTGGTTCACATCTTGGGCAGCAGCAGACTTCAAAGCGTTGATATCATTCCCTAGCACGAACGGTGCTACAACTCCCAGAAGCAGGAGGCTGCGAGGAACCATGGCTCCCTGCGATGCGAAGAAAAAATACAGTGAAACGGGGATGGGGATGGGGATTCACCATGTGAGTACTGACTGGATGATGAGTACTAGTAGCATACAACAAGTTGCGACCATGTATGAATGAGGTCAGTCGCTCGCGGCCTACTACTGTTCGAAGTTGTGGGCCCGTCGTCTTCAGGCACGCACAGTAGGCGCACGGCGGTGCTGTGTCCAGCTGATACGTCTGTGTGACACAGGACACGTGAGGAAGATAATTGGACCGACACCTGCTGCGCGGACCAACAGCAACTCATCAGCAAGAAACGAGCGGGGGACTATACTGCCTGTAGACAGTTTCCACGACCGGAGAGCAGCCTTCTTTTGCCAACGGTCAGAATAAACATTGTAACGCGTGCAAAGTATCCACAGCTCGAAACAATGTGGGTGGGAATCAGCCAACGACGCTTGCTGCGCGTGAGAGTGCGCCAAAAAAGCGTGGCACTCAAGGGAGAAAGACAAGAGACGCCGGCGGGAAAATTCAAGATAATAAGGTGGTGCGTTGACACTTTCGCATCCACAAGTTTTCGAAGCATGGATGGATGACAAGATCGCGTGCTTGGCGGGCTCAACAATTTTGTCGCGTCGGACATCAGTGGTGCACATCTTCGTGTGCGTCTCGTCCACCCTCTATACTACAGAAAGCCTGCTTCAATTGTGTATTCCATTTGGTGCGCGCAGTATAATGGATAACGACCACAGACGGCACGGAATGTCATCGGATGGGAGAATTAATTACTGATGGACTGTACCCATACCCAAAACAACATCCAACCACATTTGGATACTACTCCTCACAGGCAGAAGTGGGGGGACCTCATCCTATCCACCACGGCCAGCGGCAAAGAATGGTTCATGTTGTATGGCGCCTCTATTCACACCAGCTATGTGCGGTTCTTGCAGGACCCCTCAGAAGAGGACAAGAAAATATGGGGGACGCTTTCGAAATATCTTGTGTTCATGCTCAAACCATTTACTTCATTCATGACAGATGACAGGCAGCAATACATGTTGCAGTGTGGCGGCAGCGGTTCACTCAAGATCACTTCTATAAAGCTTGCCTGTAGTCCACCGAGCGGCGTAAACGAAGCGCAGCCTCGAGAGTGTGACGGATGGGTGGGGTGGATGAAATGGAGAGCGTGAGGAGGAGTGACCTGCGTGGAAGAAGACAGGGAGGGAGGGTGGAATGAAGGGGGTGGGCCGGGGGTGAGTGCCGCATCACCAACTGTGCTTGGCGGATATGAGAGTCAACGTTGGATCCAGCTGTTCAAGGACGTCTCATCAGAGAGCCCCCGACGACAAGTTGGGTCCGCCGACCCGGGCTTTCTCCGCACGGGATTTTTTGTGCGTCACGTAAATAAAGCGATTTGCTCTTCCGTGAATCCGTTGAGTTTATAGTCACCTCTTGCCATTTAGTGGGAAAAGCGCCGACCTCCGCATGCCTTATGCAAATATGTGTCATGCACGCAACGGCAGTACAGCAGCAGCAGTGGACATATTGAATTCGTCCTTTCACTCCCTCAGTCTCATCCCCTTGACGTATACTTACCTCAGAAAACGCCCGCTGCTGCTGTGTATTTGGGGATACACTTACCCGGGGGGGGGTGTCGCGAGGACTGCATGCAATACTACTGGTCAACCCTCCCTCAAATCGACCTCAAATCTAGCGGCTGTCCCGCTCTTGAATCCTCGCCCCTGTCAAATGCAGTACTAGGTATGCTGTGTACATGTTCCGTGTCGAGCGTCTCGGGCAGTAGGTGACGGGTGTTGTTGTGTACGGCGCCACGCAAATGAATGCTGTGTATGGCGCTGGTACCCGTATTCTACCGCCGTACATTGTATCTACCCGTAGTCTACCGCCGTACCGTTCAATTTGCAGCAACAGCGCCGTTGCATCGACCAGATTCACGTTCTATAAGTCTACAACGGAGCGTGCCCTGCAGCAGCTTCGTCTAGACGAAACGTTGGGCACGTGCACACCACGATTGATTTTGGTTTTGCAATACGATCGCCACCACGTCTTTGGCCACGCGCACTACGGGCCCAAGCTTTGCGCAAACTGCGCTTGGCAAAGGTGCAACGAGGTTAGTCTAGACTACGGAATATATTTTGACTGTCGGGGTTTCATTCAGAGACGACCTGCCGTATACAGCATAAAGCAGCAGCAGAGAATCTGGGTCAGGGCATTGATGACTTGATATAAGACACGACAATGGTAATGGTTGATCGAGCATCCGTGATGCGATCAAGTGGATGCACGGACACATGGCCCTGCGTGTCGTATGGTATGCATAGCGCTCAAAAAGGGCGGTGGGAACGTTGATACATCATAGGATATTCCCTACGACCCACATCGATCCATGACGACGAACGGTTCAAATCGATGGGTGCGTTGGTTCCTCCGCCTGTCAACGGTACGATATATGCATACAATATGTATCTGGGACTGCTGATGACGTGCAAAACGTATATCATATCTAGAACTACAAGTGTCACATGCAGAGCGACATGCATCAAAACATATTTGACAGGTTCCACGCAGGTTTCAACAACAAATAGTGGGGCGGATTGCCTACAGGTAACGAACCGATTCTCCGGTGCGGTCCCATCCAGTTGGTCACCACACGAGAAACAATGGGTTGCACTGGCCGGTATATATTTCCTTACGTAGACCTCTCCGTGCGTTTGCGAAAGGCGAACCACGCTAAACGCGCACACACCAGGCAAGCAAAACACAAAACGGCCTCTGAACCGAGAAAACAATTACATTTACGGCACAGTAGTTACACTCCGTAACCTTGAAAATCTACTGTTGTGCTGCATAAGCATACGGCTCTAGTCCAATCAAGTAACATACCAAAAATTCGGCGTGCACATTCAAAACCTTCATCTACACCTGCCGCAACCCCCACCCAGCATACTTGTAGATAAACTTGGGAGATGAGCCCCGTCAGGCGAGCAACATCTCACACGTTCAGGACAAAACTGCGATTCAACACCCGGTGACATGATCTAAACGAATTCTCCGCCTTCATCGCAAACCCCACAACCCACGACGCCACTAGCGAAAGGGTCTACTTCACACGCGGTGATACTCGATACTCCTAAGGCAGTACCGCTTCTGCGCCGGTGAAGCAGCACAGAGCTAAACAACTCGGCTAACTGTCAACTACTCCATATTACTCCCATGTACGTCTGCGCTCTGCAGCAACGATTGGTGCTGGCGTGGAGTGTCGGCCTCCTGCCCGAAGACCTGCCGGCGCCTCTTTGCGCGCCGTGCTCATCATATGCATCCCGATCGAGCGATCACCTCGACCGAACAGCCCAAAGCATGTTGCCGACCAGATATATGATCACCAGGTACCTGACAGACCCAATAGGTAAGCAACATTCACAGCAGAACGGGATAGGAGCAGCTTGAAGAATGGTGCAAAGACATTCACGGAAGAACGGGATATTTAGGAGTAGCTTGAAGAATGGTGCAAAGCATGGTGCTCGCCTTCGGGATTGGACGACTAGTCTTACAGCTACCATAAGTTTCTTCAGGCTAGGGTCAGCGCAAGCCGAAGCGAGGATAAGCCCTCCCCCCACCGCTTTTTTTTGCCTTTGGGTGTTTTTTTTTGCGGTAACCATGAATGGTGGTCGAGTAGATTATGTTGTGCGGGGTCGAGAACCGTCACTCCGCGCAAGAGGGATGATCGCACCACGTTGTGTCAAAGATGGTCAAGCATCCTCGAGGCAGTTACACAGTGCTTATAACTGTCTCTGGAAGTGGAAGCACCAGAAAATAGATTAAGTCATACGCAGCTGTCGTCCGTGCGTAGGGAAGTAAGCACAAAACGCCGAACACCCTTAGCGGGATGCAGCGCACCCTCCATGCGACTCGCCGAATATCTCACGGCGCTTCGCGCTCGGTGATGTGAGAGCCTGGTCCGGTGAGAACCCGGCGTACTCCGTCCTGGCTTTGTAGGGATGCGAGGTCAATGGTCTAACGACTACGGCATGAACGACTATGAGTACTGGTGAGTACACACACACCCCCCTTGATAGAAGTAGTAGATCGGACAACTCGAAACGCACCAGGGCGTACCAATGGCAAGTGTCTCGCATCTGCTACGATTTCCACACCGATTTCATCACAACGGAAAGTCACGTTCCAGCATAGGTGTCTGCAGAACGGCTCTAGTGGAGCCCACGGTGATGCACAACGCCCACTAATGGACTGATTCAAGGACTCGAAACACCATCTGAGTGCGAGCATGCACATACATACCGTAGGGCTTGCCCCCAACTAGGAGGCAGGTACTCCCGATCCTATCTCAATAGACTATAGTGCGTCCCAGAAGGAGGTTCGCGCCATTTTGGGAGCTCGGCGTAAGCTTTTCGTCAAAAATGCAAGATCCTTCTGTAGGAATTTCGCTGCGTGTTGCGCAGTCGGAAAAATGGCCAGAAGAAAGACTTGAGACTTGAGCGGTGTGGAGCGGTGATTTCTCCAAGCAAACACACACGCTCTAAATGGCAACGAAGAACTAGACAACTGCGTCTCCAGCGTCCGAACGGTACGAGGTAGTGGCCGTAGCATCGCAGTGTCTCAAAATCCGGTGGGAATAGGCACGTTTTTCGAGCATAGGAGCGTGCACACAGCGCTGGATCGGGAGGAGGAGAGAGGAAGACACAACAACAGGTCACCCAACAAGGTCATGATAAAAAAACAGACGACTTTCACTGTCAAAACAGTCAGGTTCCTGGTAGGAACAACAAGTACAAGTTGAAACTCAGACGGTTGTGTCGAATAACAACCGCACACAACCTTGGCACGGGCAGAGAAGCGCTGCAGCGTTCGCGCGTTTCCAGGGTGCAAACGGTAGGGCAGTGACTGTACCATCATGGTGCCTCAAACTCTGGCGAGAAGAGCACATTTTTCAAGGTTAGAGCGTGTAGCACATCGCTGGATCGGGGAAAAGGCGAGAGGGAGAGAGAGAGAGCAGGTCACACAACACTGCTGTAATGCGAGATCAAGACAGCGTACGATATTTGTCTTCTTGGTCCAGAAAACACGGTGGGAGGAAAGCCATTATCGCTGCAACCCAAGAGGGCGCAATACCGACAAACACTGTCAGATGACGAAATCAGGGAAGCGTTGGATGTCGGGGCTCTGGGTATGGCCTTGGAGTGTAGGGCGAGAGCAACACCCTTCGAGCAGCAAGCGGGGGAGCATTCTGCTCTCCACCCTCGCCCTGTATCAATACCAGCCCCGTGCACCACCAAACTGTGCCTCTTCTAGGCGGAGTTTGAGGCACCTTTGCGCTACGGTCACTGCCCTACCGTTTGCACCCTGGAAACGCGCGAATGCTGCAGCGTTTCTCTGCCCGTGCCAAGGTTGTGTCCGTTTGCTGGACGACAAAACCGTCTGAGTTTCAACTTGTTGTTCCGACCAGGAACCCGACTGTTTGACAGTGAAAGTCGTCTGTTTTTTATCATGTCCTTGTTGGGTGACCTGTTGTTGTGTCTTCCTCTCTCCTCCTCCCGATCCAGCGCTGTGTGCACTCCTATGCTCGAAAAACGTGCCTATTCCCACCGGATTTTGAGACACTGCGATGCTACGGCCACTACCTCATACTGTTCAGACGCTGGAGACGCAGTTGTCTAGTTCTTCGTTGCCATTTAGAGCGTGTGTGTTGTTTGCTTGGAGAAATCACCGCTCCACAGCGCTCAAATCTCAAGTCTTTCTTCTGGCCATTTTTCCGACTGCTGAAACAAGCAGCGGAATTCCTACAGAAGGATCTTGAAGGACGAGAAGAGCTCGCGTCGAGCTCCCGTTTTGTTTTACCTTTTAGTTTCGGTGATGTTCTCGCGGACCTCCCGATTGGAAATAGTCTTTTGCGTCCTAAACCCTTACACCGTAACCAGCCCTACCCTCAGTAATCGTGCAGGCGAAATCAGACCACCCGAGGTGGGCATGCTGCTACTGCTACATGATGGTGTTCGTTGGTAGGCACCGTTGCAGGAAGCCGTCGTCATCCGAAGCATTAGAGGCGTGAGTTGAGGGTCACTCACATGACAGGGGTCACGAACAGAATCTTGCTACGGGGCCCCGCCCGCCCGCCTCCTCCGCTAAGCCACATGACCTGAATAGGGTAAGTCGCGAGTCGGAGAGGGTTGACATGCAAGAAACGAATAATACTACACCTGGTGGATACAGAAATGGCCAATGAAGACGCGGCTGGCATGTTGGCATGAAGCAAGGCCAACCGCCGAAGGACGGCAGTTGTTCCTGGAAATAGTTCTTGCAAAGGGGGCGTTGCTAAGACGGCAAGTGTAGACGGTTCGAGCGGGGACAGCATTCCTTGTCTGAAACGTGCACGTGCAGTGTAGAACCTCGAAACCAAACCAAGCCAGGAACGGGGACTACCTACCCCAGGAGGGACACATCGACTAACAATCATGAGGATCTCGGACGAGTGGTGGGTGCCCAAATTTTTGGAAAAAAATTACTGCGCTCCGGACACATGTGTTGGTCGGAGCGAACGAGTAGATCGAAGTACTTACGGGATAGAGGGCCCGGAACACCACGTAGATCCAACCGGCAATGGCAACACCGGTGTGGCTAGTCGCCCCGAGGGCAGCAAGGCCGATGTTTAGCCAGAAGAGAGTCAAGAACGGCATCGCTTGCTCGAGAAGGTTGCCCACTATCCTGTCCCAGGCGAGCATAGCCTTGTCCTTGACATTGTAGTACCGCTCGAACTGTATTTGGCGCCGATTCGCAAAAAGCAACAGGAATGCATGCGGTTGGGGTCATCAAGTCGGCGAAGGGGAGGGGGGGTCGTTGACAACCCAAACTAACTGTGGCCGCCGCCGATGTTCCAGAGCCAGATTGTGTGAATATCGCTTGGGGGTGATGCATCACACCAAGCCGGCAGTTGACTCAGCCAAACTCTTTTCTTCTTCGTGGTGCATGTATCATCCCACCAACGAGAAACAGTCCCACAAGACGGGCCCCGCTACCCTTTCACACCGCTACCCTGCAACATCTACAACTGGATGCTGCGTGATGGTTAGAGAATATCCTTACGCCCGCCACCAACTGACACAACCACTCACGACTCGCACGCGTAAACCCCGTACTAAATACGCACGACCAGTCGGGACACTTGTAACTCGTCATGGTATACGAACACGCACCCTTTCGCCGCGCGCTCTGTAGGAAGCTGCAACCTTCCACTTGGCGCTGGCTTGCCCGATGATACAGGCGTAGAAAACTAAGACGTAGGCCGCCGTGACGTAAACCCCTTGGCGTATCGCGGGCTCTTCCATCGTGACAGGGCCGGACAGGTTGCAGAAGCCGCTCATGCAGTCGGGGTGCAGGATTGTCTGTTGGAGGTTGGAGGACTGGAGACGGAGTGACACACGAGCAAGAGCGAATGGATGGGTTCGTCAGTTGCGGTAAGTGGTCGATATTGTGGTTCACGTGATGAAAAGTTTGCGCCCGCCACCCGTGAAGTCTCACTGGGGAAAAACTAGTTTCCGTCGTCCCTAATGCCCTACAATGGCACAGTTATCACGGTATGTTAGGGCATGCTACCGTCGAAGTACCCTCGGATCGCCAAGAAATCAGCGGTGGAATTTGGACTGAACGGAGCCAAAGCCATTCTCGCCTAGCTTTCTTCAAAAAGCACTCTTTCGATAGCAACCCTACAACACGCGTTGATTCAAGCGATTCAAGGGGCTCGAGATCCAGCGCGTACAACCAGAGGTTTGATCCTGACTAGAAAATAAAATAGATCACTGGTGGCTTCTGGTGGTAGTCTTGGAACCACCAAGGGTTCGCTTGCGAACAGGCTTCGGGCGAGGAAAGTGCGAAGCCACAAGAGGCACCTCTATATCGTTGTGCCCAGCAGAGGAGGGGCGAGTATCACTATCAGCACTATATTGTGTTTCTATGTCACGAACCCGTTTGAAGTTTATTGGTGGACGTTCGTGTTTGTGTATCATGTTGTTGACGTTGGTTTCACTCCGAAAAACGGCTGATATCTTTCCTGCGCCCTCCTCGTTACTCTCACAGCAGACAAGATGACCTTGTTTGGTCACGATCTACCCCCCAAATAGGGTAAAAACAGAGTAAACTAGACCAAGAGAAGGTGTAGCACTAATGCACGGGAAAACAACGATCTTCAGGTAGGCGCAATCACGAGTCCAGGAGGACAAAACAGGGTGCACACGCAAAGGGCTTGAAAGTTCAACAAAGGAACTACTGTACAGCCTACCGCTCCAAACTCGTAATCTCAGTCGAAAACGAGGCACGCGCCAAAGAAGAAAAAAAAAACAGACAAAAAACAACCTCAAGTTTGCATATATGTTTATCATTGCACTGTGTGCTGCTGTGGAAAACTGCCTGCTGGTTTTCCTTTCAGATCCGAACAAGCGGAATCGACGGGCCGGGAGACCACGGGGGCGGTGGCGTAGCAAGGCACATACACGATGAGGGTGGATGAAAGTACGGACGCCCACCACGGAAGAAGTTCTTCCTCGTGTTTTTCTGCTGTGCTGCTGTGCGCAGCAGCTCTTTCGTGGGGCTCCGTGGATATTTTATTGGGGAATATTGTTCAGAGATAGTCTTTCCCCAAGGGATTTGTAGGTATTCTACTACACCTGTCCCCGCTGTTCTGCTGATAAAAAATTGTGCGTATCCTCTTATCATGCGTTGCGCTCGCATAAAGACGCGAACATCTCGGTCCCTGCCAAGGTGGTTGACACCACTGTTCAGGTCCGCGGCGTCGAGGTCTCGCTGGCCTCCATGATTAGGAATTTCATCATGCATTGGGAGGCAGGTTCATCATCTTTTTCGAGTCTCCCTTTGCGCCGCTGCTATCAGGTGAGACTTGACCTGGCTCGATTTTCGCCGACTCTCACAGGCCAGCTAGTGAACAACATCATGCAGATCATGCATTCGTTCCGTGGTCCTTAGTCTCTACCGTGGTGGGGTATCGGCCGGATCGGCAGACCCTATCGTTCTCTGCCGCCCTAGGGGAAAGTTTCTTTTTAACAGCGGGAAATATCGCGCATGTGGAGCAGCAGAAAACAGCTTCAATCTCAGATGTGATCGCAACTGCTCTTCTCCCGTTCAAAGCAAAATCAAACGGAACAAACATCTTTTCCGATGGAGGGCATGGCCTGATTGGGGCAGCCGTCTACTTTGGTGGCAAGCCAAGTCTATGTGAGGAGCAGCACGAGGTGGTAAAAGAGCTGGGCTCAGCTACTGCTGTAGGTCCACACTGGGGAGGCAATGTAGCAAAAATAGGTTCCGCTAAAAACCGAGCCGTGAAGTTCGATATGTAGACTACTTTTCCCATGGATACTGCTGAAATGGGGAAAAACACTTGTGGCAGGCGCCCCGAGCTTCGGCGCAGCAGCCCGTCATCAGGCTAGGTGTTCTTGGCTTGTAGGAGACTCAAATGTCGTGTACTGTTGTTACTGTAAACTGTAGGTGAAATATCAAATGAATGCGGCGTTCCTCGGCAATCGCTTAAATTTTGCCTGGGCGGTGGGTAAATTACGGAAAATTCCCCGCTGCATCATGTTCCAAATTCATGCTCTTGCTCTTCACACGCGGTTTGTGCGGTATGTATCTCCTTCTTGAACCCGTTGTGCTCAGGTGCCACTATAATAGCCTACCCCGTCCAGAACAACAGCAGGCGCATACTCCGCCCTCCTTCCTCTGCGTGCAATACAGTTCCGTTCTGTTCTCTACTCCGATGCTGCTCTTAGAACTCACGTACGTGCAAGGGTTCACGATGTCCCTTCCCTCTGGCATGGTTCTCTATCACAACTCACCACAACAGCACCACTCGTAGCTTCTCTCTCACGTCCGAGGCTGAAGAAAGATGGGCAGAAACGGGGCGGTGCTTTGTCAGGCGCGTGTGGACGACGATTGACGAGTGACAAAGGTGTCACAGCATGCGGCGTAATAACATCACAAGCGGCGCATTTCTGCCGCCCGATTGCCCGAAAAGCAAGGAGAACCGGACAGGGACAGGGAGAGCGAGAGAGAATACAGCAGCAGTAGCGTTGGAAGAGGAGAGAGACACAGACACACCCAACGGCCTTGCTTCTCTCGCTCTGCGTAAATGCAAGGGACTAATTCCACGCAAATGTAATACGGTGTTGCGGCTGTGTGTCCGCCTGGTGTGTGTTCAGTGTTCAATTTTCTCACCGAACACGAAGGAGCAGGTGGTTCTCTGTCGCGACACCTGCAGCAGCAGCAGCAGGCAACAGGAGAGCAGAGTTGGGCCGATCCCTTGCTCCAGCGGAGAGAAACGCCAGTCTGGTCACTCGGCGCCATGGGTTGCACTGTACCTCGACGAACATTTGTAGCCACTCTGGCTCTCACAGCCCTGGCTGCTGCACAGGAAGAACAAATGGGATTGGGGTCGAGGGAATGCCCGCTGGATATATCGGTCTTGTGGACTGCTGAGGTGGACTCGCCAGTGTACAGCACGCCGGTCATCCTTCCGTCTTCTGCCGGTGGGTACAAGCAGGTGCGGCAAGAACACCTCGTTGATGCGCAATACGTAACCCACTGCTGTACTGTAGCTCTGAAGTGCACAGCCGCATGGCGTTGTAGTTTGCACATTATTAGTGATCCTGATTTAGCAACACGCTCATAAGCATTCATAGGCATAGGCTAAATACTGCAGTCTTCCAAAGCGGACACGTCAAGCTAGAATCTGGGAAGGTAGTCCAATAATGGGGGGGTTGTTGGCACGCTGTCTCTCGTACCTTTCGATGTACCGTACAGTGTAGTCTAGACTGCTTGCAGCGCGGTGCCAATCGGCACCCAATTCCGCCGCTTCCTTCGGTGCGGTGGCACCACCCTGTTCGAACACTCGTATGCCATGTACATGCAGTATAGCATCAACTAAAAGACTTCCGTTCGATATTATTTAATTATGTTGTAAATGCGTTGTCTTACTATGGTACTGCAGAATGTCATCGCACCGACATATCGGCTAGTCCACGCCACTTGCGCACTCCCCCTGCGTTTATATACGTGCCACAGAAACCGACGTACACGGCTTGCCGAGATTACAACAAGCCTGACGTAACCATTGCGTTTCCTCTCTTGCTTCCAAGCTGCCGAGGCACCCCACGCTGACGAAGCCCGTCACGCACAGCGGCTGTCCCTTTTCATGACGAGAAATACCCACCCGAACTAAAGGCAAACAGCCTCCAGCATCCCCAAGTCTCACCCGGTTGCAAGTCCTTGAACCAAGGCTTGCTGCTCACATCGTTGCGTGTTCATCCCTGTGGTTTGGGCCTACACCGCCTCCGCGCTTGGACGTGCGCGTTCGCAGATTGTCCTCGCCACGCTGCGCAACGTGGAGCTGATCGATGGCGACGGCTCGGTGCCTTACCCTTGGCCGATAGAGATGGACGACCACGAAAACTCAGCGTTCCTGGCGTCTCCTGCCCTACACGACATCGACGGCGATGGCGTGCAGGTGAACCACTCATATTGTAGCCCTATTTCAGAGCCACCTCTATTGTGCAACCACCCCCTGTATTTTTCCCAGCCAAATTAGATGTTGAGTCCAGACGCTATGTGTCGTGTTCCGTACGTCGTGCCCCGGTTGTTTGCGAGATCTCTCCCGCCCACGTGCGCGCTCCTATGAAGTGCCATCATTTCCTATTTAGTCGCTTGGCTTCTCCGCAACCATCGCATGTTTGGTATCTGTTTCCATTCCCGTCTTTTTCCGAAGGACGTTTGCGTCGCGGACACGATGGGGTGGCTTCGCTGGCTCACACCCGGAGACGGAGGTCCCTATCTTCCGGATTACCGCCAGTACCTGCCGCCCAGAAGGTGCGGAGTAGTGGCAGATTGCTCGATGTGAACTGTCGAGGCTTCCGTCTTGGGAAGTGTGCAGCTTCGCTTACGCACAATACGTCAGCCTGATTATCGACTGTCACTTTGAAGAAATGGCACCACGAACTGTCTGTTGCAAGATCGAGCGCATGTTTCTCGGACGGGGTTTAGGACGAAAATCTGACGTATCACACCCTGTTTTTTCCTTGTAGCGAGGACAGCAGCGGCCTGCGTCCAGCCCTAAATGAGTGACATGTTTCAACTCTAGACGAGTTGCCGCTGTCTCCCCTAGCTCCTGGGATGAAGTCCAAGGATCGCTCAGATCGGGGTATGTGTGTATGCATATCTTCCGAAACCAAGATGACAGTGACGAGTCATGTCTTGTTACGGGACGCGAAAGCCACAGCGGTACACAAAGTCTCCAGTCCAGAAGTGCTGTAGCACTCAAGTACAGCGGCAGATATATGCCTCAGTGACAAGCGTACAGGAGCAGTCAAGCAATGCCACGGCAGAGGCAGAGCCCCGGGGAATTCGAAACACGCCTAGCAACATACCACGATCTGTTGAAGTATAGGGTTCATTCAAATTGTTATCCGAGTTATTTTTTTGTCAAACGGAGCGGAACATACGTGTGGCGTTCGCCTAAGCGTATCTGCCGATAGACCCTATTCGTACCCCTGACACAACCGACGCCACAACATGACCCCTCTGGTTGGTCGCTTGTGCTCCAGCTTGAAGAATGTGCAAGAGACCGAGGACAGCGGGGATGCCGACGCGGGTCTGCGGTCGCCCGGCAGGCGGCGGCGTCTTCTTGACGACAACGAGGTGGGGGGAAATCCAAAACCTTGTTTCGTGCCCCGGCAGACCTCGAGGCGCGTTTGTGTGTGTTATGTTTATTGGGCCCCGAACAAAGTATGGGGACCGTTCTGAAGAAGGTTTCCTGCCATCACGCCAATCAACCCGAAACCTGGCGGCCGTAGAGTCGCGGGATACCGGCAACCAGCACGGTACGCGCGACTGTCGGTGCTGATGGCTGAAGGTGTTGGTATTCCTACGGAGTACGCGTTGGGATTCGGTTGGACCAGGTACATAGGGTACTGTAGAGACGTTTGAGAAGAAGATCTTGGACGAATTTGTTTTGCCGGCTCGAAGCTTGATTCACACATCTTGATGTTTTTCTGGGCATCGTACTCCATGCGTGTATAAACGACAAAAGTTGCGTGCTGTCAGTGGTCGGTGAGGGAATCCACCACGCGAGCGGTTCGGTTCATGTTCGAAGGGCCTTCGAAAGATATGATGTTCTCCTTTAGAGAAGCTCCATCAAGAAGAACTCCGGCAATAGGTTGTCCCGCCTTCTACGTAGCCCGTGATCATCAGGGGGGGGGGAAGACCACCATCCAACGACGACGGGATCGGCTTATCACCGATTTCGTGATCAGTGTAGCTAAAAATCTCGCGCCTCCTAGATACCCGAGTCTGCCCGACCGCGATGAAGACCGTTCCGCGAATCGATCTCTGGACTGGACAGGCACAAGAACAACATGCCGCAAGCCCCAACCAAGGCGGTGATTCCGCCGCGCTAGGCAACGGCCAGATCGAGCACCAGTGGACGGGGGATAGCTTCGAGGGAGGCATGTTTCAGGAGGGGGTGGACTCGGGGCTGGACGGCGAGAGCGCCTACGACACCGCGGCGGCGTACGCTGAGGCTATGCGGCGGTGGGGGGAGTACGGCACGGGACCCTTACCCAACGATGACGGCATCGGTTGGTGGGCGGTGAGTTAAAGCGAGGGAGGCGATGTCGCCGTTGAACCCGGGGGTATGGCGTTTGTTTTTTGTGTCGTGTCGGGAGACAAAACCGATTTCGTCTTTTTGAGATTGGTGAACAGTTCAAAGTTAAAATTTTCATCAGCCCAGCCGGGGGGTTGATTTTCTCAAGCATTGCGAAGACGTCGTCCTTCGGGTCCTGGCATCTTGGCTCGACGCGGTATAATTGTCAGGGATTCGAGTAGGTGGCTCAAGAAGTGGTTTGCTGCCAGGGTTGGTTGTTTTCCGTAGCCGTGTGTCGTGAGTAGCAACGGCCAAACCGAGTGGTCTCGACAACATCTTTTGGCCGCAAAACGCCTGAGAAGCGACAACGCGATGGCCAGTCGAAGTCACTTGTCGAAAAACGATTCGGTTGACACAACAATTTCAAAACTCTTTGAGTGACCCGACGTCCGTTACCACCAGTCGAATCAGTGCCGAGCGTTGATCTCCTGTTCGAACCTGTCGTCGTAAAACTGCTGCTGCTGCTGCTGCTGCTGTTGTGGCGCTGCTGCTGCTGCCGGTCGATCAAATCAAAACGGTTTCCCGGGGGCGGTTGACCAATCTTGACCAATCAAAATCGCGAATCGCTGCTGCGTAGAACTACGGAGATGACTTCGATCTAATCGGCCTGGAAGAAGGTGAAGACTTCGGGAAGCGGCAGGCCGGGGAAGTAGTCGAGATCCAGCCGCATATCTCCGCCGCTCCCGTGTTCTTGGATGCTGAGGATGGCCAGGGGAAGCGGATGATCGTGACTGTCAGCTACTTCAAGAGCAAACGACGGTGAACTTGTACTTTACTATGTCGCTCCCTCCCTGTTAACTCTCTCTCTCTCTCTCTCTCTCTTTCTCTCCCGTTCTCTCCCGTTCTCTCCCTCCCTCCCTCTCTGTCCCCCCCCCCCCCCTCTATCTCTCCCTCTCTCCCTCTCTCCTTTTCTCACTTTCTCACTCACTCCCCCCCCCCTTCTCTCTCTCTGCCCCTTTCTACACTTATTTTTTTATTTTTTTATTCAGGTAGCCTCGTCAGAATTCTCGGTATTGCCTACACACCATCACTGTAGCAAAATACTTCCTTTTTTTTTATCGCCCCGAAACATTCTGCCGCGGGCAGTCAGGTGTGATGGCATGGCAATAATTTTCCCTCTTGTTTTCCATCGGACGCGGGAAGGTCTTGCTCACACGTCTATATGTCAAAGTTGCTTCAACATCGACGGAAATGCTGGTTCAGCCGTTCCACCGAAGGTACTGTAGTCACAGACACCTATTTTTGCTGACAAATGGCATCTACATTGTCTTCTGAACCCCAAGTCCTCTCTTTCTCATCCATCGTCCCCCTTCTCCCCTCCTCCACCTTCTTAAAATCTTCAAGATGCACGCCTTTTCGTATCAAAACCCCGCTGGTTGCCATTCCCCGTCCTGAGCACTGACTGGAAGTTTCATTTTTGTGGAAACCCTCCTCTTCCATATCCATATCCTATCCCCCCCCCCCGGCCGATACTTCCTTTCCAAACACATTCTTGGCAGGTATTGGGGAAGCGGTACCCCCGCCACCGCAGCGGAAAAGGTGGTCGCCGGTTCTCTGGCGTGCTGGGATTTCGAGGACTCCAAGTGGCTGTGGATTCATGATCTCGGCGAGGTATCTGTGTTTCCTTGATTTCGCTCCATCCTTCACCCGCCCTCACCGCTCACTGGTTTTACTTGCAGTCCTAACTTGCCGAGTTGCTTCTTTGGTGCGGCTAAAATTAGAACTGCGGCAGGGTACCTCGCACGACCGGCTTTGTTCCCCGGAGCGCTGGTGTGTTGCAAGCCTGCAAGGCCACCTTTCAGTGGAGGAACTCGCGCAGGCGTGTGTGTAGGCCATTGATGGTGATTGTAGCGTACGCCAAACAAGCTCTTCAACTGTGTTTAAGCCACCGTGCGAGACAAGGGTGTGCCGGAACAATTTTCAAGAGCCAGGAGAGACGAACAATTTTCAAGATGTGCAGGTGTTGCGAGGTGCTGAGCTGAGACCAGGACGGGTTCTAGTGCCCAAGACATCAATACAACAACTTTGTGTACTTTGGCAACCCCCTCGTCGCCTCTCAACTCGAATCCCCACGTCCTCAACAGACGACCTCGGGCGAGAAGAAACGAGGGGCTCCCGTGGACGCGTCCCCTACCGTGGGAGACCTCGACGGGGACGGGAAGCTTGAGGTGGTCGTGGGGACAGCTCGTGGAGGGCTCCATGTCGTAGATGCTAGCAGCGGGTGAGGGGCCAGCCTTGTCTTGGCGGGACCGGCGTTTCGCGTCGTGTACAGTACCGTAGGTTGTATAAGTGAGATACCACACCGTCCTGGACCGATCTTCACAGTTCGACTAGTCCACAGTGGCGGTGCCGGAAACTGCGGTGTTGGAACCTCCCAGTCGAGAGCGCGCGTTTCCGTACCGTATCCTTTTACTTTTTTCACCCTCTTCGTCGTGGAGAAATCGCGCTTTGAAAATCGATCCAGGGTGTGTGGGAGTATCTTACGCGACCTACGTTCTGCGGGAACACGGCCGATATTTGGGCTCCTTTCTTAACTTGCTGGGTTAGTTCGAAGCAATCGGTCACATGAGCCTATGGGTTTGTGACGTCCTATTTTCGGTATGTGGCTTTCGGGGCGATATGGCAATGGTTTCTACAAGGCAAGGCGTTCTGTGAACAGACACCCTCATTTTCGTCGATGAAGTGAAGAATCACCGCCGTCAACAATGGGTACGGTGTTCTTCATCGCACGCCTGCCTCGGCAGTACTTGGGACCATCAGGAGTCTGATGCCTCCCCACCCATGGAACCCCTGCGTTAACTTTTGTACGCTATGGATACGCGTCGTGTCGCATGATACGGCCGCCGATGCAGCTTGGCGCGAGAGGGATTCCCGTTAACCTACGAACCAATCAGAGGACAGGTGAGCACCTAAAGGTCCCTTCTGATGGGAATAGGGCAACACCCCGTTGATCTCAAGGGTTGGCGCATGGCAGGAATAGTATTGCCGCTTTTGACACCCCTCCGTCGCGGACCGCACCATTTCGATGAGATGAAATCCCATTGCAACAGCAGTGAAGAGGGTATCCCTCTCCAAGGTCTTCGGTCCGCCGATTCACATACCTTTCGCTCTTCCTCGCCGTTGTGCAGATGATTCTTGAAACCGTATTGCACATTAACACTAGCAAGACAGCGGTTGGCAGCTGGGTGGCCGGCCCAGACGGAGCACGGGTAGGACTCAGCCGTCACCGTGTTGCCAAACAGTATCGATACTCGCTCTTTGTTCTTGTTGATCTCTCTTCCACCGAGCTCTGCAGCCGTAGTCACGTGGTCAATATACGTTCCGGAAAGCAGCAATACAAATGTAGCCCTCACGGGAAACGTAAAGTACAAGGGGCTGTCTCCCTCTCCTTCATGGCAGCCTTACAAGACGCCATTATTTTACCTGGTAGAGGCTCAGGTACGTGGGGACCCTTGTGTGCTGATCATGCCCCCAGTCGTTCGGCGGCGACACTGCCCCTATGAGGTCCACGCTGCTGGCACTCCGCGGGTGGCGTCGCGAGACGTCAATACCTGCGAATCGTGTTATTGTGGGAAACCCGAGGGTGAGGCTTTTTTGCTCCCCCGGAGACGGGGACGTGTATGCCTGAACACCGGCCTTTTCCGCCTATTCCGACCTTTTTCTACACCGTACGAAGGCCCTTTGGAGGCATCGTGTGTAGCATGGCATCCACCCTTGCCCTTTGGACGATCGTTTGACTTTCGGTTCCTTCTTTTTGACTGACGAGTCTATGAAGAGCGGCATGCCAGAAAACATGGACGCAGAACCTCACCCTGAGCAAAGTGTGCGATGCAATGCTTTGACACTTTGTTCACGCAACGACCGTCGTAGACTGCTGTGTTAACGACACTCGAGCCGCAACAGAGTGGGTTCGTTCGCGTCCGTTTTTGCGATGGTTGGTGGTGTGTTGTCGTGTTGGTGAAGGTGGTGATTGCCGACGTCCACGGGGATGAGCGGCTGGAGATGCTGCTCGCGGATTCCTCCGGAGCCGTGGTGTGCGTCAAGCACGACGGCAAGGAGTGCTGGAATAAGGCGCTTTCGGGTGCGTCGTCTCGACAGAAATAATTGAATAACGATTTTTCGTTTTGTTTTGTTGTTTCTGTCGCAAGCGTTTAGTCGAGCAGGTCACGCCGTACCAAAGAAAGGGAGGTCCGGCGGCTGGGGTATCGGGTATCATTATTGCGCGCTCGTCATGCACATGCCTGATGAGAGATACGTAAGGCTGCGATATTTTCACGAAGGCATGCGTGGCGCAGGCGTGTTATTGAATGCGCTCTTGCGTTCCTTAGCGCTCCCAAATACATTTTTTGCCGCGCGTTTGTTGCCCCGCTCTCCGGGACACTCAAATTCGTCCTTACAGCGGGAAAGTGTCCTCAACATCCCCCGCCTATTTCTTTTTTTCATTCGTCGGGGCACCCCGCCATGCTTCTGAAAAAACGGTGTCCTCGAAGCGGAGATTTCTGTACCCTCATCATCGGAAGTTGAAGAAGCCCCGTGATACCACTGCGCCCACCTCCCTATGCGGCAGGTTCAACAACCTCGATGCTGACGCTGGGCGACGTGGACGGCGACGGTGCCCTGGATGTTGTAGCTGGCGTTACGACTGCCGAGGGCTCTGCGGAAGTGTGGGCGCTGAGCGCCGAGAGCGGGCTGCCTCTGCCCAACTACCCGGTCGCGCTCCGCAACCGGTGGGTGGGTCGATTCGATGGTCGGGGGCAGGTACTATATGTATATAGGACCCGGAACGGCTTTCTCGATGAGTTTTAACAACCGTACTTGTTCGCACATCGAGCCGTTGTATTGCACTCTGATGTGCAAGTTTCGTTTTTTTGCTTGTTATGTCACGACAGGAAGGGCATTAGCGCCCCCATCACGCTGGTCGACTTGCACCAAAGATCCGCCGGAAGCATGGGCGGGGGGGGGCCTGCCGACGCATCCAGCCAGGCCAAGGTACCACTGCTCTGATATGCATACCTCTCGGCACCCTCTTCTAGCAGTGTCTAGAGCCAACCTTCTAGCGACTCGCTGTGCCTTAAAACAAGACTAGGAGAATCACGTGCTCATTAGTGAGTTGACCCGAGTTACTTGCTATGTCCGGGCCACTTAAGAACCTGGGAGCTACGAGCGTCGGGCTCCTCAACGGGGATAATTTTAAGAGCTTGGCGTTAAGAGGAGGTGTTCAGTTACCAATCGTACAGTATAACCTATCAAGTCCCTCTTGGATTATCCCCACGAGGAACGCAAGTAACGTGCCTGGGGGTAAACTGAGAGGTTATTTTACTGCTGGCACGCTGATTCGTTCTGCACTGACGTCACTCAGCACCCACGCGGGAGCTAGCTCGATTTCGGGTACACGATATAGCTGAAGACTAGGATGGAGGCACCAGCCAATTTCGTGAAACAGCGTTAAAGAAAACTGTCGGCAAGCGCCGAGCGTACCAGATGTTGGTGGCTTCGCGTTGTGTCGTCACAGCGTTGCCTTGAGTCAACACAGCTAGGGACAGCGATCGGCCTGTTTGCTGCACTTGCAGCAGCGGGTATGATGAGGCAAAGACAGACATGCGCACAGCAGGGTGAAGTAAATCTCCGACATACAAGCACCCGAGTTGCTTTTCCTGACCTTCACGGATAAGAAGGCATGGCTGGGTGGAGCCCACGCAACCGTAGAATGCTGTCACTTTCCGTTCCACAAACCCTCTAACATGCTGCACCGTGGTGATGGGATTACCACACCGCTGTTCTCCACATATTTCCCACCAGCCCTCCAACATGCTTACCTTCTAGTGGTGGCTTTACCACACGGCTTGTCTCCACATATTAACAACAAACCCTCCAATATACTGCACTAATGGTGTTGGCTTTCCTATGGTTAATTCACAACATGTGGAGCAAGTAATCAACTGCTGGTCGCCTCGACATTTGAGGCTCTCTGTTTTGAACAACCCAACCCTTGATTTGGCAGCGAAGAGGAAACGTTGCGCCAATCGGGGGATGGGGTGCGGGTTTGCATCTCCTTGCCCCGTCGGAAGACGGCCACGTGTACGTCATCGAGGGGGCGACGGCATGCGTGAACAAGATCGACCTAGGGGAGCGCGTGCGGAGCATGGTTCTGGCGGATGATGTCGACGGCGACGGGACCCTTGACCTTATCGTGGGCACCATGAGCGGCGAAGTAAGGCATAGTGTTGTTGTTGTTGTTGTGGTCGTGGGTGTGGTAGCGCTGCTGCTACTGCCGCTGGCACGCCGTGTGGTTCTTCCTTATGATGGTAGCAGATTCGCCTTCCCTCCTCTCGTATCGCTTGCTTCGTGTTTTGTGGAATTTTTGCAGGTGGTGGCGCTGTCGGCGAACGTGCCGTACCACCCGCTGAACGCCTGGACTTCTCAAGTGCGGGGCCCCACCAATGGTTTCACGCACGGAGGCTACCAGGTGACTGTTGCAAGATCGAAGCAGCCTTGGTAGAACTTTCTCGGCCACGGGCTTTTGTTTCTGGGTTTCCGTGGAAGACGAGGAAATGGGAGGCTCTCGACATAGACGTCAGAAGCAAACACCGTTTCGGCAACAACTGCTGCGTACGTGTCGTGGTCCTGCCGCCAAGCCGTCCGGGCGTTATCATACGGAAGGTTCCCGCTGTCTGAGTAGTCCGCTGCGATAGGCCCCGCCCAGCTGCCATAATCCCTCCCCCCTCCCCCAATATCTGATGAGCGTTGTGGAACGCGGACCGTCCGTCAATTTACGCCTAGGCTCTTTCGCGTTGCCACTCTCAGAGTCTTGTGGGCATGGCCGAGCTTCTCAACTGTATCAACCTAACCGCCACAGTATTTGGGCATCAGGTCATGCTGGTGCCCGCTATAGGGCCGGTGTAAATCGTATTTTATTTACTCGTACTCTGAGCAGAGACGGCCCCTCTGCTCATACGAATTGCAAGACTATTGAGGGCCCCCGACTGTACGTGGTCGGGGCAAAGTAACGCGACAAGACATGCCGATTACTTATTCTTCTTGGTGTTTCTGCACCATGCTGTTCTATTTCCCGGCCAACACGCTGGCTCGCAGGGGGTTTACTTCGTGGGGGCTGCGTCGGACTACGGCGAGATGGTTGGCCGGCATTTCGCTCTGACGTTTGAGATCGTCGACAGATCCACGAGAACTGCAACGCCGTTTCAGGTACCAGTGGCCCCGCGCAATGTGTGGCGATGAGACCTTTGCTGTGCGCTCATTGGTTCAGCTGCAGTTCGTTTTTTCTGTCATCGTCTGAGGTTCATCCAGTTTTTTGGGGTCAACATCGGTAAGAGGGGGCGGGCTCGTCCCGAAGTCCGGCGAAGCTGCAAGCGAACAAGGAAGGATACAGCCTCCTGCTTCCCTGTTCATATCGTGTAAATTACCGTGCTACCCCCTTTACTTGGCACACCCGACGAGCTTCTTCGCTAGGCCTGGCTGGTCCCTGCGCTGCTTTCAAGTTCGGGTATGGTCGGTGATCACTCCAAGCCCCTCGGTAGCGTGCCGAACCACAATCGATGATCTATCACTTCGTGTAATGATGTCTTGTCTTCTTGTGTGGACGGGAACAAAACAGATAACTATCTTCGCTGGGACGGAAGAGATATTCCGGCGAGACAACATGTACGGGGGTACCCACGTGGCGACCGTTTCACTGGAAGCCCCGAGACGTGTACTGCTTCGCATCGAGATGACGAACAAGGCCCAACGGCTGGTGTTCGAGGACCATGTGTTTGTGGGCTACAACACCAAGTTCCACGTAGCGCTGAAGTGGATGACTGCAATCCCGATGGTGCTCGCCTCGCTGCCGTTTTTGTGGCCCGACCGGGGGTTCCGGGGCACCCGCCGGGGGCTACCTGGGTGACCGCCAAGTAGATGAGCTTTTGGGCAAACTAAGCTCAACGGCGGCGACCTAAGTGCGGGATCACAAGGAGAGCAATAAATCTGTGTTTGCTGGAAATTTTACGTTTGAAGAGCCGTTGTTTTCAACTGTGGCTACCCAAAGAGGCGGTGGCGTTGGTTTTTGAGTCGAAGATGGTGCAACCCCCTAACCTGCTCCTGCTCCCACGAGGGACCGGCGGAGCTGTGGGCAGTCCATCCCTTCCGAACAAGGCCTTGAAGAAGGGAGCATGCGCTCTCTTGCGGCCTCACCCGTGCCCAGGTCGAGAATGACCTACATAGTGCAGGAACGATTATTCCATGTTTAGACGTCGCCATAGCAGGGGCAGGAGATGGTATGGGCGGGTCGGTGGTGAACGTGAGCGGAAGGAGGAGGTCCTACGTAGTAGTCGGGATGGACAAAATACTTCTCCTTGCGAAAGACGCGTACGTCTGAAACAGGGGTGAGGCATAGGGAGCGATGCAGGTCTTGGGACAATGCAGGGGACAGGTACGGTTTCGAGGGTTGCTGGCTGAGGATGGAAGGCCGTGCGAAGGGGTGGGAAAATAGCGGAAAGCTCCAAGTCGTATTACTGTATCACCAGGAGAAAAATGTCAATCTTCATTTGTGCACGCGCCATATACAGAAACGCTCATCTATTCATGAGCCGCCATGGCGGCTGGCTCTGGAATTATATAACGTGCGCCATTCATTCCAGCTTGGAAACCCCCTGGATAGATGACGGCGATTCATTTCCACGTGTGTTTCCACTAAATAACTAAAGACAAATGACTTTGCACTGCAGTAGTTTACATCACAGCAGAGACCTCGCGATCGAAACACAAGACGAACGAACGCTCAAACATGTGAATGTTGATCCCACATCTACGATGTCCGATGTGTTGACAAGCAGCCGCTAGCCTTTCTACCGTGCTGCCTCTCTGACCGAAGCACTCTGAATAGGGTTCACACACAGCAGTGATGTGCAGCAGCAGCAAGCAGCTCTGAGGGTCCCGCAAACAATATTTATTTCCGGAGGGGGGCACGGCAAGACTGGTGGGAAAGCCCGGCTGTTGACCCATGTTGCAAGTTGCAAGTTGTTCCGCCCATTTCCATTGGTTCTATTCCCTCCAACTACGAACATGCCGAACGCGCAGGAGGAAGTGCCGCTGGTCGTCCGCCGAGCAGGTGAGTTTCCAACCAAACGCGCGTATCCTTTCCCAAAGCGAGACTAGACGAGCGACCAGTCGAAAACTCTGAAGAAATCATTCCGCACCCACCAGAGCGGTAGTTGGCGAAGTTTACACATACACTTCATCCAGCACTCATCGCACATCACCCGTCGCTACATACAGTGAGGTCTATTTAGGTCTACCCAACCGAAACTAACCCTCACTCACATCCAATGCACGGCCGAGCGGCCGCGAACTGGTCTCGGAGTGCGGAATGGGGAGAGGGCGCTGGAGAGGAACAGACCGCCCGAACCGACGTTTGACCAATCAGAGGGCGTAAAAGCCCGTAGATGAAAGAGGCACCATCAGACCGTAAATACAACCACTAATGGCCAGTGCACAGGCGCACCAAAAAGAGCTGCACCATAACGCTGTCCACCACCACAACCCCAAGCAATTCATGAGCTTGGCCGAAGCGAACGAAAGCTTCAAGTAGACTGGTATGTATGTACGATATTCTAGCATACATGTGCGCGCAATGGTGTGTGTCTTATTCGGACTGACCAGGGCGGGTTAATTGTTTTTTGGGTTGGAAAAATATTACCTGCAGTAGCACACGTGTTGCCGCCTATGGAAAACTTGCCACTTATATTTTTTTCATGCAGACATTACTAATCCTGGAATCACAACCCGAGAGGCAGTCTTTCCGCGAGGGACTTAAAGTTTTTTCTGCTTCAACTCTCGCTGTGGTGCTGATCCCAAATCGTGCACATCATCTATGCGTTGCCCACATGTAAAGACGCACGCGCACCATTTTTTTTCTGATTTGGTTTAGGTTCGTCATTCAGCAAACGCGTTTTTAGTCCGTTGCGTGCTTCCATGGCTTGGATTTCTACATGCATGATGTTTTCGGACGTAGACGCATGATCGTTTCTGGAGGCCACTTTGCTGACTACTGGAGTTTAGACTTGAATTTGGGCCGACTTTCGCAGGCCAACCGCGGACGCTGTAGTGGAGATCCCTAGTCGTGCACATCATGGGTTCGTTCTATGGTCTTTCATCTCTACTATTGGCCAAGTATCGGCCGAAACGGGGAACCTTAGTGTTTCAGCAAACCTCGGTGAAAGTTGGCTCCCAAGAGCTGAAACGGGTTGCACACAGCAGCAGACAGGTGGTCCAACTCAGATGTGATCGTGAGGCATTTCTCGCGTCCACAGCAAATCAAAGGGTAGAAAAAGCTTTCCGGTGGAGGGCATGACCTGTTTGAGGTGCCCGTGTACTTTGGTGGCACGGCGAGGTCTATGTGAGGAGCACGAGGTGGTGAAAGAACTGGGCTCAGCCATGTCCAATCTGGGGAGGGGGGGGGGGGGCGTACTCGTATGTTTTGCATGCCTTGGCGGTTAGACCATTGACCACAATCTGGGGAGGGGATGAAACATAATTGACCCCGCTGAAACCAGCGGCGTGATTTTCTGTCCGTACTTTTTTCAATTTAAAAAAACACAGCCTTTTGCTGCGTCGTGCCGGGTAACTTGGTGGCCATTTCACCATCTACGGACCAAGTCACGAGCCAACCTATGTGCCCACCAAGCAACATTTTGCCCGAGCTGTCCCAACGGCTACCTTTTTATTCCATGGTCGATGCCTCGAGCATGCACAATATCTGTGCCGAACAAACATGTCGGATTCACGCGTCGCCGAGACCGAGGAGGAGGCTTGTTTGGAACACGGTTCAGAACTCCTCTCTCTGTCTGCCGCTGCTGTGGTAACCGGCTCGTAACACATACTATCATTAGCGAGCGGCGGTGAGCACAGCGCCGGGCAACACAGAGAAATGGTCGCGCTTGCATCCGATCGAGCAGCTCACAGACAGGAGATATGCGACTGAGCGAGTTCACAAGCCCAGTTGTTGTTGTTTACGTATGTTTGTTGGTGAACGGGTTGTTCGGCCAATTGTTGGTTGTTGCCACCAACCAACTGGGAGACAAGAGATGAGCTGTACACCAACACGCTCTACGCACCACGATTGACGATGCATGTAATGCTGTACACCTCTCTACACTTGCGTGCGAGGGTCTTGTGTGCGACCCATGCCTTCCCTGCTAATCTGGTCACCTATCACACGCTTTCGTGAGCTGCCTCTCAGAGTACCAAATAACACCAATGAATTCGGTGTACTGACTGAGAGGCAGAGGGGTGTTTTTTTTGTTGAGCTAGCTGATGGCCACCTCCTCTCTGAGAATCACCGGCGCCCCCCAGAGCTTAAAACGCACGAGCCTACCACACGTGTCGCCGCCTATAGGAACCCCCTGTCTCTGAACATTTTTTTTAACAAAAAAAAAAAAATCACCCCCACCGGGTCGCTCTGCAAAATAAAGAAACAGTATTAGCATCGACCGCGCTAACCGGCTGAACCATGAAAACACGCCAGTCTCACGGTTGAAAACGAAACAACACTTCCAAATGCCAGGAACTGGGACCGGTCATAGGGGAGGCTAAGCTGTTCTCCGCATGGAAAAACAGAAACGGTAGCAACAGAACGACACGTGTCTACCGAGTCTGCTAACTCGCACCCGAGTTTGTTTTGGAGTGCTTTCACCATCACCCTTCGTGCTTTCACCACCACACACTCTGATCGCGATTATTCGAGCTATTTTGAGGCAATTCTTCTTTGGGCCTGCGTCGTTTGTTGTGAAGAAAGTCACCCGGCTCGAAGCTCTTACTCTGTTCCACTCGATGCTTCCCTCCTCCATCGCTGTTGTGGCCGTTCCCTTGTACTCCCGTATCCTCTCCTCCTTCGTTGCTACCAAATGGATTCCCCTCAATACCACACTTTGTCCGCACTACCGAAGTCCCAACCTAGTAGTTGGCTTTGGTGGAACTTGGTCGATCAGTAACTCGTTGCGTTTGAACACGTCGCGAGGTCGAACTGAAAAGCGAGCTAGTGTGCGCGTGCGTGTGTGTGCAGCCGCTGCCGCGTCCTCTTGGTGGCAGTTGAATGTAGTGGTAGAGTCATTATGATGACCTCTTACACGTTTCCCGGTGTCTCTCCGTATCGTTTCCGGTGCGCTACGTCCAAATCATTCCCGCTAAAGTAGCTTTCTCCACTGCCTTCAAGCACACACACATACAGTCGTAGCAGAGAACAGAGGGGCCGGGTCCAAAACGTTTCACACAGCGGTCAAATGCTAAAAGACAGGGGAAGCAAAGGCGCGTACGTTTCAAAGGGCCTGTTGCCAATCCGCCACATACGCGCTGATTTGCCATGTAAGTTGTGTGTGCTATGTAGCTCTGCTGTTGCGTTTTTCGCACTGCAGTGGCTTTAACTTACTTCCAATACACCATCTAGGCAGATGGGTGTATGCGGTATAGTCCAAGCGAACAACATTTGTTCACCTACTGTTTGGGGTCTGTGAATAGCAAGAATGCCCTACTTTTTCGATGCGGTGAAGGCGGCGTAATTGACTTCGAAACACAGCAAAAATGTCGGTAGCACAAGCTTGGGTGACATGTATGAGAGAAGGACCGTGTCAAGACTTTGACGCCTCTCCGTTCACCTCTGCTCCAATTTTTATCGCAGGTACAGCAATATGGTGGTCACGGTGTGATGTTCCGATCCATTCGCCCGATCGCACAGCAACCAGGTTTATCGACTCGCGAAAGGAATCGATAAATTGCTGTGCTGCTGTGCAGACTACAACACCCCGCTGATTATCCCCCCCGTTTTTCCATCCGAGGTTGAATGATTCGGCGTGGAAAAGACAACACAACAGCAGCCTCAGTGGATGCCGCCACTAACCACCATCAGACACCCGGCTGTTTATAGTCTCCCTGTTGGTGACAGGGTTTCACTTGAACAACCTGCTCTTTCCTTACACTAATTTAGAGTCTGCGTCTATGCACGCGTATAGTCTACAGCAGTGCTGTAGTTCAACGCTCAACACCAACATGAGACATGTGCACACACGTTGTATTTCGCGCAGCGGAGGGGAGGGGCAGGAGGACAACACAAGCACGAAAATCGCAAACCTACAGAGGACGTAGAATTGCCGGGGGGCTACACGTATCAGGTACATCTCGTGCGAGGAAGGAGGAACAACTCAGGCGGAGGACTCCCGTCCCCTCCCCTGGTGACTGCTTATCTATCGTACGATACTCTGTCGGAGTGTCTCCCCTGTGTCTTGCAGGGTAGGGGGTGGAGCACACCACTACCTTAACAAATATAACAGTCTCCCGCGCACGAAAGCGGGCAAAATTGGAAATATTCATTCACACGTTGTGTATTCT